GCTTATAGGACAGCGGCTTGTGCGGGTTACGGAAGGTGGACGCGAGCAGGTCGCGGAGACGGGAATTTAGGGTCTTCAAGGCCAGCATGGACTTCCAGGTATGTGTTGCGAAGCGGACACGGTTGGCGTCAATAGAGATCACCCCGGAGTATAACTGATATGAGGAGGAAATGTTAGCATTGGGTTCTCACGGAGAATTTGAAGTCAATCTGAGCGAATTTAAGAGAGATAGTGAAAGGGGATAGAGGGTAGGTAAGATACTGCATGAATGGGAGATCTCTTACCTTGAACTCGGCCTCTCCACACAGCAAGGCAATCGCGAAATCGTCTACTGCGCTCGTTTCATGCGCGTTGAGATTCCGGTTCCGCGCTTGCATAATGTGGTAGTACGAGAGCCACTTGATCGTCGGGTCGGCGTGCTTGTTGATCGACGTCGGATGTAAAGTGACGGCTTGGTTGTTCGCGACGTTGCGCCAGCCCTTGCCCTCGCGGATGAGGAGCTTCGGGTAGAAGCTCCAGGCAACGACCGAGTTAATCACCGTGTCGTTAGCACTGTTGACATCGTGCTGTTCGGGGATGTTAAACAATTGGCGACTTCGATTCGTTGATCGCGCCCTATAGTGAGATATTAGTATATTTGGAGGGTGTTCCGAGGGCGACAGACATCACTTACTTGTTGAGCGCAGTTTTCTGGGCCCCATCAAGGGTGATGAGGCCTGCATCCGCGATAGAGACTACCAGTTGCATCTTGATATCTTCGATACTAAGGAGAGTCTGTGGGCTGAGGAAGTTCTTTCGGCAGAATGAGAACTCGCTCATCCCTGGCGTAGTCCTAGCACGCTTCCAGCAGCAATAGGCGTTGTACACAGTCAAAAGATCCGAGTCGCCTGAAGATGTGTAAGTGTCACTAATTTCAAATCGAGGAGCAAAGGAATTTCACACACCTCTCTGGAAGGAGTTCCGCGCAGCATCACGCTGCGAGTTGGAGCCCATGGTGTTGACAAAGGGCGACTTCGAGGAAAGAATGGCAGCAATACTGACGGCCGCGTCCAGACACTTGAAGAATGCACCGTGGATAATCAACTTGCCGAGGAAAACGTCCAGTGGCAGTTTGGCCAGCTGGGACCCCAATGGTGTCAGACTCTCGTTGCTTGTGAGCGCCTTGACCTCTTTGAGAGAGTCAATGGCACGACGAATGTTCTTAGACGACGGCGGGTCCAATGCCTCGGTGAGTGTCTGTTCCACCTCTCCCAATTTACAGATCTTGACCCGGAGCACAAGATCTTGTAGAGACAAGCGAAGCATTTCTGGCGTCTGCTGTTCGGCCAGCAATTTCTCGTGGCGGTGTTTTGTAAACATGTGAAAGCAGATACCATTCTGGACACGTCCGGCTCGACCGCGACGCTGTTTGGCATTAGCACGAGAAATGAAAGACTCGACAAGACGAGAGAGCTGTCGTCGTTCGTCGAACCGCATCATCTTCTCTTTCCCTGTGTCAACGACTGCAGTAATATCAGGAATTGTGATACCGGTTTCCGCAATGTTGGTGGCAATGACAATTTTCCTGAAGCCTTCTGGGGGCACGACGAAGGCCTTCTCCTGGTCCTCACTGGCAATGGAGGAGTGCAGAGCATGCACAATCCAGCCTCTCTGGAAAGTTGGCTCGGAGAGAATCTCGTCATTCAGGCGACGAATTTCGGCTAGACCGGGCATGAAGACTAGAATTGCCTTACTGTAAAGCTCCATCTCAGGAGCAGTCGCAATCTTCAAGAGCAGCTTCTTGATTAGCTGGTAATCCATGCGGTACTCGTCAAACTTAAGAATCGTTTCCTTGGTTTGCTTCGAGTAGCCATCGAGACTGGCTTGCAAGCCTCCAATATTATCACCCGTGTTGTCAGAGATCTCGTCCAGATCATCATCAATCAGAATGTTCGACTCATCCTCTGAAAGGCGGTAGTTCGTCAACTCCACCGCATCCTCCAGGTACTTCATTTCCACGGGGAAAGTCCGCCCGGGGATATTGAGGACCGGAACACCGCCGAGATAGTTGGAGAATCGTTGCGCATCGACGGTTGCAGACATGAGAATGAGCTTGAGATCTGTGCGCTTCTGCATCAGTCTGCGGAGGACAACCAGAAGGAAGTCACTGTCAATTGTTCTCTCGTGGACCTCATCAAGGACGACGTGAGTAATGTCCTGGAAGTCATCAGGTCGTTCGAGCATGCGCACCACCACACCAGTGGTCCTGTGTCGGGTCAGCAAGGTTTCATTCAAGAAGGAATGGATGATAATTATCGGAGAGTGATAGAGAGCACGTACGCATATACTAGACGAGTAGCCGAGCTGATCTTACTCTCTAACCTCACGGCGAAACCAATGAGTGACCGGTTAGTCCCGACGTCATTCTTGCTTTCTCCGAGTTCCTCGCTGACACGTCGAGCCAGAGAAATTGCGGAAATTCGCCGAGGTTCCGTCACGTAAACCTTGCAAGGGCGGCCCTGAAGCATTTCATGTTCTAGAATGAAGGACGGAATCTGCGTACTCTTTCCACTACCAGTCTCACTGCAAATAATGATAGCCTGGTGGGTGTCCAAAGTGCTCAGGATTTCATCCTTGAAATTCCAGATGGGGAGGTTCATTCGACCTTGCATCATACGATGAAAAGCTGGAGTGGAAGCCTTGGCCTCCCAAATCTCGCGCAGCTGCTCAACCTGACCGAAGTAATCGCCTCGAACAGGCCATTTCAGCGGACTGGCCGGCTTGCTTGCCGTGCCGTTTCTTTTCCGGAAGTTATCCAGCAGCACGACATCATCCTCAAAGGTACCCTGGTTCTCTTCGACCAGGCGCTTCAAATTTTTGACCGTAGCCTTATCAGTTTCATCTTCCTGTGCCTTTTTCAGGTTGGAAAATTCGGTCCAAAGATCTCGCCAGACTGCAGGCAGTCGCAGATAGGCTTTCCCCTCTTTAGAACTTTGAGGGAACAGGATAAAAAGCGCAAGGGTTGAAACATATCCCTCAGCCTGCTGTGAGTTCGGTGTCACGAGACCATCCATCGAGAGGAAAGTTGTAAAGACATTTGACTTATGTGTGACCGAGTCAACCGCCAGTGGGAATGGGGGTTCTTGCGGTTTGGACCATCGCACTTCGATGGCCTTTCGACATTGGTGGCTTGAAGACGAATTATCTTGGTAAACGACTTTGCAGGCCGAGTCTCTGGCTTTACATGTCTCTTCTAGAACTCTTCGTGGGCTCAACCCGGTGGATTTTCCAAAGTCCCGAATGGTGAATTTGGCTTCAATCACTGGAGGGGGCAGGCCTAAGATAGACCCATCGTCAGGTTCGGCCTGGAACATGTCACCAAGAAGACCCGCAGCATCATCGTCCATTTCTTCCATTGGCAGACTGTCCACGTCAGAGCCACCTTTCGTTGCGCCCTTTGCTAGTTCTTCGGTAGCCTGTGGTTGCTTTTTTCGCTCTACAGGGCGACGCATGAATGCTGCATCCTTCCTGAGCTCATCCAGTTTCCCTCTCCAGATGAACTCGGCCTCTTGGGCCTCAAAGAGCACGTCTCGTTCGATCTTGGCGATTTTGCGCTGTAGTTTTGCGACCTCGGGGTCATCTGACTGCCCCACGGTACCTCCACGGCCCTTCTTTCCCTTTCCAGGGCGATCGAACAGGTCTGGTTGAAGACTGTACAGCTTGGTCTGTAGCTCCAGCCACTCTGGAACCATCGTGTCGGGGTCGATAGAGCTATCCGAGTCATATGACACGGGAGTCACAACTTTCGCAGCTTTCCAGTCTGGCTTGGGCTTTCCCTGTTTACTGTCATTTTGGGATTTGGGGGTAGATGACCTCGATGGCCCCGAGTCTGGTAGGGGTCAGCGCTTTCCATTCATGCAAATTCCATCAATGCCAAGGGTTTACCGATCATCCACGAAGTGACACTTTCCGCATCCTTTTGGGGACGGGCAGCTGTCTGTACATATGGTGGAAGGTCCTTCTTATCACTGTGCATTGCCAACCATTCCAGCGCCTCGTCCAGATTCCACGCTACCTCGCGGCTGGTACTGGTGGAATTGCCCGCGAAATAGGTGAGGACATGTTTCAGTGCCTCTTCTGTACGCTCCGGCGAGAAACCAAGCTTGAGTAGTGTCTCTTTCAGAGTCCAGAGCTTCCCATAAAGCTCCTCTTCGGAGACTGCTTGCTTCGCGCCAGTGCCCCGAGCACTGGAAACGAGATAGTCATGCTCTTCAGTACCGGCCAATTCAAGAATTCGGTCTTGAATCTCTGTTGGAAGCCATTCAAGGAGACTCAATGACACCGATTGCTGTCGAAGGACTCGCTTTTCGGTCTCTAGCTTCGTCGCCTGGCGCACCGCATCACTTCTGCACTTTACCGCATATTTATCGACCAGAATCTGCAGTTCTGCTTCCTCCAAGTGCCGCTCGAGTTCCTCCGGGGAATAGTTCTGTAATGAGGGACCAGCCCTAGGCGCGCCCGAGCTTGTTTCACCTGCGGGGCCGTCCTCTGCACGAGGTACTTGTGGTTCGTTCTGCGGTGTGGCTTTGGAGTCGATAGCAGTCGGTGGTGGGGTCTGTGGTGTGCTCTCTGGTTTGGGCTTTGAGGGTACGGAGACTGTTGCGAAGCCTCGAGCCGGGTTGGATGCGGGCTTCTTCTTTTTCTTATTGTTCGGTGGCATGGTGAGAGCGGGGGTCTGTCAAAGCAAAGAGCATCACAAGATTAGTTACTCTTCTAATCCATATAAGACCAAAAAATCAATCAGGTCAGGTCAGACTCACAGGAGTTGTTAAGGAAGTTGGAGAAACAAGAAGCGGGCATGGCTGGTTGAGCGGCGGAGAATGCAACTGCTCTGAGTCCCCCCCCACACAAAACTCTTATGACAGCATTCGATCGTCCCAGCCCACCTTCACCACCCAATTCACTCCTTCCCTCCCTCCACCCACCCTCTTCCCTCCTTTCCCCTGTATTGACCTCTGATCATGGATCCAATTCCATGGGACCAAGTCAAGGCTGGGGATCTGGATGCCTTGCGGGTCGCACTCTTCTCGAGTTCGACCTCGCGCAGGCTCCGTGCCCTGCAAGAACTTCGCGATAGGAGCGGTAAAACTTGACCCTCGGCCCTCTATATCCTACAGATGCTGACTTTGGTGGCTTTATAGGGACCGAATTGTCTCCGGAATCACAGCATGACATCCTAGCGCTACTTTTCCAGACCTATCCTCTCTACGTCGACCGATCATCTCGACAGGCCGTCCAACAATGTCTCCGCTCGCTCCTCCGCACCCCGAACGCAGCGGATCACCTTAAATACCTGACTGAGAAACTCAAGACAGAAGCGGCCAAGCCAGGGTTGGCTTCAACGTCCGGATTTGTCTTGCTGGAGTGGTGCTGTATTCTCTTGCAGCAGGTCAGTGAGGATGAGGCCACGCCCTTGGCAGTCGTGTTGGATTTGATCGCGGTGGATGCCAAGGCTTTGGAGAACTGTTTCGCCCATACGCCCAAGGTTCCAGTCATACAATCAGCTCTCCGGGTTACTAGGCGGGCTCTACGGACGGCGTTCTCCTGCCAGACATGGGGTGAGGATGCTGTGCGCCAGTCAGTTAGCCGATTGACCACAGATGCCGCAGCCGGCAATAAGAATGCGTTGCTGCTTGGTGTCATCTCCGGAGTCTGTGCTCGACTGCCCGCCCGCAAACCGATCCTAGAGCAGTCTAAGAAGGCTATTCTGGACTATTATGTCAAGGAGATCGTGAGCTCCAAGTCTGTAGTGCCTGCTCACGTGGCCAATGGCTTGTCGGATTTCTTCAGTTCCTTCGTGACCGCAGAGGATGTGACCACCGAGTTGGTGCCTCCAATGGAGAAATCCATGCTCAGAGCGCCGGAGGTGATCATGAACGGTGTGATCCCACCACTTTGTGCCTCCCTCCCGGAGGACATTGACCTCTCAGAGGTAGTCCTCTCTCGCCTGTCGAAGCATCTGCTCTCCAGCATGAAGTCAAACAATGCGATAATCCGACAAGGGGCTGCTGATTCATTCAGATCATTAGTTGCGTGCTGTAAAACGGATACCTTGGTCTTGAAGATCACAAGTGAGATCGTTGGCCCTCTGAAGACCCAAAAGATCACTGCCCCCGAGCACCGAGTCGCCTATGCTCAAGCCATTGCCGCTATTCCGTCATCTGCGGATGTTTCTAAGGAGATCGTTCATGGATTCGGCCCCGTCTTCACAAGGGAGTCCAATGAAGCTGCTCTGGAGGAGGAACTGAAATCATTTGGCAAGCACCTTGCTTTCCTCATCCAATCGTCTGTCAAGGTCGGCGACGATGTGATTAATGCTGTTGTTAAGGGCATTTCCGATAAACGAGTGCCATTCCGAAAAATCTGGCAACTTAGCGTGGGAGAGGTGCTCTGGAAATCTGATGTCGCTTCTCTGAAGACTGCCGAAATTGAGCCATTGGTCACCAAATTCCTGGCTAAGATGAAGGACATGTTTGGAGAGGTTGCCTCAAACCCGCTTCCTTCGGCACAAAGTGGCGCTTTGTCTTCTGCATATATCTTCCTCGCGCTATTCGAACGTGTTTCGGATATCGGTGGCTCAGAAAAGGCTACATGGGAAGAAAAGGTCACTCAAGCTATGACCATGGGCTCGAAGCCCTCTTTCCTCCTCAATCCCAAGGCTTACTCGAAGGTCACATCCCCCTTGGAGATGCAGTGGCTGGTCCGGGCTCTGGCTGCCGTCACATCAGGCTCTAAGTTTGTTGGCGCCGAGGACACTGCCAAGGCGGCTTGGGCCCAGTCCTTTATTTATACTATCACCGGTCCCGCTATGGCAACAAGCTATCGAGAGAGCGCCGTGGAATCCTTGTCCACGGTTTACATCAAAGACGTGGTGTCTATCGGCCCTGTTATCATCAGCGCTCTTTGGTCCTGGATTTATTCCTTCCGGACTGCGGAGAAAGAGTCGGCTGCTGTGTCGGCTGGGCCTGGAAGTGAACGTCTGCTCCACCTTGTCTTGAAAGCTTTGTGCCCCTCCTCTAAGGCCAGAGAAGGATCCGGGATTGCTGCCTCGGACATTGAAAGCCAACTGATCAATGTACTTGTTCTCGGCCGGCCAGAGATGATCCCGAACTGCTCATGGATTGACTTGTGTCTGAGGAGTGGTGTTGATCCAGGAAACCTGGTTCGTGCTCATCCCGCCGAATGTATCGAGCAGTTGGTCCGCGTCAATGCAGACCCTGTGCAATCTATCGTTCCCAACGTCAATGCCGCGGTCTGGAGCGCAGCAGGTGATCTGGCCTTTGTCGCACCCGCCGTCATGGTTCCCCGCATCGTCGATCAGATCAAAGAGGACCTGGATGGTGCCCGTCTATCCAAGTTCACTGCTACCGATGCCGCCATTGCCCGCACCCCCGAGGGAACCGCGTTCATCGACGTCTTGAGTAGCAAGTCGAAGCAGCCAGCCTTTGACAAGAACACCAAGGACTATGACACACTGAAGTGGGAGGAGGAGCTGCGAGCTCAGCTGGCCGAGAAGAAGGGCCAGAAGCAAAAGAGGCTTTCTGCTGAGGAGCAGTCCAAGGTGAATGCTCAACTCGCAAAGGAGGCTAAGATTCGTCAAGAGGTCCTCCAGGAAGTCAAGCGCATCGAACGCGGAGCTGGCCTTGTTCGGGGTCTGGCAACCGGACCTGCCAACGATGCCGAAGGATGGATCAACGAGGCTGTTAGCTGTCTGCTTTCCCTTTCCCGGGCAGGTGCTGGACTCTTCGTTGGCGATGTGGTTTCGCAAGCTTATATCACATGCTCCAATGAGTTGTCTTCGCGTCTGGGCAACACCCGGCCATTTGTGGGTGTTGCAACCTTGCGTGCCATTGGCAGGACCAATTTGCCTGCAGAGATGGAATCAGAGCACCTTGGTCAGCTCGTAACCAGAATCCTGTACCGCCTCCGATTTGCTTCCGAGCAGCGCCCCCTGGATATCCCCTCTCTCGCTTACATCCTGCCTTTGGTCTTCCTGATCTTGGGCCAGAATGGAATTGATGAGGTTAAGGGAGACCAGGAAGGTGAGCAGGTTCTGCTTGCTGTCGAATTTTTGTCATTCCACACCAGCTCTTTCACCGATACCCGCCTCCCTCGCGTTGAAGTGCTACAGCAGCTTCTTTCTGGTATGCAGAGATACACCCAGCATTACAAACTGATTAAAGATACCCTGTTTGATTTCTGCCGTTGCATTGCTCCTACCATCACCAGCGAGGAGCTCCAGACCCTCTTGCAAGGCACGATCGTTCCCGACTCTTCCGTTCGGACTTCTGTGCTCCAGGTCATTGATGCTGAAATTGATCTGACGGATCTTGACTTCTCGGAACATATCTGGCTGGGTTGCCACGACCAGGTTGAGGAGAATGTCGAGCTTGCTGAGGGCATCTGGGACGAGAATGCCTTGGAAGTGGACGAAACTGCCTTCTCCAAGATCATTAAATACCTCGACTCTGAGGACAGCCAGCTCCGCGGAGCTGCTGCTCGCGCACTCGCTCACGCCATTGAATCTGACAAGAGCAAGTTTGCCGGTATCCTGTCCGAGCTTGAGGCCAAATACTCCGAGGAAGTCAAGCCCAAGGCCCCTGAAAAGGATGCTTATGGCATGCCAAAGAAGATGGAAAACACAGACAACTGGGTCAGCCGCAGCGGTATCGCGCTGGCTTTCAATGCAATGACAAACCTCTTTGAAGGCGAGCAGATCATCAACTTCTTGCAATTCTTGATTGAGCGTGGTCCCCTCGTTGATAAGAACGCTTCTGTGCGCAGCCAAATGGCAGAGAGTGGTAAATCTGTCATTGCCGAGAGGGGTCAGCAAAAGGTCGAGGAACTCATGAAGCTCCTCGAGACAGTTCTGGAGACTTCGGACAAGGCCACTCAGAGTTCCGACCTTCTGAACGAGGCAGTTGTTGTGCTTTACGGAGCTTTGGCCCGACACTTGAAGGCCGAGGACCCTCGTCTGCAGACAGTCGTCAAGAAGCTGCTCGCAACCCTGCCTACTCCCTCGGAGACTGTGCAATCCGCTGTGTCAGAGTGCCTGCCTCCCTTGATCAGGCTGTCTGGCCCCAAGACTGCAGATTATGTACAGGAGATGCTCGACTCGCTGCTGAACGTCAAGGATTATGCTACTCAGCGTGGTGCGGCCTATGGCCTGGCTGGTATTGTCAGTGGTAAGGGTATCTCGACTCTGCGCGAGTTCCGCATCATGAGCCTGCTGAAGGAGGCCACCGAAAACAAGAAAGAGCCGCATCAGCGACAGGGCGCCTTGCTAGCGTATGAGCTGTTTGCATTCGTTCTCGGACGCACCTTCGAGCCCTATGTCATCCAGCTCGTGCCTCAGCTGCTCGCCGGCTTCGGTGACCCCAGCATTGATGTTCGTGATGCCTGCCTGGATGCGTCTAAGGCCTGCTTCCAAAACCTCAGCTCATACGGTGTCAAGAAGATTTTGCCCACCCTGCTTGATGGTTTGGATGACACCCAGTGGCGTAGTCAGAAGGGAGCTTGCAATCTGTTGGGTGCCATGGCCTACCTTGACCCTCAGCAACTTGCTGCTAGCTTGCCCGACATTATCCCTCCTCTCACTATTGTACTCAATGACACCCACAAGGAGGTCCGTAATGCTGCCAATCGCAGTCTCCAGCGCTTCGGTGAGGTCATCAGCAACCCTGAAGTCAAGAGCCTAGTCAACGTGCTCCTTAAGGCTCTGAGTGACCCCACCAAATTCACTGATGAGGCCCTTGATTCTCTCATCAAGGTGTCTTTCGTGCACTATTTGGATGCGCCTTCGTTGGCTCTGGTTGTTCGTATTCTTGAGCGTGGTCTTGCCGACCGCTCCGCCACCAAGCGCAAGTCTGCCCAAATTATCGGCAGCTTGGCTCATCTTACTGAGCGTAAGGACCTCATTGCACACCTGCCGATCATCGTTGCTGGTCTCAACCTGGCCATTGTTGATCCTGTTCCCACTACCCGAGCCACCGCTTCCAAGGCTCTGGGTTCGCTCATCGAGAAGCTTGGTGAGGATGCTCTGCCAGACCTGATCCCCAACCTCATGAACACTCTCAAGTCGGATACTGGCGCTGGTGACCGACTGGGATCTGCTCAGGCACTTTCCGAGGTGCTTGCAGGTCTGGGTACTACCAGACTCGAGGAGACTCTGCCAACTATTCTCCAGAATGTGTCCAGCTCCAAGCCTGCTGTTCGTGAAGGCTTCATGACTCTGTTCATTTTCTTGCCTGCCTGCTTCGGTAACAGCTTCGCCAACTACCTTAGCAAGATCATCCCGCCTATCCTTGCTGGTCTTGCTGATGATATCGAGTCGATCCGGGAGACTTCCCTCCGCGCCGGTCGCCTGCTTGTCAAGAACTTTGCAACCAAGGCCATCGACCTGCTGCTTCCCGAGCTGGAGCGTGGCTTGGCCGACGACAGCTATCGCATTCGTCTCAGCTCCGTCGAGCTGGTTGGAGACCTGCTGTTCAGTCTTACTGGTATCAGCGGCAAGTCAGAAGCCGAGGAAGAGGAGGAGGAAGCCACTCAGGCTGGTCAATCCTTGCTGGAGGTTCTGGGAGAAGAGCGCAGGGACAAGGTTCTCTCGGCCTTGTTCATCTGTCGCTGCGATACTTCGGGCTTGGTCAAGAGTGCCGCTATGGGTGTCTGGAAGGCCCTGGTTGCTTCACCCAAGACCCTCAAGGAGATGGTTCCCACTCTGTCCCAGCTCATCATTCGTCGTCTTGGTTCGTCCAACATGGAGCAGAAGGTCATTGCTTCCAACGCCCTTGGCGATCTTATCAAGAAGGCTGGAGAGTCGGTGCTGTCCACCTTGTTGCCCTTGCTTGAGGAGGGTCTTCAGACCTCTCCCGATGTGGATGTTAAGCAGGGTATTTGTATTGCTCTGCGCGAGCTTATCACTGCTGCTACTCCTGAAGCTCTTGAAGATTACGAGAAAATTCTCATTTCTACTGTGCGCGTGGCTCTGGTTGATAGTGATGAGGACGTGCGCGAGGCCGCTGCCGAGGCCTTCGATGCTCTGCAGCAGATCTTGGGCAAGAAGGCCGTTGACCAAGTCCTGCCTTACCTGCTTCACCTACTGAGGAACGACGAGGAGGCTGAACAGGCCTTGTCTGCCCTGTTGACTCTGCTCACCGAACAGACCCGAGCCAACATCATTCTGCCCAACCTTATCCCTACGCTGCTTACGCCTCCCATCACTGCGTTCAATGCCAGGGCCCTGGCGTCCCTGGCCGAGGTTGCTGGTGGTGCCATGACGCGAAGACTTCCCAATATCATCAACGCTCTCATGGACGGTATCATCGAGACCGACGATGAGGAACTCCAGTCAGAACTTGAGACTGCCCTCGATACCGTGTTGGTGTCTGTGGATGAATATGACGGTCTGAACACTGCCATGAACGTGATGATGACTCTTGCCAAGCACGATGACCACCGCCGTCGGGCCAAGGCTGCTCTTCACCTCAACAAGTTCTTCTCGGATGCCGAGCTGGACTACTCGCGTTACCACCAGGACCTGATCCGCGTGCTGTTGATTTCGTTCGATGATTCAGACAAGGACGTTGTCAAGGCTGCCTGGACTGCTCTCAGTGGTCTCACCTCTCACTTGCGCAAGGAGGAGATGGAGGTTCTGGCGGTCCCTACTCGCCAGATCCTGCGTCAAGTTGGTGTTGCTGGTGCAGATCTGCCTGGCTTCAGTCTTCCCAAGGGTATCATGGCCATCCTGCCGATCTTCTTGCAAGGCCTTCTCAACGGAACCCCCGATCAGCGTACCCAGTCGGCTCTCGCTATCGCCGATGTTATCGACCGTACCGGATCTAACTCGCTCAAGCCTTTTGTCACCCAGATTACTGGTCCATTGATCCGTGTTGTGTCAGAACGTTCGGTTGATATCAAGTGTAAGTTTCTCAATCATTGTGTTTTATGTTCCAGAGGATAATGCTCATGCGTATTTAGGTGCCATTTTCTTCACACTCAACAAGCTGCTGGAGAAGATCCCGCTGGCTGTCAAGCCCTTCTTGCCTCAGCTTCAGCGCACCTTTGCCCGTGGTCTTGCCGATTCCACAAGTGAGACCCTGCGTAACCGTGCTGCCAAGGGTCTTGGTATCCTGATCACTCTGACTCCCAGAGTCGATCCGCTTATTGCTGAACTCATTACTGGATCCAAGACTACTGATCTCGGTGTCAAGAATGCCATGATGAAGGCACTCCAAGAGGTGGTCGGTAAGGCCGGTGCCAACATGAGCGAGGCATCGCGCACTGCCATTCTTGCCCTGATCGATGATGATGCTAGCAATGAGACTGATTCCGTTGCTATTACCAATGCTCGACTGCTTGGTGTGCTCGTAAAGGTGATCCCGGCCGCATCTGCGGTCCCTCTGATCAAGCACCGCGTTCTTACAGGACAGTTCTCGCACGCATCTATCCTTGGCCTCAATGCTCTCCTCGCTGAGGCTCCTGCCACTCTGATGGAGAACTTCGCCGTGGAGACCCCGACCGCCATTTGCCAGGGTATCGCGCACAAGGACCCCTTCATTTCCGACAACAGTGTGCTCGCTGCTGGCAAGTACCTGCTGTCCAATGATGGTGACCACAGCTTCGAGACGCACAAGGCCATCTTCGAGGCTTTGACTGCTGCTCTTCAGCCCGGAGGTCCCGTCGACACCCGTCGACTGACCCTTGTTGTCATTCGTACCGTCAGCCGCCTGCACCCCGAGCTGACCCGCCCCCACCTAGCTCTCCTTGCACCGCCTATCTTTGCCGGTGTTCGTGATCTGGTCATTCCGGTGAAGCTAGCCTCCGAAGCCGCTTTCCTGTCCCTCTTCTCTGTCGTGGATTCGGACAGCGAAGTCTTTGACAAGTACATGGCTGGCCCCGGCGCTTCGCTACCTCCCGGACCCAAGCGTAGCATGTCTGACTATTTCAAGCGAGTTGCTATGCGACTTGCCACTCAGGCCCGCGAGCGTCGCGTCGCCGAGGGTGGTGTAGGTGGTCTGGGCTTGTCGAATGATGAAGTGGAGGATGAGACGGAAGTGTGGAGTATTGGCAAGGTGGATCTGGGAGATGATTCATTTGGCGATGACTGATGATCTTTTTTTCCTATTGTCGGAGCATTCCAAGGTTGCATCTACATGTCTATAGATATACCCTTGGGCTTCCCTGTTTCAATTCTTGTTCTTGTGTTTAAGCTTCGTACAAAAAGTCTGTTTACGTTGTTGATGAATGTTAATATTTTTTTGTGTCAGTGGAAATAGATTAAGGGGATCTATCTATGAGACACTACATTTCCAAGTGATCTCCAAGTGATCCATTAAGATGTATGTCGCATAGCCCATACCAAGCAGATGCCCCATTTTTAGTAGAACAGATTCAACGCCTTTCCCGAAATGGATGTTCTATGTCATGTGATCTTCAATCGTAATTTCTTTTGATCACGTGTCTTCGCGTTTAAACAGCATCATCTCCTCCGTTGAACAGGACTCATGACTCTAATGTAGGAAGAAATAGCTTCAAGTAGAGTGTATCTTTATCTAGACACAATATTACTGAAATGTTTGAGCTTTACCATTATTCTATCTCCCATAACACCCCCTAGCAAGCTTGATTCTTGCAATCAGACGGACTCCAGATCGGGACTAGCGTAGAGGGTACAGCCCTAACCCTCAAATGCAGTGGAGGGGACTCGCTTATAGCACATTAGCTAATCGGCCCGCCCCAAACTCCTCACCGTCTGGTTTTCCCGTCAAGTGCAACGAACATCATCCGCCAACGACCGTCGATACGCCGACATCAAGATGTGAGTTTCATCTCTTACGATATTCCGAACGATACCGGTGCTCCATGTCAATTCAAAACTTGAACTTTTGGAACCGATCCCGCCGATGGCAGAGACGGAAAGACTTGATGGAAAGTGTTGTGTGCAGAGGCTGACCCCGTCTTTTTTCTTCCATCCAGGGTCAACCTTCGCACCCAGAAGCGCCTCGCGGCCTCCGTGGTCGGCTGCGGCAAGCGCAAGATTTGGCTCGACCCCAATGAGATGACCGAGATCTCCAACGCCAACTCTCGTCAGACCATCCGCAAGCTCGTCAGCGATGGCCTCATCATCAAGAAGCCCGTCACCATGCACTCCCGCGCCCGCGCCCGTGAGTTGAACGAGGCCCGCCGCATCGGTCGTCACCGCGGTCTGGGTAAGCGCAAGGGTACCAAGGACGCCCGTATGCCCAGCCAGGTCCTCTGGATGCGCCGCATGCGTGTCCTCCGTCGTCTCCTCGTCCGCTACCGTGCCGCTGGCAAGATCGACAAGCACCTCTACCACGAGCTCTACCACCTGAGCAAGGGTAACACCTTCAAGCACAAGCGTGCTCTGGTTGAGCACGTAAGTTATCCCCGATGAAACCCGTCCACCCTCGATTATCGAATATACAACGTGACCCCCGCATGAAGAGAGAAAAGAATCAACCCACTGACTCGTTTTCTTCCACATCTACAGATCCAGAAGGCCAAGGCTGAGCGCCAACGTGAGCGTGTCCTCAAGGAGGAGATGGATGCTAAGCGTGCCAAGAACAAGGCTCTCCGTGAGCGCCGCGCTGAGCGTGTCGAGGCCAAGCGCAACGCTCTGGCTGCCGAGCCCCAGGAGTAAATCCGTTCTCAAAACTTGCATTCCGTTGTGTGACGTGACACTCTTCTCGTTCATCGGTGCGGAGGTTATGAAGGCGTGTGAAAACTTACTGGGTTTGTTCCGGGGATCTCTTTTTCGAAAAAGCGGCTGCACTACTCTTATCCCCCTTTTGTCTCCTCGAAATACATTAGTGTCGGCCTTTTTCTCGAGAAACCCCCTCTTCCTATAGTCGGGCTATTTTTTCTGTGAAGACGACGACAACGCATACCAGTCTTTCTCTTCGGATCGCGTGGGGGTTCGGGCTTCTGGGATCTCTGGGAAATATTGGGGCAATAGGAAGATGCGATGATGATGTGATACTCAAGCTTTTCTTGTTCATAACGAGAAGGCAAAAGGAAATTCTTTTTCAAAACAAAAAACTTACAAAATCTTTCCCTCCCTCGGTACGGCGCTTGTGTTACGAAATATGATCGTTTCCTTTTCCAGTATCTTGCGACCAGACTTTCATGCTGGTCTATGACGTTCATGTAGATGTCTTCTTTGAATTAGTCGTACTTTCTTTGGACTTCCCCGCCCACTCAGAGGACATTATTTTTGAGTTCTATGGGCCCTGTCTGTACTTGATGGTCCAGACTCCTACATAAAATGTCGTCAATCTTCCTGCATGGACGTAAGGTTATGAGTGAGCGAGCACATATTAACTCACGGAATATATATCGTAGTCTCTGTCTAGGGAATAAGAACATTTGAGATGACCTCCAGATGTTATTTACGATCCTCGAATTGCCGATAGAGATGATTTGGGTTCGGCTACATGGATGGACTAAAGGCTGCTAAATATATATCTCCAACGTTTATGGGAATGAGCACTCTCTACCTAACAGGTCTACTAGGTCTAGTTAAACATAATTCGCGGCCATCTCAATAACATCAACAATCTGATGTCGGAATGCCTGCTGCAATCTCAGATCTTCCTTCGTATCGTCCTCTACACCAAAGTCTCCTGTAAGACACTTTATGACAACCTCTTTATACTTTCGCCCAACACGTGACTCCAGCCTCCTTTGGGCATGTTTAATCAACTGCGCCTGGACAGCACTGGGATTGTTTGCATGCGAGAACATGTTCTTCTCCAGTTTGACTGCCGGCTCCCACAGGCCAATCTCCAGCAAAACGACTCCCAACGCGTATATGTCGTGAATCTTCTTGAACATCTCCGCCGGCTGGCCTTGGCGGTCAGGATGGCGGTAGATGTCTCGCGTCGGCTCAAAGTCCGAATGCCCCACGGAGAAGAAAGGCTCTGGACGACTGAACTCGAAGCCAAGAACCCACGGCTCTGGATAGTTCACTGCGACACGGGTACCCATCTTTTCATCATCGACACGATGGGGCAGGAGCAGGATATTGTCGCTTCGGAAACTCTCGTGCAGCTGAGTGGGTATTATTATTAGCGCCATTGTGGGTCATATCAAGATATCAGCCATTGGTGGGACGGAACATACCCATTGGACCATGTGCATCTGAGCAATACATTTCGAGAGACCGAGGGCAAGGCGAAACTTGTCTCCAAGTTCTGGACGCAGGTCATTGTTGAAGAGCAGTCTCTGGAGACTAACTGGTGCTCCTATAGGCTTGGGCTGGACCTCAAAGACAAACGCGATCGAGCTTTGACGAGGCAAATATTTCCACCCCATACAAGGAAGGACACGAAATACCTGCTCTTTGGGTTGGTGCAGAAGCTTGGCGAGCGATTCGATCCGACCCCGAGTCCGCGCATCAACATCGTGCCCAGGACTGGCTGGTGTGGCCATGGCATCGTAATGATGGTTCTCCTGGATATAGGCAACATTGTTCTTCACGAACATGGCGAACATGCCCTGGTTCTCGACGGGTTGAATCTCTTTGAGATGAGAGTCCCATGAAGGACCCATAAGCTCTAGGGATGCGATCATCTTCCCTGCATCCAATTGAGCTAGGCGCAGTGAAGCATCTTGATCAAAACCGAGTTTCCTCGAAGATTCATCCATTTGAAGATGCATCAAATGCTCCGGTGAAATTCCCAGTTGCGATGCGAGACACCAGAGCTCCACCTTCTTCTTTAGCCGGGAATTGCGATCCTTGAACGATTGCAGAATAGCCTCGACTCGCTTTTTATCGCGCAAAGACCATCGGAGAAGTCCCGGCAGAGAAGGGCTGGCACGGCCCCACGACAAGCTGTTCAAGGAGCCAGATGAAGCCGACCGGTTTCGGGAAAGCGACAGGGTAGATACATTCAGAAGAGAAGCGGTTGGCGACTCCTTGTAACTGCACTCTTTCGAAACACCGTATCGGCGTTCGAGAAGATAAACGCCTTCCTGCAGGATGGATTTGATCTCCACGCAGAGAAGCTCGATCTGACGCTGGATGTCGGGGTCGAATTGCTCGAAGAGAGTTTTATCACCGTACACCTGTATGGTGTTTGTTCAGATCAATGACGAATGCACTCTGAATGGGCTTATTCAAAAGAACCTACCATGCATTCGGAGAAAAGCAGATTGCGGATGAGTTTTGTCTGGATATTCTCGTCGTTGACCAGGTTTCGTAGTTCGTTCGAGTCCTAGCGACTGGTAAGCGACGATTTCCTAATACGGATGAAATTAACTGACACTCTCAAAGGAATTTGCATCTTGAATGAGCTCGCCGGTTCTTTCTCCGAGTTTGATGAGCGCATCAACCACCGTGATGGTCAGGCCCGCCACGGAGAGTGGATCGATCATAGTTCATGGGCCGGGCCGGCTACCACGTCAGAACAATAAGCTATATGTTTTTAGAGAGGGACGCAACCAGAATAGCGCACCACAAAGGGTCTTTGAAGCTGGGGTCTTCTTCGTGCTGCGGGGTTCAGGGAGGGCAACATACGTGAGGCTGACAGCGGCCAATCAGACCATGGCTGTACGTATTTTGGCCCCCCCGCAGGGACTCAGCCGCTCTTCTATCGTGGTGCTTTTCTTCAGCAAAAATCCATCAAAACGATGTCCTACCCGATCTAACGAGCCCCTGGATTCTAGACCAGCAGTCACAATGTCGGTCTCCTCCTTGAGCGATGACTGGATCAGGTGTATGTTCTCCAGACGCGTCGCTGGGTACCTGTCCTCTACTCTCATGGCTAATGAATCCACTAGGTCGGGCGCCGAATGAATTGCAGAGTGACATACTAACATGGACCACATCGATTTCACGATCTCGAGTGTCTACCGTGGATGGCCTCGGCTTTAGCGACAATATTGACGTCGAGTCCATGAACAGCCTAGAGAATCTCCTCCACACAGTGCAGAAACTGAAGTTGAAACGTTTCCCAGCTGAAGACGTGGAAGAGATCTGCTTTGTAGCCGCAGGAGAGACGTTCACTGTGACAGAATGCAAGTACGAGGGTACCGTCGTCGCTATCAAGCGCATCCGACTCAGCGAAGAAGGGAAAGGCTTTGAGCGTTCTTACTTTCAAAGGCGACTACAATCTGTCCTGCGCGAGATATTGATCATGTGTCACCCACCGCTCACACACCATCCCAATATTATTGATATTCTGGGCTATGGCTGGACCGTCGAAAAGCAGCGCCTGTCGCCGTTTATCTCGGTCGAATTTGCCTCGAAGGGAACCCTGAGGGAATACCTGAAGGAGAACGTACATCCGATTCGAACAAAGTTGATTCTCATGGGCGATGTAGGCGCGGGCCTCATGGCGCTTCACAAATGTGGGATCGTTCATGGAGATTTGAAAATGGATAACATCGTGGTATTTTCGTCCCTGGATCGCCCTTGCATGTCGATCGCCAAGGTGTCTGATTTTGGGCATTCCATCATCGTGGGATCTGCGTCTGAGAAGAAAAAGCAGTATTTCGGAACAACTCTGTAAGCCCACCGAGAGGGCTTATTACAAGCTCGGAAGGCCACTTGAAACTAACGCTCCTACCAGATACAATGCACCAGAAGTTGCCGACCAGAAGGACAAACCCATCCTAATCGAGCAACTTCACAAATGCGACATCTGGGCATTTGGCCTCTGTGCGTGGGAGATTTTAGCAAATGGACAGCTTTATTTCCAGCGTAGCTGGCGCAGGAACCCTCTCTACGAACGTTACTCCTCCCTGTCCACGTCATTAACATCACCGACCGGCTCTCACGAGGAATCTATTGATGAAGATGACCAGCACGTTTTTGGTCACTTTGATCTCTCCCATCTCAAGACTCTGGCCATAGAGTTTGTGAACAACATGAAAATACCGGGGATTGGCTTTGAAAAGGGATTCCTACGTCCATTGATGGATCGTACTCTGCAAACTGATCCGGCAAAAAGGATCTCCGACCTCAGTCGGCTTCCAATCATTGTCTCATGGCATAAGACGCCCGGTGGACACTCTCTTCAGTCAAAGCTCGCAACATATGCCATGTCTGGAGATGTTAGATACTCGATCTTCAGTAGAGAGAGCGGTCCGCATATCATTTGGGAGCAACAGCAGCAACTCTTGCAGGACTTTGAGACTGTGGCCCAGGGTTCGAAATCGGATAAAAATGACGGTTCAATCGCGTTTCAAACAATGCTTTGCTATACGAACGCTTTTGGAACATCTCAGGATCTGGCCAAGGCCGAGGGATTTCTTCGAATGGCCGAGGATACTGGTCATTTGGTCGCTCGCATTTTGGGTCCTCGCATACTCAATGGCTTCAACATGGACTCAAGTACCCAGAAAACATATAGTGAATGCCTTGCCTTGGGGTTCAGTATTACCCGAAGTCCTGAATTGATCACATCTTTGGTTGCACATGACGGGGCATCGGTCTCTAAATTCGCCAACTATGCTGACTTTCGCGAAGCCTTCTTTAAGCAAAGACCCCGACCATGGACCAATGACAGCGACGGGGTTCTTGGTGTTTTTCTCACAGTGAATGAATCCACCGTACAGCATAGCTTGCTGGATATCGCACTCCAGCAGGGTGATGCCCAATTCGTGGAGAAACTGTTACCCCTTATCAGGCTGTCAGGTACAGACCCAAAACTAGATTCCCATCTTGTGCTAGCTGCTTTGCGAGGCCATGGAAGCCTGTTCATCTCCCTTTTAAAAGCTGGTGCGGGATTGATAGAGATAACTCCACCTCCATCGATCCTTCATTGGCTCTTCTGTCTGGATGAGACCACTCTCAGTGAAGTGCAGCCGTTGTTGAAAGACTACTACCGTGATCTCAACTTTAAACAGGCATTGAATCATGTGCTTACTGAAGGTGATATCCTTCATCCTCAATGGCCATTCCAGGTTCATGGAACATCCCTTGCTATGGCCGTTGTATGTGGCAGGGAGTCACTGGTCATGTTTCTTCTCTCTCAGGGTGCAGATCCTCTAGCCCCTGCCTTTGCAATCACCGATGACTATATGGGCCCCATTCTCACGCCGATTCATCTTGCAATCAAGTATCACCAAGCAGATATTTTTCTATTGCTTTGGAAAGCAGCATTCAGTGAAAGAAAACCCACGAAAGGCACTCGTGTGCATAAGATCGATAGCTTGGGATCTTTTCCAATTGCCTGCTCCCTGAGCCTATTGACAAATGCTGAGCGATATGCTATTCACGGTTGCATGTATAAGCAGAGGCTGCGGGAGATGGTCAAACTCCTACCTCTGGAAGTTCTTGGCCAGACATCCCCCGAAGGCAGGAATTCAATCACGCAGGCCATTGATCTTGAAGATCTTGATACAGTTGATCTTCTTCTTAAGCACGCCCCCACTCTGGCTAGCAAAAAGCTATTTCAACCAGGCAACAACACCATGTTCACATATCCGTTTCATTTCGCCGTACAAATTGCCTCATTCCGCGATACAAGGGAGTCTGAGCAGATTGCGGAGTCGATTCTCAATCTCGACTCGGCGGCTATAAACCGAGCTGACAGCGCGTTAATCAAACCACTGCATATCGCTTCGATGGGAACTTCAGATCGAATGACCAAATTTCTCTTGGCTCGTAATGCCTCCTGTCATGATTTGGACGGAGGTCGACGCACCCCTCTGCACTTTTGCCGGACTCTGGTCAACGCTAAGGCCTTGATGCTGGGGGGCGTGAACATCAATCACAAGGATAACTTGGGTTTGAGTCCTGCGCATGCAGCAGCATCCCAAGGAGCAGATGAAGTCTTGAAGTTGTTTATTGCGGCCGGAGCAGACCTGACTCTTGCGAACAACGAGATCGGAACGCCGCTCCATTGTGCGATTCAGCGGAAGTCGCGCTCAACAATAGAAATTCTCTTGGCGGCTGGGGTTGATATAAAGGCAAGGAACCGCCGGGGTCAGACTCCACTGCATCTGGCAATGGACATTGGGCGCTCTGATTTAGTCTCGTTGTTATTCGAGCACGGAGCAGACCCTTTCATTGAGGACGACCAGGGCTCTTCTCCATTCAGCATGTCACTTGCTTGGGAGAATCCTAGTATCTTCAACTTATTCCAGCTCCTTGAGAACTTCGCAGTGGAAAAGGTGCATGTCAATGCCTTAATTTTCGCCGCTGCCAAGGGTGAGCCAAAGGTCTTCCGGCAATACTTGGACAGATTACCCGACCCAAGCCGCAATCTAGACCGTGTATCTTTGCCCGAGCTCTATGTCACTGCCATCAATGTGGCTGCAGGAGCTTGCAGAGTGGATTTAGTTGAAATTTTGCTCGCACGAGGCTTTAATGTTAACACTCTCGATGAGAGAAAGAACACCCCTTTACTACGAGCTTGCCAAGCTGGACGCAGGGAAGCCGAATTCTATTCGTACAATCGAACACACATGTGTGAGAAGCTTATACAGCATGGTGCAAATATATTGGCCCGGAACAATCGGGGGTTCACGCCTTTCCTCATCGCCCAAACTCATGCCGACTATCAACTGATGACTCTTCTTTTGGAGCGCGCACTATCACTGCGTCAAATCGATGTATCGACCAGGCGTTCACGTATTTTAGAATCGATCGGAGATCCTGAAAAGGATAGAAACATTTGCAAATTATCCAAATCAATCATGCGTGACGAAATCATTGAACCGCGCTTGCTCTCCGACGCAGTCAAAAATGATGAGTGGGAGTTTGTCATGACCTGTATTGCAGGACATTTTGTCGATAAAAAAGACCTGGAAGGCATTTTTAAGAAACGAGAATGGACGAAGCCCAGTGTGGATAATCTGGACATGCTGCGCTACCACTCAGTCAAAATGGACCGAGAAATGGTTCAGTATCTCGCATCGGGTGCCAAGGAGAGTTCTTCTGAATCCCGGCGTAGTGCTCGCAATGTCGGTCGTCGCAATGTCGAGTTCGAATCGAACGAGTCAAGAGCTTTCCTGAACGACCTTATTTGGCCGGAGGAGATGGATAAGGCGCGACAGAAATTACTGGTCAAATCTAGCTTTGATTATATTCATACTCATGATGCATTGGCAGACCTTCAACAGAAACAGGATGCCTTTTATGATAAGCTCCAGGAATACCTCACGCAAATTATTCTCAAATCAAAGGAGCCTGTGAAACATCCCGAGGACATCGCATGGTTCAAAAGCTTTGAACGAGGCCTTTTCTTGGAAGATCAATATGCCTTTGATTATCGACTGAGAACTCTTTCATTGCATACGAAGTCCATGGAAGAGTCTGAGTCGGCGCCGGAAAAAGCAGCACCTTGGATGGAGCTCCATAATCAGGCACAGTCGCTTCAACGATGGAAAAAACTGATCGATGCGACACATCGAGAGGCTAGGAAAATTGTACAATGGTTCTATATTCTTGCTGACATCGACTATGGAAATGATGGAGTGGTCAATGGCGGAAGCGACGGGGCCCATCGTACTGCGACTGGGCCTGCTCAAATGGATTCCATTCTTGACATGGAGTCTCAAATTCAGCGATCTTCCGATGAACTGGCGGAGATGCACTCAATAGTCGTTCTATTCAAGACCCAGAACAATTTTGTATGAGTGTCTAGCAGTCGTGGGGTCCCTGTATCTTGGATGGGGCTCCCACTGGAATTTGATATTGCTGAGAATATACGTGAATTAGAAGAAATCCATTACGTGACTGTGACCTTAATTTCAAACTTTTAAGCATATTTCTATATGAAGCTTGGTAAACTTTTTGGATAACGCAGAAACTTAAGTTCATGCACTGCGCAACTTGATGCACCAAAGGAAATTTTTGATCAAGGAGAAACCCATATTGATAACCACCTGTAGAGTAAAGGAAATAGCTTCAATATGTCTCTATTTCGCTCGAACTAATACGACTCTTTTAACTGCCCCCAATTGACCATTTCCGAGAGCTCTTTAAGAGCTAGAGCATCCATCATCAATATTCTTTGAAGATACAAGTTGCATGACTTTGTTCTGTTCGGCAAACAACAGCATGTTAGAGGACCCTTGCTGGAACTGAGGCCATGCGAAAAAGCTAGTTTTGGTGGGATTTTCAGCAACACCATCTCCAATGGCAAGTCGCACAGGCCCTCGAGTTGGATCCTCGGCGAAGCTGAGCCACAAAGCTTCCATCGCGTAGCTAACATTCCATTCAAAGCTTGTTGAGGCGCCTCCGTATTCAGAGTGGGTTCCGAAGAGCAAAGGTAGTTCGGCACTGTGATAGGCGCCAAACCAAGGCAGGGGTGAGATATTAGAGAAGTTACCAGCGTACTGATATCGGTACGTTGGGAGATCCCCAGCGTTACGGTTCTTCACTTCTGCTGCGACAGGACAGCTGATGATTTTTGTCGCCTTGTCCAGCGCTGCTTGCCCAGGTCCATTGGGCGTAAAGGAGACGAAGCCGGCTCCTTCGTTTGTGTTGCTACCTATTATCAGAGGCTTCGAGAACTGTCTGTCAGCTTTGCTCTCTCCTATTTTGTCTCACTTTGAAGAGCAAAAACTCACAATTTTGGCAATCTTTCCTTCCAACACCCTCTGAGTCCAATTGGAGAACGCAGTCTTGTCATCGACGATGGGTTTGAACGAGATTGATGGACTTGTGTTATTCCCAGAATACCACGATAAAGCGTTCTCCAAATCTTGAGCTGGGACTTTCCTGACACAAGCGATCTCATCACCAGGTCCAAGATTCTTACACCCGACAAGTCCCGCAAGATATGTGAAGTTTGTCTGCGCCGAATCACTTCCCCCAACGATGCCAGGGCCACCTGAGTCTGCGATGAGTCCTGCCACGATGGGATTGTCGGGGTATCCATAAGGATAAACAGTGACACTGCCTGCACCAGCAGACTGTCCCCACAGAACGATTCTGTCCGGATCGCCGCCAAAATTGGCGATGTTGTCATGTACCCATTCAACACTAAATAACTGTCAGCAGTGCAACAATGACAACCGAGCTGTAATATCATACGCTAGTCTTTGATCCAAGAACCCCAAGTTCTGGTCATCGAGACCCTTTGCGTTTGGGAAGCCGAAGACATTTACGCGATAGCTAGTGTTAATCGATTAGAAGGCCCTCTTGGTGTGCATTTTTTGAGAGACTTACTTCATAATTACGACTATATGAGACTGTGTTCGTTGCACCCATTTATCGGGGATCTTATACAATGAAGCTTGACCCCCACTTGTAAAGCCACCGCCCGGAATGTAGAGCAGAACTGGCAATGGCCGCTGCTGCAACTGAATATTCTCAAGCTTGGGTGCCCATATTGAGAGGTAAAGACAGTCCTCGGAATTGCCACCGCTGATCAAGAAACCCTTTTCGTATGTAGTGTAGATTGTGGAACTATTCGTGTTGAACTGCTGCATGCATGAGTTGGGAAGATTGAAGGCCTTGACAATGCCGTTTGGTTTCTTCTTCTCTGGTTTGGCAAACCGTAGATTGTCGACGGGTGGTTCCGCAAATGGGACACCGAGGAATTGGCGGACATCAGGCGCGGTACGATTGATGAAGCCATGGATTGAACCCGAAGATGTCTCAACGATAAGCCCAGAACCATGGGTGCTAGCGCCATACGAAGAAGGAGCAGCTAATGCTTCGAGCATGTAAATCGCTGCTAAGAGCGAATGGACAAATATTCTCATCTTGGCTCCTTGTAAACTGCCTTTGAAAGAGAAAACTTTGCGACAGCATGTCTTGTCCTGTGTTCAAGCTCCTGCTTTTAAATATTTTGGGGGTTTCTGCTTCAACCCAGAGGGCGGCAAAACGCTTTTGCATGTTTTATAGAAATCTAAAGAAAGTCGTCTAATGCCCATACTCTTCGAGTCATGTCATCAGTCTACTAGAGGCGGGGAATGTATGGATTTGATCTGGGGAAAGCGATATGCCGCGCCACTTCCTGACTTTAACAAGTAAGGGAGCTTTCTTTAATGAAAATCCACGATATAATGCGGGGAAATGCAGGGTTCTCTGCAAAAGCCCGAAAGTCCGATCATATATCCACAATTCCTGTTCTCTGATTGGTGGAAGCTGTATTCTATGCTATTCCCAGAATGAATCGTCTAAGAGAAAAACAGGGGGTGGGATAGCTCTAGGCCGGCGTGCCTCGGTTGCAAATCTGCTGCGGAATTGAACGAACTAAGGAACTGCCGATAGATCACTAATACACCTATCCAAATTTCATCATTGCGGGGAAGCCTTCGTGGGGCTCATCCAACACCGAGTTATGTCGTAAATCGTCTGCTCCCTAAAAGAGTGGGTCGTTTCCCGGAGCCCTCCAAGAAGATAGCAGCTATGTATTTCTCTTCCTCTGCTTTGGCTCATGTTGATCAGATGTTGTAAAGGTCGATGACCTATGCTGGCGGGTCATGTTCAGTGCTAGAAGATTTCTTCTCATAATTATGCGACTAACGAATCTGCTTGCAAATAGGTAACCTTCCACCGTGCTCGCTTAATAATCGTCTCTTCAGAGATTGAATCGTAGAATCCAGACCTCATAGTGCATTCATTGTGTAATGGAATGGTTGGTGTCAAGACCAATTTTCACTGCTACACAGCACACCAAATATTCAGCAAAGCTGACGGTGAAATCTCTTGGTAGTAAACTGTCGAGTCCTTGATTTTTACTATTAACAAAGCCAAATCCGGGATGAAGCCAGTGTGAGACAATCCGGGACTCTTCTTCCATGGGCGATACCTCTTTATATCCGCCATCTTCCGTTCTTGATTTCCAAATGCGCTGCACAAAGCTGCTCACTGGTGCCTGATCTCGTATCACAGGATCATCATATGACTGTCAGAGTTTTTCGGGTTGACCTCAGCATCATCACTTCTATAGTTAACGGAAGGACCAGCTCGGCGGGTGAGACACTACCAACCACAGCGTGCTCTAAGTTCTGGCGGTGACCTCAACGAGCCAAGCGAGACTATCTGAGTTGTCGCCGACCATGAGAAATCCTGGAGTTATGCAGGTTGTACCTGGGATGTAACTATGTCTCAGGGTCTCCCCAAGTTCCCCGCCAAACCGGGTGTGGCACTGCGGTGTGGCACACAGCCTTGCAGAGTTCCCGGAAGTCCAAGCTTAGAGACATCTTGCCGTATTCAACCTTAGTTCAACCAATGCTAGCATCGCGAACACATGGTCATAGTGATCTGCCTGTTTTTGCCATGAGGGGTTTTGAGACTCGTGGAAAACGCGGTTCTTTCCCTAGGGTGGCCTTATTGGCGGTCAGACTCGCCGCTTCATTGTGTTGTCTCAGATAGTCGAAATTGGGTGGGCTGATCATGGTTCCGATTGACAATTATGACAAGTGAACATGGTGAGAGCTCGTATAGTTTCCTTGGCAATGAGTTTTCAAAAAGCTATATAAAGTCCCTCTTTCATCGAGTCTATGTCGTGATCATCCAACATCATCTTCTTACTCAAAGATCCTCCTATACTTATCTTAAAAAGATCATCTACAATGCGGTTCACCACAGCTGTCATTTCTACTGTTGCGGCTCTGGCTCCTCTTGCTAGCGCCGTCGGTAACGCAAAGGTTGTGAACAAGTGTGGTTTCCCCGTCTACCTCTGGTCTGTTGGCGGCTCTGTCAGCCAAGAGTATACTGTCGCCTCTGGCGGCACCTATTCCGAGGTCTTGCACCATGACCCTGCGTCCGGTGGCATCGCCATCAAGCTTACCACTGTCGAGAACGGCTTGTACAATGGAAGCCCCCAAACCAACTTTGCCTACACGCTCGACGGCCAGCAAGTCTGGTACGATCTGTCCGACGTTTTCGGCGATCCCTTCTCCAACCACGCAATCGGTGTCAAGTCATCGGCGAGCTGCCCAAGCATCTGCTGGCCATCGGGTGTTGCTACTAGTGGTGGCAGCCAAGTCAAAGTTTGTGATGCCAACTCCGATGTCACACTGACTCTGTGCTCGGGAACTTGCTAGAGAGTTAAGAAGTAGGGCGTGATAAATTGAGGTGAAGAGGAAAGACCTGTTGTCAAAGTGTTGAAAGTGGCAGGGTAATTATGAATGAGTCTTATGAGAAACTTTGTAGATAATTTCTTGATGCAAATATGACTGATGAGCCCTTGATTCCGTTTTTGTTAAACATTCCGAGTGACTTCGCTAGAAGCACAATAGACCTTAAGGGCCAATTTAACCCTCAAATGAAAGAGGGCTTCTCACAAAGAAGCCACACAAACCAAGTTCCTTCTTTCCTACCTTATCTTGAAATTTCCATCTCAGACTTATAGAACACCGGCGTACGAGGCAAAAAGTCCGTGATAGTACGCTCTTTTTTTGCCATCTTTGGTTACTCCTTTTAGACCTTCAACTTCAGCTTTCTGGTTCATGTTAAAGTTCCAAAATTATGCTCCCTCCTCATTTCATTCGTGATAAAAGTTCTTGTCCAATCCCTAATATTGGCATTACTTTACTGCCCCTTGTCATCTAAACAAGAAATAGTTAATAAACATATCTAAAGTTTGGATTTTCCTTGTCCGTCATGTCGCTGAATGCTGATAAGTCAGCATCGAAGCCAGATTCTTCAGCAGCTGCACCGCCAGTACCACTTTGAAGATCATCCCGTCTCTGGTTCTCCCGCTTCAACAGGATCCACAGGAATGCAACAACCACGACCTCGAGAAGATGTGAGACTATCATGCTCCAGATACCAAGTGAGTAGTCTGGAGCTTGATCAGATTTGTAAAAGAATGGACCAGCAATGTTTCCGACACAATATCCAACGAAGAGGCAAGCACTGCTCGTGACTTTCTTCGTGTGACCGGCGATGTTGGCGGTAGTCAAGGAGAGGAGCATCACGAACGAGGCATTGTAAGACCCCGTCAACTAAGATCAATATTAGCATTTTTTTCACTAATCATTGTGTTTGTAACGAGCATTACATAGTAGCAGATAAGTCGTCCCACTTTAGCACTCTTAGGCACAAATCGCAGACCAAATGCTGCGGCGATGTTGGGGAAAAGGAAAATCAGGATCATCAGGCATCTGCTGTTAGGTGGCATCTTGTCATTGACCCAGACGCAAAACAGAATGACGAGGGCAATAAAGACACCATATGGAATTTGCAAAAGAGTGGTTCCCACTATGCTTGTTAATATCTTTCCTCGATTAGGATGTATAGCGGGTAGCATCTCACAAGTTGTGTATCCAAAGCCCTTCACAATCAGTGTGCCAAAATTAGTGATACCCCCATTCACAATTGCCTGGAGGAGAGCAATGAGGAAGAAGCATAGCACTTTGAGGTCTGTGAAAGCTTCGATCAATTGGTAGCGCTTGAAGTTTCTGTTTTCGATTCCCGTCTGATTCTCGCGCAGTCGCTCAACTGCCATTTTTCTCTGGTCCATAGTCAACAGTGGAGCTGAGACTGGCGAGTCGGGGAGAACGATGAACATGACGATGCCCCAGGCAATGCAAAGGGCTCCGATGATGATGAATTCGTACTGCCAGCTTGGCAGTGACCCTTTGATTTGACCGATTGCATAGCCCAGCAGACCGCCTCCCGCAATTCCGAGGCCCAAGGAGGAGTACCACAGGCCAATCTTGATGGGCTGTTCGCGCCTTGTATACCACATTCCAGTGATCAACATAAATGCTGGATCACCGCAAGCTTCTGCGGCACCACTCAGTCCTCGAAGAACAGCCAGTGTCGAGAAATTCTTTGTTACGGCCTGGAGTGCAAGGAGGATACCCCAGAGAATAATGTTCAGACTAAGATATTTTGCAGTTGGAAATCGCTGCATTAAGAGATTGGTTGGCAGTTGCCAAGCCAGAAACCCAAAATAGAAAATTGATGACAGCCAGCTATACTGGGTTCCGACGAGATGTAAGTCATTGCTAATTCCAAAGATAGCAGCGTAGGAGAGCGTCGTCTTGTCAATCTTTACTTCAGGTTAGCTTCCTTAGTTCTGGCTTCTTGATGTCAATTGGAGCACTGATCTTACATAGAAAAAGACGTAGCAGACAGATAAGCATGGAAGTATCATCAGGTCAATTTTTCGCATGAGGCGCTTCTCCTCAGCAGGGTCCACAAATGCATGGATTTCCTTTGGATCATTGAATAGCTCTAGGGCGGCATCTCCAGTTCTCTTGTTGCCAATTCTGGAATTCGTTGCATCCTCAATATGATCAACTGGAGGCTTCACGTCACTTTGGGTTGTCATTTTGATAGTCTCGAATGGAGATGCTAAAAATTGGACGTAATAAAGAATTAATCTGATAACCCCGAGATGGTTGGTTGTACATAGTGGAGGGGAACAAGGGGAACACGCTTCAGCCTTATATTCTTGCTCCCCACCAAGTATGTACTTTGGGGTAAGCTCATTAAGCCTAGCCTGTCTCCAGGAAAAGTATCCGACCTTTGCATACCCGAAATACAACTAGAAACAACCAATCGGAACAATATGGTCAATGATGCGGGGTTTGGTCCGAGCTTCTTCTATCGGATAAAGCATCTATGAGTTGTCTATTTTCTACTCTTGAACGTGATATGAGACCAGAAATACAGTACTTTGATCTAAAATAGAATCTAGATAGCTAGAGTTGATAGGGCCCGAAGCGTGTTCGCCCATTACATTCTCCCGTTTCTACCAGCTACTTGTGGCTGACGACTCGCAACATTCGGGTCGCTGTCCTGATAAGCCTCGTACAACCATCTTTCATCAAAAGGTTTGGCTTGATCGACAAATCGAAGATCCGTAGAAAGCCGTATAATGCCTTCCGGGCTCTCGTTGCGACAGCTGAATAGCAGGATGTTTTAGCATGCGTTCTCGGTGTTCTTACCTAGGCTAATGCAAGTCAAGGCTAATGAAGTACATCTTACCTGGCATGAATCTTGAATGGATTATGGAAAACAACATCACCAGCTTCATAGTGGGCCACAAGCCACCGACGACCCCAGTATTTCCCAAAATTTGCTGCATTTCGGTCCAGGAATCCTCCGGCCATCATGTTCTTGTTAAACGCAGAGATTCGTTCCTCGTCTGTCAAGCTCTTACTCTTCTCTGAGAAGTCTGCCTCGAACTTCTCTCCGATAGTAACAGAGTTCTCCAAGTACATGAGGCCCCCACCCACCAAAGGGCAGTCTCCTAGTGGGATCCATGCAGTGATCGAAGTCGGCGGACCCGCTCGAAGGAAGATCTGGTCATAGTGGACAGGCGTAGTCTCTCCGCCCGGCACATTACATCGAAGTAGAGTCCGCTTCAACAGCATAGGGTCTTGAAATTGACGAAGCTCTCCAACAAAATCCCTGAGAGGCTCTTCAGCATTTGCTTTGAACTTTTGGTAAAAGTCCGCGACGTGAGCCTTGAAGACCTTGTCCACGAAGACTCCTTCGTCACTCAGGCCATTGAAGACACGGAGAGCACCCGGAAGTAGAAAATTTCGCCAATCTTCGCCGGAGAAAATGCCATTCCGGGGGTTAGTTCCTTCTGCTAGGATTCTGGTATCGCCATTTTCAGTCATGAATCGGAAATACTGTTCTCGCATATCCATCACCTTCTCTTTGTCGAGGATTCCTTTCATCTGCAAAGCAAGTCAGTCGAAATGAATTCCTTATCTCTAATATCTTCCGAAGCGTCTTACCCATAGGTAGCCATCTTCATTATACCTTTTCCGAAGCTCATCCATCGGAAGATCCATTGTAGAGGGCTTCAGCAAGCCAATGTCAGGGAGTGGATCACCATTACCGGCCTTCATTCCCAGCCCGTGCAACTGATTCTGGTCAGATGTGACGGAAAATTGGGGGTGAACGACAGCCGCTGCCATTTCTGCAATAATAGTAACTTTAATCTCGATATTGAGTGAATCGTCAATCGGGGTTTCATAAGTCGGAAGCACTAGGAAAGAAGCCCGTCTAATATACCTATCACATAAAAGGCCTTTTCCTAGGAAAAATAACCGCCAGAGCCGGATAAACTGCCCATAGCTTAGGGCTGGAGAGTAGATAATTCTCCATCCTCTCTGGTTGGATACTTGTGCGGGGAGCTGAAAAGATCATCACCCCGTACGGCACCCCGGTTTGGGGAGAAAGTGCCAGTGCGGGGAGAGTGCGAGAAGCTGGATAAGGAAAAAGTCGCCCACGACTTCCAACTGCTGATATTTTCGACAAGTCAAGGTCCTCGGGCTCATACAGCGTCAATGTCGCCTTCACCAGACTGGAGCAATACCCCATCGGGTGGCCGTGGATCTGGCGTGGAGAAAAAACGGCAGAGAGCAAGTCGTGCTTGCGATAGTTGCAAAGCGTATGTGATCTCACACCAAGCTACATTCCCAGTAACCTAATCATCCTACAGTAAGAAAAGCCGTTGTTCAGGTACTCAGCCATGTGGACCCTGCTCGTTGACAGGACTTGAATGTCAATTCACGGCACCATATACTAGAGGCATACCAAAGACACCTCCGGTAGGCGATTTCAACTGGATAAAATCACCTCGGAGCCCTACAAGACGAAGATCAAATGCAGATACAATCGACAGTGCCTTGTCTTCAACGGAACCCCATAATTTTCATTCTTCTCACGTCCTCTCTCCATGCGTAGAGTCAATCTCGGATGTGTCGCCCCCACTACAGGAGATTGAAGAACATGCAGAACCCTTGTCAGAGCAGGAGATAAGTGATCAGGCACTTATGAGTGATGAACAAGGCCATTTTGTTGGGACTTCGTCAAACGTCTCATTCTTTCTGCGCCTACGAAAGCGACTACAGAAGAGGGCCAACAAGGTCGCGCCAACTTCAATCTTCACTTTTGGTGATGCGGCTTTGCCCGATTTTGATTCTCTATCATTTGTCTTTCCACCTCGTGAGGTTGCCCTCGAACTTGTGGACAAATATTTCATAATTGGCTCTCCAACATACAGATTCTTGCATCGAGGAACAATAGAAGAATGGTTAAACAATGCGTATTCGCTGAGTCCAAGCCAAAGCTACGCGGCAAGGACTCGGAACACAGTGTTGTTAGTGGTATTTGCGACCGCGACGCGACACTTTACAGAATCGTACGATCAGCACAAATTTCAGGAAGGGTATGAATAGTCAGTTAATCTCCCTTTTTTTCATTACTCCTAACACTTCCAGAGTACGATATTTTCAGGCTGCAGATAGGCAGCTTCAGGACGAAAAAGGTCCCATTCGATTGGAAAGTGTTCAAGCCCGGCTTGGACAATGTCTTTTCCTGCTGACTTGTTCGCGAATCAACCACTGTTGGAGCCTGTTCGGAGTTACCTCGCGTCTGACCATTGCCTTGGGACTTCATCGAAAGGGCCTGAAGAAATATAAGGGATTCGAAAATTCGGCAGACCATGTAGAGGAGGAGAGCAGAAAGAGGCTATTTTGGTGTGCGTACAACCTGGACAAATATCTCAGTGCTATGCTGGGTCGGCCCTCAGTGTTTCATGATGATGAAATAGACCAGGTACTGCTTCCTGACAGTCATTTAAACGGAATGTGCTGCGGAAATCTGACCATCCATGAAGGAATTCCCATCTTTGATCGACGATGCAGACTTACCAAGCGGTCTGAACGTCCAAAATGCGGATGCAGACCCGAAATGTCAGGTCATGATCGCTCCAGTGCTGCATTTTAAGTACGAATAAATGCAAATTGTTGTTAAGCATGATCTGACTACTTATAGACTGGTCCGAATCGTCAGTCGCATCCTTCATAGCCTATATGGAATTCATGCCCCAACAGAGGCACGAAGAATCTCTCTTGGGGAGGAATTGAATGATGAACTCCATGAATGGCGGCGTCAAATACCCCCTTTCCTAGACGCGAGTCAGGTCGAACCCAAGTTTCTTCTACCTATGTTCGAGCGTCAAAGTAATATGCTGAGCCAGGCCTATGCCCATGCCGTCATCCTTGTCAATCGAGGTTGGGTTATGTCTGATTTGAAAGACTCACATCTTGCACCCGGCGAGGATATGCGGCCGGATGTCAGCGCCTGCCTGTCTGCTGCGCTTTCTATCCTCGACACGATCAACAAAATGTTTCAAGCGAACAGAATATTCCCAGCATATTGGGTACGTGGGCATCTCACCTATTCCTATTTTTCTCATCAATCATACTCTAACATACAGCATAAAAGTTCACCCAATACCAAGGCTTCTGCGCCATAGTCATGATTTACACCTACACTATCCGTGCATGGTCGGAAGATAACGAATTCTGTCTCAGACACTTTCGAGCTGCAGAGCGCTGTCAGTCCCAGATTGCTTCTATTGCACAGGAGGGCTCACTAGCTCATCGATACTTTGTCATCATGGAGGAGTTCCGCTCGGAAGTACGCGGCCACATCAAGATTGACCCAGACCAATGGACAGGAACAGTTCTGACTCCACAGTCTCCAAATAAAATTCCTCAATGTCAGACATTGACAGATGAGGAACTTTCTATGGTGATGAATGGATTCTTAGATCCTGGGATACCACTAGTTGACTTTGACTTCGAGAGTTGCATGGGGTCAGGGGATCCATAGGGTTGATATTAGGTTATTTGATAGATAAGCAATTTCTGTTGATCATACTCAATGCTACAGATTCTCAATTACTCTCTTTCATCTCCAGAATCTCAACATAAAGTGGAAGCATGTATCACCTTCTACCTTGGGTATCTTATTCACGCTTCACGAGGGGCTTTCCACTATCACGAATTTGTACTCTCGCAACGCCTCCGAGACCCTAATACAGACACATAATTAGATTAGGTTCATAGCGGGACGGAAGTAGATACTCACAAACATCCATAGATCCTGAAGCCCCTCACCCGTAAAGACCAGGTTCGTTACGGTGAAATTGGTCTGAACTTTGCCCAGCAAATTCCCCAAGGGATCAATGACATCGACTCCCTTGCCTGACGCCGTCCACAAGTTACCCAACGTATCAACTTTGAGTCCATCCGGGTCACGCTGGTCATTAATAAATAACGTGCGTTTATTTGTCAGGGAGCCAGTCTCCAGATCCGGAGTATATGCGTACAAAGTTCGAGGCCCGGTAGGATGGTAAGTCAGTGGTCTTCCCGAGTTGACGCCCGTATCGCTGACATAGATCGTAGACCAGTCTGGACTAGACACAATTCCATTTGGCTCCGATAGGGTCCCATCGAGTAATTTACTCGACCCGGATGTAGAATTGAAGAACCACACCCCGGCTGTCAACTGTGGCAGGGAAGGATTGAATTCGCCCAGGTAGCCGAACCAGGGATCTGTCCACCAGATATTACCGTTAGGGTCGACGATGATATCATCTGGGCTGTTGAAAGAGACTCCACGGTAGTTGTTTAAAATTGTTTTGGCCTCGTTGGTCCTGGGGTTGTAGGTGACCAAGGACGCCTTCTGTCCACCGCCGCCTGGACAGGTGAAGTATACCAACCCATTGTGATACGATCCACCTGCGGGTGACCAAATTGGGGGAGATACGTTAAATTTGGACAGTACTGGTGTTTCTCCACTGAGATCCAGCCGATATTGCCAGTATTGACTGATCTCAGTGAAGATGATCCACTTCTTGTCCGGAATCCAGACAGGTCCCTTCAAAAGTATCAATTGCAGGTCATTGATTCGTATGCTCCGAACTTACTTCATGGGTGACCTCCTTCACTGAAAAGAAGAACTCGTAGGTGGCATTTTCTCCAATGAGGGGAAGGAACGCGTCATCAAATGAGATGAAATGATAATTATTCAATTTATTGAACCCCGGAACATTAGTGGCATTCGTGTCACCGTAGGTCGAAGAAGCACCACCATCTGTTCGATTAAATGACACAGGCAGCACGGCTCCATAATGACTGATACATGCCACTCCAGGGGCACAATCCAGAGTCACTATATCTTCTTCTTCTCTAGCCTGGGTGCCAGATGCGTAGAGCGATATCGCAATGATGTAGAAGTGAGGAATAACAAGGATAGAGGACCACATCTTAGCGATAACTCCGTTTTTCAAAGCACTTGGTAGAAAATAGTTTCGATTTTTAGGACTCCTTCTCGATTGCTTGGGATTTGACTGGGTGGGATCAGTTTTATAGTCCTTTTACTTTACCTCTTCCCCTCTTTGGCAGCACTGGACGGAAATGTATCCACGGAAAAGATCTCTAGCCCCGGTAGACTGCAACATAGTGGAAGAATTAGAAATCGAGATCTAAAATAACTTATCATGGCATACCCAGTAGGTTGGTCGTACTTCTCTATTTGAGTTATCGTGGGTAAATTAGGTCAATCTACATCCGTCCCAAGCACATACGCCAGAATCAACAGCTCAACTAAATCGATATCACAACCTCAAGACAACGAAAGCAGAATGCTCTAAAATCCAAATTTTCGTGAACTCCAAAGCTCCATGTATACAATACTCCATACCCCCAAAATAAAGCCATCCCCAAAGAATCCCAACCCAAAATCAAAAACTCCACTAACACCAACCCATCCAAACAATCACTGCGGAAACCCAATCTTCGAAAATCCCAAAATAGCAAGAACAATAATAACCACAACGACAATAACAACCACCCCCAATAAAGGAAACCCAATCCAATACTTCAACACCCGCCCCCTCGACCCATGATACCACTCCGTCTTCATATTCGCCAGACTAAACATCCGAAAGCCTTTCGGGCGAATACGCACGTAATCATCTTTCTCGCTATCAGCTAGGGCTCGCTCGAGGCGCTCTGCTGGAGAGAGGAATGGGCTATTTGGGGCTGAGTGTGTTGCTGGTGGTGAAAAGTATGATTCTGGGTCTGAGGGGGTGAGGTGTGCTTGGAGGGGGCGGGTTGTTTTGAAGGGGTCGTGATCGTAGTTGTGTTTGTTGAGGAGGGTTGTTTGGGCGGGATCGATGAGTTTTTCGTTTGTGTATTGGGTGATTGAGTCAGTCTGGATGTGTTGTGTTTGTAAAGGTTGTTCTGGGATATCAGAGTCTGTGTGTGAATGGCAAGGGCGTGAGTTTATGTCGTAGGGATTGTCGTTAGGTGCGTCATCGAGGTGATGGTAGTTATTGCGCGATGGGAGTTGGAAGGTCATGTTTTCTTGATAGGTAAATAAAGTGGTATATTGTAGACTTTTTTCGAGAGAAGGTATCAGTGCTATAGAGAATCAGCATTCATCTCATCTTCCATATCAAACAAGACATCAATAAGAGGAAACATACTCGAAGCCTGAAAGTAGGAACAAACAAGAATCTTCATCCAAACTCAAAGATCTTACAGCAAGATTTTTCTTCTTCAAAATCGAAATAAACTGAAACAGAAAAAAAATGACCAACACACACTACAAAAAGGGCTCCGCTCTCCTTCAAATATCCCACCATTCCACGTTAACGGAGTCCTTTCCTAGCATCCACCCCTATGGGGCCCTAACCCCTATAGCAATATAAAATAATAACAAACCAACACAGCCTCAGAAAGGACATTAACCAAATTAAAGAGGCCTTCTAATCCACCTACTAATTGTCCCAGTCTTTTCATTGCTACATCAATAATATAGTCATGTCGCTAGCTACCTCTAAAGCACCAAGAGAAAAGCGACATGACAGCTCTTGCTCTAACCAACGCTAACAAGCTTAACTAGCGACGGCACCGCCCCACGAGAAATCCCCCCAGTTTCGCCGACACATTCTTCTAAGCCTTGTCTAGAAAGAGAAACGGGGGGTGGGTGTATGGGGAATAACTTCGGACAAGCTACCCTATCTTAGTGCGACAGCCTTATTACAGTGGAGTCGACTAAGTTTGATGTTTGAACCCTCGAAAAAAACTTCACATTCATCATTTCAGCATTGAGCTACGTAAAGGAGTCTTAAGAAAACACATGAGATATCGAGAAAAAAAAGATGATTTCAACCCAGATTTTAGGAGAATGGTTTAGAAAAGAGCAATATCAAGGCCTATCTACCTCACCCGGTTAACTAGCTTATAGATTCGGACCTTTCGAGCTGCCACCTTTACCTTTTCCATAACCCGTAAACAACGCCAATCTCCCTCCCAAAATACTAAGTAACTTCGCCCTATTAGACTACCAACAGCCAACGGTTTCCCTCAACGCCGCGTAAAGGCGATCTATTTTTACCCCGAAAATCCACCGAGTCTCATTCTAGGCGCCCAATAATCAGTCCAGAAGTATCTACGCCTTTTTGCCCTTCCACACCGCAAGAGTCACGCACTATAGGAGATGAGGCTTAGAAGGAGAAAGTTGACTGAGGCAATCCTACTATGCCCCGACTAGTTATCTGCTATCTGTGATACAGAGATATTGTTATCTCATCTTTCCAATATCCTCAACTACTCACACAATACAAAACATCCAAAACAATTCAAACCTCAAAACGAACCTCCTCCCCACCAAGCCGTCCAAACGACCCAGCAAAAAAAGGGGAGGAAAGCATGACATATATTCATGATATGACCAAGGTATAATAAGAAAGAAGAGAGATATGGGATATATGATAGGCCGTGTCAAAACCACCCATGCAAAAAAAGTAAAAAAAAATCGAAAAAAAGGAAAGAAAAGAAGAAGTCCGTATATGCCACAAAATCCAGAACATAAAAGGGGCCATCAAAGTGAAAAATCGAAACAAGGTCCAAGGCAGGCCATGATAGGTGGTGAAAAAAAGAGAATAACAATGGAACCATATCCAAAAGGAAAAGGAGGACAAAAATGAACAATGATGAAGAGGCTGACCACGCCACATAAACACCAAGGGGAGGAACAATTTCAAGTATTCCCGGACCCCGATACTGAATGAATTCAAATTTAACCCAAACCATGCCTGATGATAAAGAAAAGGCAAAAAAAGATGAACAACTCCCGAGACCCAAAGCGGCGAGTGGGTCATGCAGAAAAGAATGATAGTAGCGACAGCTACTTCGAAGGCTCAGTGAGGTCAGGTGCACGATGGAAGATCTTGGTATAAATTTCAGTTAGGATGCGAGCATCAGCACGCAGGGTGGGCGAAATGTTCTGGCTGCGCAGGAGGAAGCGAATGGTGCGCTTAAGGAGGCGGTCAAGGGTGGAGCGCTCGACGAGCTCGGAGAGACTGGAGTTATATGTTGCAGAGAGGACGAGCATGTTACCGAATTGACTAAGAAAATGAGAAGAAAAGGTCAGTCATGACGCTCATCACGGACATGATCAAGGCCAGGGGATACTTACGCATGGGCTGTACCGAAGATGTTTGTCACGATGAGTCGGTCCTCGACACCATCGAATGCCTCGGTACTCAAGATGGCAGAATCAACGCAGACCTTGCACGCGCGGCGCAGCTTGGTCTGCAGTTCACGGAAGTTCACCGTCGGTGGGGTCCAACCGTTCGAGAACGAGGAAGGGAGGCCACTATTTGCCGAGCCTACATCGCTCAGCATGCGCTGCATATGTGCGCTGCTATTCCGACCAGAGGGAAGAGTCATGGACGGTGACATATGTTGGGACTGTGAGTTCGAGGCGGATCCGGTCGGCGACTCCACAGCGGTGGACTTGGGCAGGGCGCCAATGCGGGCACCAGTCTGGCCGTAGTGGAGGGCGTGATAGAGTAAGGGTCGGTGGATAATATAACGAGCACCATAGTACTTGGCACGCATGCGAGCGGCGTTGATGTCGGAAGCGGGCAAATCGTCGTCTCTCCAGTTCATGGTCTCGGGGAGGCTAGAACGCCAGAGCTCCAGGTTCATACTTAGAGTCTCTTGCACGCTAGAAGACCACCGGCCAGTTTCACCTTGCTTGTCAACCTTGTAGAGATCGGTATGAACACGGTTGAGTACTTTGCGGAGATGGATCTGGGCCGAGTAGAAAAGCATCATACGTGTGCTACGCGCTTCAAGGTCGTCTGGGATGTCGATGGTAAAGCGGCCCTTGGGTAGGTTGATACGACCCTCGGAGCGTGAGATACCACTTGCAGGGATGTCGAGCTCGGCGAGGAGATCACTCTCCAGCTGCAGACAGGTCCAGTAGGCAAAGTTGAACAAGTCCTGGGTCCGGCCTTCTGGGAGTCGCTCGTATCGTTTTTGCCGAACGAGCACCTGGCATGCACGGGCTGCCTGGCAGATCCAGCCATGACTTTGAAAGGGGTGCGCTAGTTGACCAGCATATAGACCGGCAAGCAGACCAGCCTGAACATGCTGCAATTCCACACCGCCTTGAAGCAGACCGAGGATTGTCGTAGCATAGCCATACAGCGCAAGACCGGGAATGACTTGTAAATTCTTGACATGGCCGTACTCATCAGTTGTGGCGGAGATGGTTCGCCTAGAGAGGTTTTGCTTAGGGTCTGGTTCGGAAGGGTAGGTCTGGGTGTGTTGGAAGTGCGGCGCATAGTCAGAATTATGAGGCACGATAGATTCAGAATTAGGAGGCGAGAGAACACCATTCGCGGCATGTGCGGCACCGTTAATATTAGGTTGGAGTGGCGGTCGAGAGGGTACGGGTCCAAGAGGGGAAGGAATGTATTGATCTCGGTAGTCCTCAACCTTCGGTTCCATGATCGGGCCAGGCAGGGGAGACTTGTGCTCGCAAATTGCACCCAGTGCAAAGATGAGAAGGACAATAGCGTTGTCAATATTCCGTCCCACTCGGGGCCGGGTTGAGGCCAAGCTGGGGTCCGCGGAGGTACCTCGAATCCCTGGAAGATCCTCGTCCTCGTGTGACCGTTTTCGCTTCTTATCCCGGCATAACGAGTTGGGCTCCGACGAGGGCGACGACGAGCTCCGGGGACAGTAGCACCGGATGAACGCATCGACCTTCATCTCGAGCTCCTCTTGCCACAGGAACGGGTGCAATTTATGCATGCGATTCAGGTAGCTCTGGAAGTACCGATGAGCCGTCTTTCCATCTAGCCTGAGTAGTCCGAATCGGTCGATTTCCGCATCGGCATCTCTAGACGAGGTAGCGCTGAGAATTTTCGATGTTCCATCCGGGTTTGATGACTTTTCGCTATAGCCACCGTCGTCGTTCGGCAGAGGTGGCGTTGGTAGTAACGTGTCGTCGGCTGTGTATGAGATCTCACCCTGGCCGTAAACACTGATCAGACCCCGCTGCTCCTCCAATCGCATCACATAATCCTCGTCATATTCCGCATTGAGCAACCTCTTGATGGAAGGCCACATGAGAAGTTTGTGTGCCGCCGTTGTATGCTCCACGGGAATCGACAATTCTCCTTCATTGTCATTCTTTGCACTGTCCTCAAAACTTTGATTGATAATCGGTGGTTGTCCGGCATCGATAGTGGTCTGTGAATAAAAGGAAGTCGAAGCCTGTGGTTCTTCGAGGGCTTCGATCAATGTAGACTCAACCTTCATCAACGTTTCTTGTGGTGGGCCACCAACGGGCGCGGGAATCGGAGGGGGCGGGAGAGCTGCAATGGGTTGAGAAGATGTCAATCGCGAGGGATCATTGCCCCCGACCGCCGCCCAAATGTCTGCGAGCATTTGTGCTTGCGACCGCAGTTCTGAATGCATCTGGCTTTGTAAAATCTGGTTTTTGTAGGTCTCCTCTGTCTTCCACATCTTGTTAGAAATTTCGAATTTCTCCATCATTTTATCCTCCAATTCCATAAGTCGATCCAGGACCAGCTGCACACTCTTCTCCTGTCTGTTTGGGACGTCAATACTTCGAGTTCCGTTTTTTTCCCTCTTGCAGTATGATGGGGTCAACGGGGCTATACGCACTTATGAGGCGGAATCTCCTTGTAAACACACATCAAGCTGTTCTCCTTGCAATGACTGCATGCCGGCCGTCCCTCATCGCACTTTGCTTTCCTCGCTCGACATTGATCGCAAGCCTACGACGACAGTATTTAGTACCGTCCCCCCACAACACTCTACGTCTCCGCCACTTACTTGCTGTGCACGAGCCGCCTTGCGCTGACGAGCTCCATAAGCCGGATTTGAGTAATAGCTCGGATCATACGGGCCTGGCGTGCCGGGAGGTATTGGCGGTCCGGGTGGCATATATGATGAAGGGGGTAGTGGGCCAGATGTCGGGGTCACCTCGCCCGGCGCAGAGGTCTCGGATTGAAAGCTCATGCGCGAGCGATACTCTGGGGGCGCAGAATGCGGCGACGACTCGTGCGGGGCGCCATTCATGGCAGGTCGATAACCCGCATGCGGAGGGGGAGGAGGGGTCGGATCTTGTGGGTGAGGAGGAGGATGTGAAGGAGGGTGCGCAGGCCCAGACAAGCCGTTAGGGCGTGCGTAAGGTCCATCCAGTGGAAGCTGGGGAAGCTCTCGGTTTAAAGGAACGGGGTGGTATGCTTGGCCGGGCATCGGTGCCTGGGTACTGGAAGGTCGTCGGTCTGGCGCATGGCTAGGATGGCTAGGATGGCTGGGATGACCGGGATGACCGGGATGGCTGTCGAAGGAAGGTGGGTATGGCGGACGAGCCCAGGCATGCTCATAGACAGCATGCGCGGGCGGCGCATGATGCCCCTCTGGAGGTCCGCGGTTCATGGGAGGCAGTCTAGACCCGCGTACACAGGGAGGGAGAGGGGGGGAGTATCAAAGGAGTTCTGGAAGGGGGGATTGGGAGTCAGGCGCATTCCTTTTTGTTTTTGTTTTTTGGGGAGCTCCATTTTTTGTGGGGGAGGGGGAGTGGCTTCAAGAGGGGGGGGGAATGTACCGGACAGAAGCAATATAGCTTAAATGCTGGAAGAGCTGCTTAGAAGAACATGGCGAGGCGCAACAAGGAGAGAATGGGGGGAGAGAGAGAAGAGGCGAGAGGAGTTGCGCGTCGGATGGAAAGGAACTGGACCGAGGGAGCTTCCTCGATGACGTTTCGGCGCGCGCTGGGGGGTGGGAGAAGCTCTGGAGAAAGGAATGCAAAAAGGCCGCGTGCGACGTCGCGCGGTGTAGCCAGCGGGCGGTTATAAGAAAAGGGTCGTAGGCAGCGAAGCTCGGCGAATTCAAGCCAAGTGGGTGTGCGGCGTCGCAAAAATGGGCGTTGGGTAAGCTCTTAGGTTTTCTTTCAAGCCGAGTGGAGCAACTAGAACAAAGAAAGGGTCAGATACAGCCAGGATCGGAGCGAAGGTCATTCGGGATCGGATCATACGCAAGTCCGGATGGAGTCGAGATCAAGGCAGGAATGGGGAAACGGAAGAGAAGAGGGGAGGAAGAGGAAAGAGTATCAGATAGATCCAGTTTGGAGGAGTCGTTGGGCAGGGAAGGAGGGGGGAAATGGAGGTCGAGGTACAGAGACAATCATGGCTGGGTATAGTACGGTATGGGGGGTACGTATGGTATTGGTACCGGGTATGTATGTATGGTATGGTAACGGTGGGGACAGAACTAGGAAAGGAGGACAATAAATAATGTAGATCCACTCACCGTAGATCGAATACCCCAGCGAGATGATGATTCACAGTGTAGTAAGAAGTACCCTAGGATCAAAATGTAGTACTTTGGAACCCCGTGACACGGTGGAGTTCGGCTGACGGGGGGAATGGGGAAGACTTGGGCTTGGGAGGGGGAGGAACCTAAGCCGAAGTGTCGGGTCGGGCGATCGAAGGGTTAAAATGAGAAAAGAGTCAACCGAGTCAAGGCAAGTAAAAACGGTATTTCCAGAGGTTCCGGCAGGTTGGGTCGGGGAAGAGAGGGAAAGAAGAGGAAAAGAAGCGAGGGGAGGAGGAGATGGGAAAAATATAACTGGGAAGAGGAGGAGGATCAAAACGCGGAGGGTCATAGAGAGGAGGAAATAATAATAATGATAATAATAATAATTAATCAAAATAATAAAAAATTTTAAAAATAAAATAAAAACAAGTAGGGCTAGGGAATTAGGGAAGGGTCAAATGGAGACTGGGGGAGGGATAATAATCGCGTTGGATCAGGTCCAGTGAGAATTCACAGAAATTGTAGACTGTCGATTTCCAGTTAGGGATCGACATCCCCATCCATCACAAGCTGCCCCTCCCTAGATTGCATGGATCGCGATCGCAGTATCGAGTCTTGGACTAGTTTCTATACAAGTCAAGACGGACATGATCATGAATTGTAAATCGTATAGAATATAGAGCTTAGCTTGTAGCTATCTAACAGGCATAGTATTGGCCGCCTTTTATCCAGATATGTAAATGTCTTCCTCAATGTACCGATAGACCGACATTCTAGGTATCGTATCCCAGATCAAGTACAAGTACTCCCTACTGTACTCCATGGAAACTCCATCCCCAGATCGAACCTCGATCGCATATCTATCGCGACCAGGGAAGTCAAACGCACGCACTCCAAAACTCAACCAGACTCCCTGAACCAGCCCCGGCCGAGAGGTACTTTCTCAAGTTGACAGGTCTGCTCTTTCTCTCCCGTTTCTTTTTTGCCTTCGAGTCATCACGGAGAAACCGGTGGGTCCACGGCTAGATAAATAATGGTAACCAGACAGGCAGATCAGGATTGAAAACGGGGAATGGTTACATAGCATACTGTATACCGTATACTGTTCATGTTATCTGCCTCTTTAGCGGTGTCTACACCGATTGCTCATTGATGGTATACAACCTCTTGGTGGATAGCCTCCCTGTAGCATTGGATTGGCCATACTCATTCACCCAACTCCGCAATAATGTCATTCATTAAAGTCCATTCACCAACCATAACTCTCAGCCTTCTCCATTCCCTCAATAATCGAAGCGTAACCACCAGGCTGGAAGACCGCCCAGGCAAAGTTGGGAAGTTAACCCGGAGGATCTCTCCCAAGTGGGGAAAAACGGGGGCTGGTTGGGAATCATCATGAGTATCACCGCCCAAGAGAATGATGTAACTATCCAATTGCAGTTCCATACTAGACTCCTTGTATGAATATGATATAATTATAGCACCTCTTTAACATCACCTTAACATCTACCTTGGTATACACAGCAAAGACACTGATTCCCATCGATGACGACAAACACAATAGACAGGGATCATCAATCCCAAGGACCCAACTCTCGGGAAATCTTAAACTCATCCCTCGTAGATGCAAAACGACTGTCCAATGGGCGCCGGAGACTATCCCCGATCTCGATCAATGGAAAAGTGAATGGGGACTTACTGACGCCTCGGCAAAGACGAGTCAAGTTGTCAACCACAGGAGAGTTTCATTGCGCGCATCGCTTGCAAGGGGGGAAGAGGGGGGGAAAGGGTTGTGCACCGAAACAATGTCGCAACTACAAAATACGATTGGCCAGACGCTGGGTTGGACTTAGTCAATGGATTTTCAAGTCGATCAGCGGGCTTCTCGAAAAACCACCGAATTTTCTATTCGGGGGGGGGGAGAAGGGGAGAGTGGCAGGCTGGTGGCCCCAGGAGAGTGGTAGAGTTGCCAGTAGATCAGCGGCGGTTGACCCAGTGTTTTGGGCAGCATGCGCTTGTAGGAGGGGGGAGACTAATGGAGGGGAGCGGGATGGAAATTGAATAAATGCCTTTACTAGCCTGCTCTTGTGGAAGATAGTGAATACGAAGTACGGAGTACGGTGTATTTAGAGACGAGGAGTGGCCACTTCTTTGCAAGCTTTAGAGTTAAAGGAAGCAATTGAAACCCACTCCAGTCAGGGTATTGGGGGGTAATTTCAAGAATCAAAATTACAATCCACCCACGGGAAGACTCAGGGACCAGCCGTCATTTCATCCATGGAAGACACGGCGGGAGTCTCCAGAGATCCACCGATTTCGATAAACAACAACAAACAGAACCAGATTGATGGAGACAGAGATGCTTAACTCGGGCTAGGGGGTTTGGTTAGACTTATTGGCGACCTGGGTGGCATTGGGATCTGGGCTGGTGCGGTTGTATATCTCGACTTTGCAATAAGAATGTCCCATTGCAAAACGGTTGTAGTTGGCTAGTTAACTGGTTAGTACGAACTGTACACAATAGACTCTCTATAATACAAGTTCGAGAATGAGATGACGATCAAGGTCAATTGGTTCTACATTTTCAAATCACCCCTCATCTCAAATAACCAAGACTATCTAAAGGAAACAATCTTCTTTAAATTATGGTAGTACGAAGCATCGTTACAGTACATACTATTCGATCAAATGGAGATTGTAATTTAGTCTTTGTCCAGTCTCCATTTTCGCGTACAGTAATTGGTCATTACGATGCTTTAGTTCCCGCCCAGCCAACCATTCTGGAAGAAAAAATGACTTCATCATCCTGGTAAGTTACCACCAGGATCATCTCCCTCCATCATTGGCGCACGAAAATCCCGGCATGATATCAGAACTGGAGCCCGAAATCCCATTTTTCACGAAATCCCGTCCAAGGCATATCCTCCAGCACACACCGCCAGAAGACGACACCAAGAAGGCAAATATTCGATTGTGGCATCCTTCTCTTTGCTAAGCGGAGAAGGATGCTCCGACGAAGAAACCCAAGTTTCAGGGCCACACGTATGGGTAGCCGCGGCACATAATCACCCGTCTCTATATACTCCATACAATACTCCATACTCCATACCTTCTCATGAAAGCTTTGTACAGTATTTTGCGAACCAAATCACTGGGAATATCCCGTTAACCAAAATTAATCTTCCCGGTCTCCGCCCCTCGGCACATTTACTTTTTGCAAGTGGCACGGCCACAAACCCCAAAGGAATCCCGACATCGCTGGTTTTTGCTTCTTCTGACCGTTGAGTCGTTCGCGGGCCGCCCGTCGACGGGATATCTGGGAATTCCACCTCATTGGAAGTCCTCCTAGTCCTATCGTAGGCCCCCCTATTACTTCCCTATTCTCAATAGCATATGGCGACACATATGATAGATAGACATGCAAGATGCAGATACTCTTTCGCCACAACCAGTCAATGCAGCATGTCTCCGATCAGCTGCCAGACACCAGCTGAAGCGGCAGGGAAGATGGGAGAAGAGAGAAAAGGATTGAGGCGAAGTGGCGTACAGTGGAGTCGACGAGGCCCATCTTCAACCCGCGGCTGGTTACATTCTCCGGTCTTTCCACGTCCAATAGTGCCCATCCAGGTGGTCCGTCGTGCAAAATTCAATAGTTCGTGAATTGAGACCTGGCTCCGTCTAGGCGAAGCGGAGGCTTGGATCCTGCCATTTCTCCGATTGGTATGGCATATTTTTGACAAGGGAGAAACTCCCCGATGACACGGCATAGATGAGAAAGGAAAATTTTTGTTCGGCCATGGTAAATCGTCTATGTTGACGATAGTATACAGAGATACCTAAATAATTAACGTTTCATCCGATCCGACCGAGATATGTCTATTCCTGTTCCTATCTGCTGCGCGATGCGGCCGGCATCTTCTTACCCAGACAAGGCTGGCCGGTTTCGCCACACTACAGAGTAGGCTGAGACTCTTCATAGAGAACCTGCAGTACTGTTGCTCAGATGATAGCATAAGACATTCATTAGCTAGCATGAGACACTCATCAGCCCTTCCAGTCCTCCACAGTCCACGCCCCTCCGTTTTTCAATCGCCCTCCAATCCAGCCTAATTTTCCCGTCGCCGATCCGCCGTTTCCACTATCCTGTCTCCTGGGTCCGGTTGGGCGCATCCTGCCCGATGGCGTTATCAGCGTCAAAGTTGGGCATGGAGGAAACCCTTTTTCGTCTTTGGAGTTCTTGCTCTATGTGAGTAGTGGCACCCTTGAGATCGGGCAGATTGGAAATGTGGCCAGGCACCGGTTGGAGGTCAGCTGCCATTAAACATGACGGGGAGGAAACGTAAATTACCGTATTCAAGTGAATCATATACGATATAGAAGCCGACCCTGCCGAAACATTGGTATTAAATAGTATTACTAAACGTGGAAACTCTTCGCATTCACTTTCCTCATCTATTATACAGATGCAGATGGAAGGCTTGTGTATAGCTACGAGGAGGTACATAACCATCGAATCCATTTGGTGTAACACACTATAGCCCATATCCCCCCACTCGATCAAAGCAGTAGACAGCCTCAAAATAGTGATCTGTACTATCAATAGACCCATTAACAGTCCACACATAATACTCCGATCTCGCACCATATACAGAGTACAGTGGACGATGATATACATACAGCGCATGCTGCATACATAGTGTCCAACACAATGCCCCCATCCAGCCGATCACCATCACTCCCAAAGTCAATCTTGCAGCACCAAAACAACGCTCAAAACCCAACACACAACGACATTGTATTCAGTGCAGGAACTACGCGTCCAAAAACTCCCCCATCTCCTCGGCGAGTCGCCGTAATCGATACAACACTCCTGTATAGCGTCTGGAGCCTGCACGTCCATGCAGGACGCGATAGAGTTTCGCTCTCTCTCATCCAATGGCTTCACGCAAGGGATATCCAGAAGACCCCCAGCTATCCCCCGGAAATTCCAGAGGTTCTGGGGTAAGTATGCTCTGATTGAGTTGGTATGGTGAGGCTGCAACGCTGGGGGTGGGCTAGCATCTGCTCTGCAAGGTAGGTAGGTACAAGGTAGTACCTAGTATGGCTTGACTGAATTGGATGCTGGATACTTCGTGGTGAGTTATGTTATCGCCAATTCTACCAAATCGAGATATCTAGGCAGACATGCAAAGAATAAGTCCGCGGAAATCTTACGGACAATCTGACATGCCGCTTGGCGCGTCGAGATTCGCTGGCGTGTCGCTGTGCATATTAGATATACAGCTCCAGTCAAGGTGGGTTTATCGTCCGTTCTTCACTCCGGTCACAGCCTCGGTGGCACTTATTTCCAAGTGAGATGCAGATATAGCTATGTATAGTGTCCACGAGACTCTCTGGTGGGATGGGTCGGTATTCCATAATATGATAACTAGCGCCAGCCGGTGAACATAAGTTGCAAACCCAATGCAGACATGCTACTAAACCAGGTAGCTGGGAGCGGGAAGGAAAGTAAATGTGGAGGGAGTGTGGAGAATGATCTCCAGTACAGATCGCCCCTCTATCTAGTCCATCCGTCCACTCTCCGTGGCATATCATATTGCATGGAAGGACGCCCTACAGTAAGCTACATAGGAACCACTGCTCTGTACGATGAGTTGTACACGCGGCCAGGACCGAAGTCTCAAGTCCTCACGTCCAACCTAGACAAGAGCGTGCACAGTTCTAAGGAGGATACTGCGGCAGTGGAGCTTGAATTATAGATGGTCGCTTGTGACTGACAAATGAAATCTTTTCGATTTGTATCGCATTTCTCAATGTATCCTGGAGAGTGGCGGGTTAGGACTGGAATGCTCCGGCAGGTCGTTGTTCTGGATATGTACGGTTATACTCGCTTATAGCCATATTGCAATAGTTTATTGGATCAGTCCGTATCAAGGATCTTCTCCGCTTCTATGTTTCAGTTCTGATGAGGTGAAATCACTAGGGCGGATCGTACCAGTCGCCGTGACGATCGCGCACATCCTTTTTCAATGACCTTCTCTGGGGAAATTTCCGAGACGGGCCAATCTCCATAGACTATAGAGTATTATTGTCATCCTTTCTCGCGTGACTGGAATGAGAGTTGGGATTGCGCATGGATCGGCAAGTCCATAAGTAGCAATGGCCGCGGTTAAGGAAACGATCATTTACCTACAGGGGTAATTGAAGGGACATGTTCTGACTCGTTAACGTTTGACCTATAAAACTGTATACCCCCAGTTACGAGGGACGGCAAAAGGAATTATACAATCATGACAAATCGGGAAACGCGGTTCAAGCGCGGCCAAAGCGTTTAGCTCTGGAGTTGATCCGCTTTAAACACGCTGTAGGAGCATCTGAACTTGACAGAAAACGCGTCGCATGGTCGTTAAGTCAAGCCACAGTATATATACGCCATAACACACATCGAATTTCGCTGCTCACAGAGCAGACGAGCAGGTAGCGCATGTTCCAATTACCCGAGTCCTTAATTCCACATAGGCAACTTCTACCCCTGGTTCGTGCATGCTGAATCGATCGGCTGTACAGCGGGGAGCTGAAAATAACGACGCACAGCGGATCTCCATCGATGAGGAGTTTTCCCCAGCCCACACAAAGCGCGCGTTGCGACCACGCCAACGCCAACGCCAACGCCATAGCGCGACCATTGACAATGTAACAACACAGTATGTATAGCTCATACAGTATATACAACATCCACTTGTAATAACCCCATACTCTGAATCCACAAGCAACACTCGGGCCTCATTTATCCAACGGGATCAGCCCAGGCCCAAGACTATGGAAGCGGTGGAATGTGCTGGGCTGAGAAGCTTGGACATCGACGAAGTAGGTAAGTCTAGTACAACAATTGTATACGATGGACCCGAGTCTCTGGCTCAAGGTCTGCAAAGCACTGGACACCATGAGGCTCAGCGCAAGCTCGAGCACGATCCAGCCCTTCCACTTTGCTTGTTTCTCATCACCGTCTCGAGCTCAAAGCTCCTCTCTGACAAGTGACGACCGAATCACAACATCCAATGTAATACCAACCAAGTTGGTGGAAATACACTTTCAACCCACCCCCACCTCTGGTAATTGTGATGTATACCAACACCGTCGTACAGCGCAGGTCCGCTTGCGCGCTGTTTGGCTACGGTCGCCCCCGCGCCGAGTGTACTTTTGGGAATAGCTTGCCACAGTAACGACCCTCCTGACGCGCTGAAACTGACGTGTCGCATGGCGATGATACCGTAGTTCACGGTCCCCCCTCCCTCTCCCCAGACCCCTTAAGGTTCTAGTATTTCAACGACTGTTCGTTCATCACAGTCACACTAATCTATCGTGGAACCAGACTGTCTAATTAAACATGAAAGCCGGTTTATTCTGGTTCCTTGATCTCGGATCTGGCGGATCCTGTTCCATCCACGTGGAGATTGCTTTCCCATGTGGTTTTTTTGAATGGAGTCTAATTGAAGGATTATACATTCTATCTTCTCAGCCCCCATGAGAAGATGGTTCGAGCTGTACTGGAATTCCCGCCCATTTGGAATGAGGTTGGTGATCGACTCAGGGGTGTGTTCGTGGTACTTTTCTTCCCGCTCATCATTGCCTCGGCTTTGAGGTTGGTTCGGCGCCATTGGTAAAAATTGTACTTTTGGAGGGGACTGTGCGGAATTGCCTTACTTTGTGTACGATTCTCCGCGAATCAAGTGTGAGCTGATTGAGGGTTCTTGATGGTTTATGTTTAGGGTTTGAAGTCCGTACGTTATCCTGTTGGGGTAAGTGAGTTGGATCTGCAGTGGTATTAGGCAGTTGTTATAATGTTGGATGTTGGATTCTTTCTATCTGTACAAGTTTGCTCATTAGGTGGGTTCAATCGTGGGGGCTGTCATTATTAGAAATGGTATTGCTGGATTAATTGCCCCGGTCACGGTCAAGTTGATGGAAGATAGAGAGCAGAGGCAGTACTATATATTGTGGCTACCTACCCGCGATCCCACTTATATATATGCACGGTCTGGAAGCGCATTGCATTTAACAAATCGTCACCAAACTCCATAAAACGATACAGGATAGTAAACCATTTATAATTCCGGATAAAAAGCAGTCAAATAGGCAACAAAAACCCAAAATAACAAGGAAGCAAAAAGAAAGACAAAACAAAAAAACATACAACAGCCAGGATTCGCATGTGGTCACCCACCATACTACTAACTGGCCGGCGTGTGGCTTAAGTACGGCTGAGCGGACGGGAAGCCCTGTTCTCCACACCCTATGGTCGTATGTACTGGAGTGAACATGGAAACGAATTATATACCTAATTAATACATACTGCTCCACACGATTTACATTGGCTTTCAAAATCAACCCGAACGAGTACCCACGAGGCCAACAACCTAATCGGAAACCAACGTACTCGATTAACCCAAACCATTCACCCCCTGTGTCCACGACTCGAACAGGAAATAACGCGATGTGATATCAATAGCCCATCAGTAAAATCTGTCTAAATAGGAAGGTAAAATAGAATGCAAACTCCCGTGGTAAGAGTGTGTAGATCTGTATTCGCCCTCTCAAGAATGTACGGGTGTACTTTTTGTACATTATATCGCGCATGACAATAATCTAGCTTGCAGCAACGCCTGGTCTGTCCACCACCACCCGTTTCTTGCAATGTAAGGGAAATCTTGCCGGGTTTCGTTCAGGGACTGGATCGGGGATCTTGCAGATACTGCATGTGTACCCGGCTTAATATTCCCAAGTCAGTCTCCTGCAGGGGATATCAGAACCGTAATTGACAGAGGGGAAAAGCAAGGTAAAAAGAAAGCAGATTGGCCTGTTTTCGGTGACCACTTGAACCACCACAGATTTTGGGTTGTGTTGGGTACATGAGTAATGTTATATCTGATATCATTTTCTCCTGACACATATCCTGGAAAACGAAAGTAGTGAGCGCACGGTGTCCTAATTGTCAAGCCATCGAATTAACTATTCCAGATACATACAACACTTTCCACCCCGCCGTGGCCCGTACCTTGCTCTTTGTCCGGAAAGTTGGAATAACCCCCCTCCCTTCCCTACACCGAAACAGCAGCGCCTTACCGAAGTGGACCACACAACGAAACTCAAACCGCACCCTCGGAAATACGCCTCCTCGAGAAATAACCTGCATCACTGCAGATGATTTGCACATGCAGCGACCGGTTCATGCACAGCAGTTCCTACCCGTACATACAAAGAGCGTGCTGTAGGGATCTCATTCAAGGACCCTCGGTGGTGCTGCGGGTAGCCATTTCGGGAAGAGTGGGAACAGAACTATCCACTCCCGTATATCAAGTACTGTATGTATGTATAACGATCGCCTACGTACTGTATTCTGGTATATTTGGATATTATTCGAGCCTCTAGCTCAGATCTCAACTATTCCAAGCCCGAATCCTATAGAGAGCGCTTTGGGGATGGTTACGGAGAATGGCGGGAGAAAACATGGAGATGGCTTCAGGAGTTGGGTAGGTGATCCACAGGACAAAAGTACGAACTATCCCTACTTGGATAGATCTGGTCCCCGAGGTTCCCGATAACATAGAGTAAAGTAAAGAATAGTAGTACGTACGGCGTACACCGTAAATGCAAATTTTACCGTAGTCAGTCTGCGTAGGTGTAGAATGTACGGAGTAATTTAGCGCCATGTGGCGGGACTATCCACTTGACGAAGTGAATCTCGCATTTACAGTGGCACGGTGTTGCGAATGCACGTAAGAAGTATCTAAGGTAAACATGCCACGTTAGTTAACTAAATAACAACTTAGTTAAACAAGCTACGTAATGGTAGACGCAACACATCAATGTTGAAATACACGCCAGTGCACTCCACGCCACTCATAAGCCGATCACCATAGTAAGATAGACCTCAATCAGAAATCTTCAAATTTAGGTATCAGAATCTTGGCAGCCAGTACATATTAATCCTCTTAGTGTCGAGTTAAGCTTGTTTGCTAAGACCTCGGTCACAAGTGCGGGTGTAATGTGATTAGCCATGCGTAGTACCCGGGTATTAGCAGGGCCATGATATGGCTAAGGCTCGGTTGAATGCGCTCGAAAAATGATAGTAAGCAAACATTTGGCTATAATTGGGAGGGTGCAGTTTAGAATAACGAATGTTAGGTGATATTCGGAATCGGGTGTCTATAGAGTGTGGGTGTATGCACAAATGGGTATTGTGTTCGACGGGTTAGGTTTGGGTTTATATGGGGACTGCAGGGAAGAGTCGTTGCCTTCTAATGGGTGTCTATAGAATCTAAACTTCGTACTGTTGCAATTATGGTAGATAGAGTATGAAGTGATAGATTCTCATCGCCACTGGTGTGCAAGAATCAATGGCCTTTCGAACTCGGGACCAAATTCTCGGGTCATGCGCTAGGTTTCTGTGGCATAGAATAGTATATATGAGTATTCTTGTAACAAATTCCCGGAATATTCACCATGGAAAGCAGCATCCTCATTCACCGACTAACTATACGCCAATCAACCACAGTCCAGCCACTTAATATCCCAAGCCCGCCAAAAACCAGCCAACACAGATACCGAAGATCCCTCCTCATCGGCAAAGCCCCTCTCCCTCTCCCTTCTAATCATCTAGCCAGACCGACTCTCGTATACAGATCTTATTTAAGTTAAGTTTGTAGTTATAGTCACACAGACCCATCCATCCACCACTGCAGACCCGCTCCCTGCACAAACCTATTCTGACGAAACCTCGCTAACCAGTAGACCTAACAAATGTCGTAATTCACAAATCATTAGTGTACTCGGTACAAATCCCAACCCAGACCGCCGGTCTCGATAAGCGAGACCCCGTAAGCTGGAAAGTTACGGGGGGAGGAGATCCGTCCAGGACTGCAACGGGCCCCACATAGTGAAGCTGGAGGCTTTGGACTTGTGCCAGTGCGCTGGGACTTACTTTTCTTGAAGACTTGAACACTCTATACTATTTTACTAGTACGATGAAAGAGTCATTCATAATAGAATAGTTCTTCCTTATATCTGAGACCAGACTGGAAAGAGTAATCATCTACTCTACTTTCTCCCATCAATATCCCCTCCGCAGATACCAAGTATGTCATTTCATCCCCCCACAACGTTCACTGGCCACGCGCCTCGGAAAATAATCCATCACGGGCGGCCTCAGCGTCCATCTAGCGGCCCCCACTCTCCCTCGCTACTGGCTCCTCTGCTCGCCACTCGCTGGTTTACTTCTTGCTACCTGTACCTTTGAGTGTTTCTAGTTTTTCCATAGGAGAAATTCTCCCCCCGAGTTGTGCGATCCATCACATTTAGGGATTAGAAACCGCCATCTCGCCCTATTTTACCCACTCTAATTACGGCGTAAGCGGCGCGCGATCATCCGCGATCGCCGGGCACCGAAGAACTCCGCTTGAAGGAGAAGGAAATTAAGTTCGGAGGGAGGTTGATAGATTCAAGGTGGGGGTTGGTGGTTGGTTGATGGAAGAACTTGACTTAGTTACGTACGGAGGTATATTTACAGTGTGGACAGTGGACAGGGCTGGGTTAGGTTGATCGGAGCGGAGCGGGGCTGGATGACGATGATGATGATGATGGGATAGACGAAATGAACGATGTTTATTATTGGGAGATCGGGATTGCTGGGGCTAGTGATGATGTGCTGCATTTTAAGATACTTCAATGGGGGTTAGGCTTGGAACGTGTCGTGGGGAGGGAAGGTAAGTACTGTTACTTGTTATTTTGTCTCTTTGTATCTCTGGGAGGGAATGATGATGGTGGTGACCGCGTTCTGGACCAGGTCATTGGCTGTTATTAGTGCGTACAGTATGGAGGACGAGTGTTTTGTGATTACGGGTCTTGTTTTGGGATGTATGGAGTACAGTACTGGTGGACGTATAGACAGTGGAGGAATGTAGCAGGAAATGAAGTACCCTGTACAAAAGAGTAAGCTTGACACGCCAGAAATTTGTAGATTGCTAGTCCTACAGTAGTATGCTTTACCCACCTTACCTTCTATAGACAGGTCTCCAGGATAAGATGTAGCGGTGAATGATAAGACAGTCATACACGAAGCACTTGATTCTGACCGAGATAAATTGAATAGAAAAAAAGTTTCCATGCTTCTTATCTGATGCGCCGAGTTCCAGCAGGATCGATATTTCTGGGAGGAAGCCGGCTGCGCTAGAGGATCTACAATGGTCTTTACTTGGCGATAAACGGAAACTGAGAAGAGGGTTGAAGATATTGATGCCTCCTGATTCACGATGGGAATGTATATCATGGTTGAAGTATACTTAGTTCTAAATGGACTAAATGGATTCACTTCGCTTGTACGTTTTAGTCGCTGAAAGAATGTCCTACGGGACAGCTAACCACTAACAACCCGCGAAAAGTTGCACCAAAAAGCAGATCGATACGAGTAGAAAGAGGACGACGGAGGGAGATTATAGAGGAGAGCCAGTATCGCTGCCGAGAACTAGCACGTACGGCAACTACGTCTTCTCAATCCATAGAGACGGACAGAGCTTTGTAGTAGACAGAGCTTTGTAGTACACTCGCATCAAACCCTCGTCATTCGAATACCAATTCAGCAGCAAGAATAGTTCATCATGATAACTGGCATTAAACTCGAAAATCAAACGGTCTATATACATACACCTTCAAAATCATAAACCCATCCTGGGGAGCCGAATCAGGAAGAGCCAAGTCAAATTCCAAGTGACCTAAGGAGGAACCGCACAGGTATCCGAGTCCTTCACAGATACCATTCGACCTGGATATACCAACTCGAATCTACTCAAAAGTCAGATCGACTTCAATTCCAAATCCAGGACTGGGTCCGCTATGTACAGAGATGCAACCGCATCCCCAACACCAAACAAAATCCACGCTCACACAGACATGTCTATTCGAAAGCCGTAGCATTCAACAGCAATGCGCAGCTCAGTCGCTTGAAACAAGAATAAAAAAGAACATAAAAGGAGAACGGAAGATGAGAGAAGAAAAATGCCAGATTCATATCAGGTTCAGTTTGTATCGTTATTGCGTGGTCGCGGCTGACGTCGGGCGTAGCTGGTAATGGAATAGTGCCCAAACGCCCTTGAGCGCTTCGACACGGTCTGGCCCGTCAAGGAGATCGTACCACCTGGTACGTTGCAACTTGAGGACGTGCCAGGGCTGGTCGTCGTTCGTGTCGGGGATGATAGGGCTGGTGCCGTTGGTGAGGACGTCGAGGTAGCGTTTGTGGACGCGAAGGTGTAGGATGGAGATGTGGTGATTTATGGAGGAGATCATGTAAATCTGCGCCGGATTAGTTAGTCAATTATTCGAGCACCAGGGTAAAAACAGCCTCACATCGTCATATGAACTCTCCTTCGCTTTACCAATCTGCATGTACCGCATCCGCTTATCCCATAAACTGGGACCCGGTTGCAGAATCTTCCACTTCTCTCCACTGGACAACTTCCGCATCGCACTTGGCCGACGTGCTAGAGATGTCACGAATGGATGCTCAAACTTGTGCCGCTTGCGCGAACCTTCTAGATCCTCTGCCGGAGACGATGGCTTCACACCCCCTTCCACGAGCATCGAGTCTGGTAGCGGCATTCCGTGAGCACCCTTGACTAGATCATCTAGGATCCCGTCATTGGGCGCTCCACCGAACCGTGGCGCCGTCGTCCACCATTTACCCTCACCAGGTCGTTGCTCGATCGCGCCCTCGCGCGCACGCTCCTGCGCCGCCAGCAACATCCCGCCCACCTCGCGGAACAGATCGCACACCTCGCCGAGACCAGCGCCCGGCGCATCGTTCGCGCTGCGGAACCCTGTTTCCGGTCTACATTGTGCAATGAGGACCGGTCCCTCGAGGATGCCACTGCGGGCGATGGTGCGGTCACGAGGGGAGCGGGCAGCGTGGAAGGATTGACGAACGGGGAAGAGGAGGCTTTGTACGGTGAGACGTGGTGGGAGAGTGGGAATGGTAACTTGGCAGCCAAAGGGCCAGGCGATCATCTCGACGAATCCACGGATGGTCTCGTCGCGCATATCGTCGGGCATTTCACTTCCTGCCCCGACACGCCGTCCAGTGTACTTTTTCACCATTGGCGGGGAGTTTTGCTCACTGCCCTCGTTGACGATGCCATTGGATAGCTCCTGATCTGCTGACTCCTCCTGGTCCACGTCCATCGTAGGCTCTGCTGGACCAGGCTCGCCGAGATCTCCGGATGCATCGTCCATGTCCATCTGGTCCTCTCCTTCCCCGTCCACCGAAGCTGAAGGCGTTGGCGACGCTGGCCGCTCAAAGTAGTTATCCAGACTTGCATCCCAATACTGCGCCATGTGTTCTAGACCCGCCCAGAACTTCCTGGTCTGGGTCACTCGCACGCGAGAGCGGCCCTCGCGGGGTGGCAGGCGGGCGACCTCACGGAACGTATCCTCGTTATCCAACAACAGCTCATTCTTCAAGGTCTCGAAGCGGTCTTTGGTCGGGTACGGGAGACCATTGCTCATGAGCGGGCGCGGCTGATCCTTATAATTGTCTTGCTTCTGGCCGGCAGCGACGGGTTTGATTTCCGACTCGTCTTCCCAGGGCAACGGGGGCAGCGACTGGGCCTGATCGACCGGGAACATGCGGCGAACGTCGACATCGGATTCGACATGGACATTCAACGGCTTGAATCGATCTAGGTTGATATCCTGGGGGCGCTTGATCGCTGCCAACAGGCCGAAGAGGTCGGGGAGAGTCGAGTCGGCATCGTGGGGGACAACGTCGGGAAGATTGTAGACGGGGAAATCTAGCGGGGTTGGGTTGGAGGGGGGATTGCGTTCCTTCTCAGGCTCTGAACTCGCCGAGGGTAAGGCTGTAAGTCGGACAGAAATAGACACGAGTTAGTTAGGCGAGTCAATGGAAGAATGAAGTGTATCACGAGGGGGAGGGGGCGAGATGCCAGGGCGTCCCAATCTCAAAAGCGCAGACATTCCGGGCGCCACTGACGGGGGACGCTTTTTGGTCGCGGGGGCGGCCGGAGGAGAGAAGAACAGCTTACACAGTCCAGGACCCCAGCCAAACATCGTATGGTTGCAGTGATAATATTGGGGGAATAAATGTATCACATGCTCTGGGGGGTTGGCCAGAGGAAGGAATTTGGGTTATCGCGTGAGAGTTGGGAGCTGGAAGGAGGAGAGTGTTTACGGGGAGGTGGACGTTGCGGATGGAGTACTTTTGGCGCAAAGTGGAGAACGTCTGAGGACAGTCAAGTCGCAGTCATTATGGGTTCAACCGTGATAGGATATGTTAGACTAGAGAGTGAAGGGGGGAAAAATACCAGATGAAGGATCTGGAAAATAAATAAAGGTTGCTTTGTATTTACTCATAGACAATTATACTTTAAGCCTAACGATAGGAGGTCGGGCCTCTGATTAGTCCTGGCTGCCCGTTCCGTACCTGAGCCGACCAGCAGAAACGAAGAGAGTACACTATTATATCGCCACAGAAGTAGGTAACTAGTTAGTTACTGCTCTAGTTAGCAGCTTATTCATCTAGTTTACGTGTACTCCGTAACTAAGTCTAGATCAGTCTGGTTAGCTCCCTTGTCAAGTCATCCGTAACCCCGTGTTCCGTATCTAGACTCCCTCGATGCTCGAGCAAGTTTAGCCCTCTTGGGCTGGTGAAACGCCATGTGGTTGGACCAGTCCATTTCGCAACTTTGGGTTGTCTCGCACCGCCAGCCTTCAAACCGCCCACTTGTTTCGAGGGACCAGGTAGGGAGTGCTGTAGACTGATAATGGACAGGGCCGAGACGTGATAGCAGCGTTCTCGATTGTCATCTCTCGATCTAGAGACTGTTGCTGGTTACGGATGGGTATACAGACCCGCTAGGGGTTCTGCTTTCATGTACCGGCCTCCTAAAATCGGAGCTGTCTCGTATGGCATGTGTTTGGGCCTGCGAGGGTGTATCGGGGAAAGTGTAAAGGAGCCGGTAAATAGACCCGTAGACCAGCCATGCTTGCGTATAGTATTCATCGGCAATGCAGCAAAAATCGTGGTTCTGAAGCCCATCACAAGTCGTCTTGAATCGAGTGTCGAGTGCAAAGAATATACCTAGACCAGATTAAAGTTAATCAAACGACCAAGGCCAATATCATGAACCATCCTCAAGACTTAGCAAGTATTTGCATATCACAATCATCCCGTGACACGATGGTTTCTGCAGATTCTCCCCAGCCATCACAATGATCGGCCGTCCAGGGCGAGACTGATTGGGTCCCAAGGGGGGCCGGGAAGGCCATTCCGGCTCCACTCATTTCCTCCTCCCAAACCCAAACCTAAACCAATTCGCTCCGCTAAGCGCTGGGGTCTCTCGACTCCTTCTCACACCGTTAGAAGCGCCAGCTTCAAGTCGTGAAACAATGGCCCCCCCCTGGAAGACCCCTCCTAGGGTGGCCGAAGGGTGGAGGGTGGTATAAAGTAGGCTGGGGCCGGGATCTGACGTGATGTGATGCTATTTTTTCTCTTCTGGCCCCTCCCGATGGTACCCATGCAACCTGCATCTCGAACCAGGGAAAGTGGTGTATCCCAAAAAGAAGAGACTGGCTTCAAGAATTCGAGTTGCTGGCAAATAGAGTCTTGTCGAGTAGATCACGTGTTGGACAATCGGCTACGCAAACAAAGAAGGTCGCAACGAGATGAAAGCTTCGCTTTGTTGACACTCTTCTCTCTTTCTCATCCTCCCCAGAGCTTCGTTTTGTCCCGTGCCTGTCCTACGTTCCCATTCATAACTCTTTCGTCTTGCTTTGTGCCATCATCTTCCTTCCTTGGCTGATAGACGACAAAGCCAAGATCTTGCCGATTTTCGTTTCTCTCTCCGGCCTGCGGGCTTGGACGAGATGTTCAAGGCCCTGTCGAGGAATCCGTCCATGTCGGGATATGCCGTGTCTGGTGTGCCCTCTAGTGCAGACTTTGGCTCCATGTCGCTCTCGCCGACGACAGTGGTGGCGATCACGTCGGTTGTGACTGAGACTGTCCATCCCACGTTGATCATCACTGAGGTGACCACCGTGGGAACTTCGCAGCTGGGGACATCTCTGTCCGCGGGGCAACAGCAGAGTGAGGAAAGTCCTGGTCCAACAATACAAGCAGCTACCGTCCAGACAGAAGCAAGTCAAACGAGTCAAACGCAGACGGTGCAGCTGGCCTACTCAACTACATCCCAGCTCACCGTTCTGTCGCCGGAGACCACGGCAACATGGTCCTGGTCAACGGCTGACTTGGTGTCCTCTTCTTCGCCTGCTGGGCAAACTTCGGTATCTCTACCTCCTGTGGTAGGACACTCCCTCGGAGATGGCCAGACAAGTTCTTCAGAGCTGGTGCCAGTACTATCGTCCTCCACGACCTCTGCATTGTCCAGCACTGCGTTCTCCACGGCCACGACCAGTTCGGTGCTTGGTGCGACAACCACCAGTCTAACCGCCACCAGTACCCCAACAAGCCGAAGCACGTTGGTCACCTCAAGCCTTGCGGAGACGACTTTTACCTCCGTCTCAAGCCATTCGTCATCCTCGTCGCCCTCGTTATCGCCTTCCTCCTCATCAAGCGCAGTGATCACCTCCGGCTCAGAATCCACCAATGGCCAATTCAGCCATAGCAATTCGGACTCTCACCTTGGCGCCATAGTTGGCGGTCCTATTGGTGGTGCGGTGTTTGTGGCACTTGCCCTTCTCGCCTGCACTCTCTTCCGCCGCAGACGACGACGGGCCCCTACCAAACCCCAGGGTAGCCCGGGAGGAGACCTGCGGCCCAATAGCAATGACTCACTAACAACTTTTCGTGGTGTGCATGGCTGGCATAGCCAACAAAACAGCCAGTCCGAATTTCTCATGGACCCGGTATTTTCGCCCCGTGGTAACACTGTGCTTTCGGCCCCGGCCCCCAACCAAGAAGTACCCAACAACACCATGTATCAGGCCCGGGATTCCCGGCGAGATCACTTCTCCGACCCCGAGCTCAGCCCAGTCTCCCCAATCATCAACATACACCCTCCATCTCGCACGGCGTCCAACTACTCCCAAAGATCGGGAGATGGTGGCCTAAAATTCCTTGAGAAACACGACTTTCACCCATCCACCCCCAGCTCTCGGTATGAGAGCATCTACTACCCCGACGAGGGTTCCTTCACGCCTTCTCTCCCCGAAGAAGATAAGCTCGCTCCGAGAGATAATCGAAAGACGCGTCTTAGTACGCGTAGCGACCCATTTGATCTCGAGATGCCACCAAAGGCCTTGCATGAATGGCCTCTGCCACCCCATCCGACACCATGGGGTGATAAATTTTAGACCACACATCATCCTTTCCTTCTTCCACGTTTTTGGCCGTGGGGCCTTTGGCGCCATATCTACAGCCTTCATGCATTCTTGGAGTTTTCGGAATACCCCCCTCGTTTTTCGTTTTGCTAGAGTTCGGTGCTCTGCATTTTTCCTTTCCCTTCAGCCCTGATTTATCGTTACATATTCGCCCATCTGGAAAAACGGGTTCCATGACTACATGTGCTCATGCTGCATACGACGATTCTGAACGATACATATGGATACGGCTCATGGTGTTTCTTGTTTTCCTGTGCGGGCGTTTAAATTAGGTGGAGCTTGACATTTATTTGCGGAGTTGATTTACGGGATATCTTTCGCTTTCACAACATTTCCATGGGGTTGCTTTTTCTTCGATGGCAGAGCATGCATTTTTATCTGATCTTTCCTGTCCTCTAAACTTTTTTCTTATCGTTGTTCTTCAGCATGGTGTTTTTCACGGGGCAAAATGATTTTTTTGATTTCCATTCTGACCTACTTTTCGTCATTGAATCTGCTATCTGTATGAGTTCTTTGTAACTGCTAGAAGTATATCAATTGTAAGAACTTTAGCTCTACACAGTTGCTCGGTATTTTGTGGAGCATGCTCTATACTTGCAGGGGTTCATTTCCATGTGGCCATGTCGATCACTCGCAGTCTTTATGCCGTGATACCTTAGTGGCTATAGGGGCGCACGAACCTATCAGACGAGATAGTGCCAAGAACGGAGATAGCCCCTTTCTAAACCGAGCTTAGTCTACACGAGTCAGTTCAGCTCATTTATTAGGCTATGGATCGGTTCTATGGTTCAAGCTGATCACGATCAAATGCCAAATTTTATGCATTTTGTACGCGCGGACCTCGGCTTCCCCGCATAACATACTCTGCGCTAACTCATGCAGATCTCACGTTCCCACTCTTTGAGCTTTTTCAGCTGTTGGTGACAGCGGTTCCTTTCCACCTTAAACTCTCCTCAACACTATTCAATCTAATATACTCCCATCGATAATATCAAGCAAACTCGACATTCCATCTCAACATGTCTTCGCCGGCGAAGAAATGGCCCTCGAGAGAAGGTATGACAGTCACCATCCTCTACTAGATAATCACTCCTGAAGCCTAGTGCTAACCCATAATCCAGGATTCTCGGCCGACGTCGTATCTAACGTCCTCCACCACACCATCCTCAGTCCCTGGAAGATCCTACCCATCCTAGCTCTAGCCCAATACACCACCAAAGGCCGTGACCTCCTCGAATCACGCCCGCAACTCCTCAAAGCCCTCAAAGCACTAGCCTCGATCGCAGTAATCTCCCGTCTAAGCGCCTGGCTCGACCGCCGCACCGTCAACAACGGCGTCACAGACCACTACGACTGGAACCGCGAAATCGTCGTCCTAACCGGCGGCAGCGGCGGCATCGGCCAACGCATCGCACAACTCCTCGGGTCCCGCGGTATCAAAGTAGCGATCCTAGATATCACCCCTCCAACCAACCCACTCCCCAACAGCGTCCGCTTCTACGAGTGTAATATCACCTCCCCACCCGCCATCGCCGAAGCAGCGACCAAAATCCGCGCTTCATTCGGTCGTCCCACGATCCTAATTAACAACGCGGGCATTCTAACTGGGAAAACCATCCTCGGCACGAACGAGGCTACAACTCGTCGCATGTTCGACGTTAACACCCTCGCGCACTACTGGCTCGCGCAGGAATTCCTCCCGGACATGGTCTCTGCCAACCACGGCATGATCGTGACGGTCGCCTCGCAGGCCGGGTACACCGTCACGCCGAATATGGTCGATTACTCCGCGTCCAAGGCGGCGGCGATCGCGTTCCATGAGGGTCTGGGTGCGGAATTGGTGACGAGGTATCAGGCGCCCCGTGTGCGGACTGTGCTTGTTACGCAGGGATTCACGCGGACGGCGCTGATTGCGAATCTTACGCCGGAGGATACGTTTGTTAATCCGTTGTTGTGGCCGGAGACGGTGGCGGAGAGTGTTGTCGAGCAGGTTTTGAAGGGGGAGAGTGGGCATGTGCTTGTCCCTGGTGTGGCGGGGAGTATTGCGCAGAGGTTGAGGGGGTATCCGCTTTGGTTTCAGCATTCGTTGAGGTGTCGGTTGGAGAGGTTGATGAGGTCGGAGTAGAGGGGGGTGGTTAGCTGGTTAGGTAGTCGGTTGTTGGTTGGTTGTTGGGGAGATCCTTAGTGTTGAGTATCAGTCTTTTGGTTGTGATCGGAGGCTTTTATGGGCGCGAATGTTTTTTCAAGTGAAGGCTGGTTACTCTTTAATGCGTATATTGACGGTATCGGTTCTGGTGTTTGTGTTCATTTGCCCGTCAGAGCAGTCTAGAAATGGAAGCCTACTAAGTTCAGTTCCTGCAATATCGATATTGACAAATTCACCTCGTGTTTACAGCTCTCATTCACATTAATCCACAGGTTCACCCAGGAGAGTTTTAAAATAGGAATAGTCTGGCCCAAAAACCTTCTTGCTGATATCCAGTACTTCATGCCTCAGTTGTTCCGCTTGTTCAGCCCGTCCCTGCAGCCGATACATCAATGACAGGATGGCCATGCAAGTCAACATAGTAGCGGTGTGTTCTGCCCCTAACTTGAGCTTCATTTCATCCACGATATAGGATAGCAATTCTTCTGCGTCTTCCAACCGCCCCTGCTTAAAATACATCGATGCCAAAGTCACGGTAAAGAATCGAGTACCGGGGTCATCCGACCCATGTACTCGTTTGGAAATATTTATCGTCTCAATCGATAACTCTTCAGCCTCTCGTAATCGTCCCATATCTTGATAGATCGATACCAGGTAATCAGAGGCACTCAGGTAATGGGAGTTCTCCTTCCCGATCGTCCGTTCAAAGTGGTCTCTTGCGAGCAGGGTCAGTCTCTCCGCATCCGGAAAACGTGCCTGCCTACGATAGGTCCTTGCGAGGTTGAGTCTGGCCGCGGAAACGCGAAGATGTTCTGCCCCTAGTAATCCCTCTAGGGCACAAAGGGCGTGGGTCTGGAACTTTGCCGCTTCGTCCCATTGCCCGAAACCGTAGTATGCTTGACCCTGAGCTTCGATACAGTCGAGTGTCCTCTCATCTTCGAGGCCGTATAGTTTATTCATTGTCTCGGTGGCAATCTCCGTCATTCTCATACTACAACCGATATCCCCCATCCAAGTGGCGTAATTTCCTGCATTTCGGAGTAGTGTGGCCCATTCTTGTATCGAGTTTTCTGGCATCTGAATCAAGGAGTATTTCACATGCGGAAAGAGTAACCGGACCAGTGGAAAGTTGTGAGGCCAGTCTTCTGGGAAGAGAGCGCAGAGTCTCTGAATAAAGCAGACTTTCCACATCTTCAGTTGTTCTTGAGTTCTGAGCCACTCTTGGATGGCTAGTTGGATAAGCCGGTGCATTGTGAATGTCGTTCCTTCAGTACTGATGTTAATTAGGGAATAGTTTCTTAATGCGACGATATCATCTTCGAATATGTCAATCGAGTTGGTGCCATCATGCCCATTGTCATTGTCCTTGCTGGCACGGGGTGCATCAACCGGGTTGTTATTGTTATTCGATTCGGTCGGATCGCGGAGGACTATTTCTGGAATGCCTTGTCGATCGAAAAAGCTCATCAGAGCCAATAAATCCGCTGCCGTGCGTCTCATGTTTCGAAGATGATCGAAAGTGATCTGCCACGTAAGAAAAATGGCATTTCTCGCTTCCCGGTCTCGACGGAGATTTCTCCCTTCGCGACTGAGAAGACTTAGTTTATTGTGATCACTTTTCTGGAGATCTTCCAGATATTGTGGGACCGAGACTCGGGGTGCCCTTTGCTTGATGTATGCTGCTGCTTGCACGATTGCAAGAGGCATGTAATCCAGTACTGCGGTTAACTGGGCCGCTTCTCGGGCCTGGAATTGGACCTTTCCTGCTACCTTCTGCGCAAGGAGTGCCGTCGCATGTTTTTCGTCCATCGGCTCGACGACAATGATATCTCTGTCTTCGACTATGGTGGTTACTACATCTCTGCTTCGACTCGTCACGAGAATCGACCCGGGCAAGTTCTCGGGAAAATATTCCCAGATTGTTCGTTCTGGAATTCCACTCGAAGCATCCTCTGTCTTTCCCTGTCTTGCAGGCAGAGGTTGATGAAGAAAAGAGTCATCGTCCAGATTATCGAAAATAAGAAGCCACTCTCCCTCCTCCCTATCATGCAGCCAGTCCTGCAGGAGCTGAAGTATATTCGCGTCACAATTTCGCCGACCGGGAATTTTCACGCGCTCAGCAATTTCTCGACAACTCTGCTCGAATCGCGTTGCATTGCTGGCGTGGATCCAAAACACCCACGTCGTCGGCGATCGAATACGTAGCCGGTAGGCATACTCGATGGCAAGTTGCGACTTGCTTTCGAGATATTAGCTTCAGCCCGCGCCCCGCTCTCATCGTTTGAAAACATACCCAACACCACCCAGGCCAATCACTGCTACCCTCGACCCTGGCGCTGAGGTCTTCTCGGAGATTTGTTCAAGAAGTGTCCCATGCTTGATAAAGTCTGGGTCTCGACGAAAGGGGACTGTTGATAGCGGGCTAGGCGAGGTTTCTGGTCGTTCTTTTTACACATGAATGCCGTTAGTACATTTATCGGGCGCCTACTTGTCAGGACTTCGTTTGGACTTTACCCGGAGCGGAAGCGTAGAAATGTGCGTTAATCTTGCCTTCGTTGGATCCGATCTGAAATCCGGAATTTGAAGGTCCAAATCCTATAGAGGCCATGATTAACCAAGCCTAAGGGATGGTACTTAGGATCAGTGGAGGAGGGGTTTGCGGGTTACCCTTGACCACCTTTTTTAGCTGGCGGCTTCAGGTGACTTCAGGGCGCTAAGTGGTGTGTATGGAGGCATATAACCCGAGGCTTGAGTAACATTCAATTAGGATTGGCTAGGGCTTGTTTTATCTAGCGCTACTGACAGTACGTGATTAGGGGAGAATTTTTGGACTTGATGATGGACTTGTCAGTCATTCAAACCTTTGACTCTTACTAGTGACCAGATAGCTTAATCTTTTAGGCAGGAATATGCAGGACTCGGATATGTCGTGCACATAACAAGAGAAGGACTCGATAAATATCGTAGAATAATAGAAGGTTCTATTACCAGAGCATTAGGCGTTGGGATAGAACACCGGGATTTATTCGATCCTACCTAAATGGGCTTTTGAGGCTACGGAAAGGTCTACATTTGGTCGCACTAGGTACTTTTTGAGGCTATATATGTTGGACTCGAGTCATGGAATCACGTGGGAGCTATTTGGGCACCTAGATTGTTGAGAAGAAGATCGAATCTCGATAGCATATAATCTTTGAATGGTTTATCCTTGGATAATCATCTTATTTGAAATCTACAATCTAATTCATGTCAAACCAACAGCCATAACCCTCGACCGTTGTAGAGTGACGAAATCTCCCCCGGTCCTTTTGGCGGCACGTGCACTTGGCCTCACCGCGATTTTGATTCGCTCCACTTGGGCGCTGAACAGTTGTTCATCGCCAACAAATTTCTCACCTCTCTTTTTTACCTTTTGCCCTTTGACCCTTTCTTCTTGCAGAAAGTCCAGCAACACCGGATCCTGCATGCTTTGCATCCTGATCATACTACTCTGATTTAACTCCCGAACCACTAACTATAGCCTCCATCTCCCCATATTCTTCCTGCTCTCAACCTTGGGCCGAGGTGGGACTAGCGCGATCGTCTGGGTAGCAACCAGCCCAGCCAGCCCAGCCAGTCTCCGCTTGGGGCTTTCCGAACAGAAGATCCACGGTTCAGCTCCCGTTGTTTACTACAGGAACTGCCCCCAAAACAAACCATAACAACTCCAGCCACCCTTTCCCCGACCTCCATCATTATCATCGACACATTCCAATTACACTTCTCCCTCCCCTCCCTCCCCCTAAACCCCCGCCTCTCCTAACATTCCTTAACCAACTCTCTCCACATGGTGGCCTGTGCCGTCTGGGCATTCCTCTGAATCATTGCCCGCCATGTTCAAGGCCCTAATGGGCGGGGGCCGGTCGGCGTCCACCTCGGACGCCCGCAGCACAACCAGCTCCAGCTCCAAAACAAGCCGTCGCAAGACCGATTCCAAGTCTGCCTCCAGCCGCAAATCCTCACGGGGTGACGACCGTGACCGTGGCTTGGGCGACTTGTCAGCCTACCCTCCATCCACCTCTGGCAGCAGGCGCGGCCCACCCAGCATCGCCGGCGAGTCCGTCGCATCGACCTACGTAACCGCCGAGCCCGATGCCATTGATTACTCCGATCGCACAGTCGTCGAGCGTACCCCTAAGCGCAGAGACAGTGACCGCGAAAGCAAAAGCTCCCGCCGCCGCGAGCGCGACCGTTCGGAAAGTCGTGAGCGCGAGAGGAGGAGATCTAGCCGTCGCAGTGGAGACGATACCTACGATGATGATCTGGATAGAGACCGTGAGCGCGACCGTCGCGACCGCAGTCGCACACACTCGGGAGACCACTATGTTCCGCCTATCTCTACGGCCATGCCGTCCAGCGCCCCGGGCGCCCAATTTGCCGCCGACATTGCGGCACCGGGGTTCTCGCAATTCCCCATGCAATACGACAATGCGATCCAGCCGCCTGTCACGACCGCACCGGGTCATTCTCCGGGGCATGATGCTTCACCTACAGCATTCGATCCCCATGTACAGCAACAATTCCCTGGTCAATTCCCGTCTGGCACGGCGCAACCTTATTTCCCACCTAATAATCCTGCGGGCGCCGCTGCAGACTACTATGGCGATCAAGGGCAGTCTGTCGGTGACCAACCGGGTGTTCGACCGCAACAGCCTGCCATCATTCCCAATAGCCAAGCGCACTTGATGGCAGCGTCGCCCTCGGCCAATCCCCCACCCGAGCCTAGCAGCTTGGGTCAGGTTGGTGCAGCAGCAGCGTATTTCACAGAGGACATTCCGCATACCGAATCGCAGACCAAGCCACCGACAGGTTCATCATCCAAGCCTCCCAAACCCGGTAAGCCGTTCAAGCCTTCCTCGTCAAGTGCTATCCCAGCAGCCGCCGCGGCAGCGGCAGTGACCTATGGTGTGGGCAACTACGAAGAATCGCAGGCTGCAGCAGCTTATCAACACGAGTCTTATTCCTCGACAACGGTTCAACAAACCCACTCGTACTCGCAACCAGCTCTGACAAGTACTTCGAAGCCTCCCCATTCACATGGCATTGGAACTGGCATTGGGATGGCAGCGGCTGGTGCAGCAGCGGGCTACATGGTGGGCCATCAGCACCACGAATCTAGCCCTACGCACTCGTCGCAGTACACCTTCCAGAACTACGAGCAATCTTCCCACGGCAGTGTTCCACCCTACGGTGCTGGCCCCAACAACGCCATGATCGCGGCTGGTGCGGCTGGTGCCGCGGGATACGCTGCGCACGCCGCCCACAATCCCGGTTTCTACCCCCACGGTGGCCTTGCAGTTCAACACCGGCATCGTGGACCACTTACAAAGTTTGTGGATTTCTGGCGTGATCCTGAGGGCGTGGGTCGGTTCGAAGACTACACTGAAACCATCGGTGTGTGCAAGTACTGCTTCGAGCCCGGGTCCACCTCTATGAATGCGCCTCGTAAGCATCATTATCACGCACGCCGCCACTCTGCCGATCGTTATAGCAGTGGAAGTTCGTCGCGAATCACCAAGCTTAGCCGGTATCATTCCTCCGAGGACGAACGCCGTAGTCGCAAGCGCTCGTCCAAGAAATCCTCTTCCTGGCTCCCGGGTATGCTGGCTGGCTACGCGGCCAAGTCAATCTTTACCGGCAAGGACTTTGATGACTCGTATAGCGTCCGCTCAGGTCATGTCTCCGGTGATCGAGTCTCAACTTATGACCGTGAAGATGACCGGAGAAGCTATACTTCTCGTGGTGTTGTTCGTCGCTCTGGTCGCAGCTCTCCGCGTGAGTCCCACTCCGACAGCAAACATACCCGACGGACACGCTCTCGCTCGCGATCATCTTCCCGCTCTGGTCACCACTCCTTTGTGAAGGAGGCTGCTCTCGGTGCAGCCGTTGGTGGTGCAGCCCTCGCAGTTGCGAAATCAAGTCGCCGTTCCCGCAGCCGCTCACCTTCTCGGGTTCATCGCCGCAAGGATTCCTCATCTAGCACATCCTTCGTGGACGTCTCGCGACCTTCTGCCAAGTCTGTCGGCGGTTTCACGTCTTTCTTCACCTCCTCGTCTGAGAACCGCAAGAAGGAGAAAAAGAAGCAGCGCTCTAAGAAGTCTAGAGGATTTTTCTCCTTCAATAGCTCGTCTACCTCTTCGCTTGATGCGGATCTGGCATTTGGAAGCGGCTTTGCCAAGAAGTCATCCAAGCTGCAGAAGAAGAAGAAGGGCAAGAAGAATGAGGACGTGGATGCCGCTCTCATCGGGCTTGGTGCGACGGCAACGGCCCTTGCCGCTTCGTCTCAATTCCGTAGCGGACGCAGTACTGGTCAGATGATGACTGCCAGAGATACCCGCCACACTAATTACACTTCTTCAGCAACCAACGATGATGAATGGATCGATGCCGAATCTGAGGACCAGTCCTCGTCAAGTGTCAGCTCTGCTTTGGCTTTCGGTGCCAGCAGTGCCGAATCTAGTTCCGACTCGAACAGCAGCGGTGGTTGGAAATGGGGATGGGGTAACAAGAAGAAAAAGAAGGACAGGAAATCTTCCAAGATGGACGCTGCCCTGGCGGCTGGTGCTGGTGCCCTCGGTGGTGCCGCCATTGCTTCGGTTGCTCGCCGGCGCGACAGTCGTCCTCCGAGCGAGGCTGGAAGTCTTCAGCAGGTCTATCCCATGCCCACCTCTGATCCATCCCGCTTTGATGTTGCCAAGATGTCTCCCTCTGTGGTGTCTGGTGATCAGCCACCTCTTGTTCGCCCTGGTCCTATTCCTCTCCAGCAGCCCCAACCATACACTCCCGTGTCTCAGGCTGTGTACACCACCCAAGGAAGCTTGCCTGGAGCAATTCCTGCCTACAGCCCTGGTGCCGTTCCTCCCATCTTTGCCAATGAGTACGATCAGTACAATATGCAACAACAGGGCTCTCGAGATGCTTCCTACGTTCGTGAAGATGCCAGCTTCATTGAGCGTCGCAAGCCTCATCGTAGCGATTCTTCGCCCGTCTTCCCTACGCAGGAGAGCGTTGTCTCAGCCCCCAAGCGCCGATCTACCACCCGTGATCAAGCCTCTGTGTCTTTCGACTTGACCGAGGAGCAAGCCGAGCGTGAACGCCGCCTTGACCGACGTGACCGCAAATCACGGGATGATATCCGAGATGAGCCTGTGCAGATGATTGATCATGAAGAGGAGCTGGCTCGGGAGGAGGCAGAGCGTCGTGAACGCCGAGAGCGCCGCAAGTTCCGGGAGGAGGAAAAGCGCCGCAGCGATAGCGACAAGGAGAAGGATTCCTCTTCCTGGGTCGAAGCAGCTGCCATCGGAGCTATCGGAGCCGTTGCCGCTAGTTCCATCGTTTCATCTCGTAAATCACACGAGGAGGACACTTCCGAAACCAGCTCACGACACCGCGATCGCCGTGCTGAACGTCGCGCCGAACGACGGGGTGACTCGTCAGTGATCTCCAAGTCTGACGTCCCCGAGCCAATTGAGGACAAGGCTTCGTCAGTATCAAAGGAAAGTCGCGACAAACCTACTTCTCGAAAGTCTCCCCGTCCAGCTCCCGTGTACGAAGACTACGCTGAATTCTTCGCCCCCGAGGAAGTTCGTCACAGCCCTGATCAACATTCGCGCGACCAAGACCGCAGTCGAGACTCTGGTGAGCCTCAGATCGTCGAAGTGGTGCCTGCCAGCGAGCGAGAGAAGAACAACGACGAGCCCCGTGATGACTTGCCGCAGTTTGCGCAAGAACCTTATGAAGGACGTGATCATCTCCCGTGGCCGGTCCCACGGCTAAATTTCATTGATCCCACCCCTCCGCAAAGTGTCAATGGCTCTGTCCGTGGAAACTCGCCGCTCGTTACTCCAATTGAGCCCGTTATCGAAGAAGTGGAACCCAAGGAACGTGAACATCAACAAGGATCTCAACCCGAGCCTGAACCTGAGCCTGAGCGCGAACGTGAACGACCCTCGACTGGTTCGCGGGTCTCCTGGGGACCGCATCAGACCCATGAATATGAGATTCCATCTTCATCCGAGCAGGACCCTCATTCTCCGATTGAAGAAATCACCAGAGATCTGTCTATGACGGAGCTGGAGAAGGAGGAGTCTAAGGATGTCCACGAGAAGATTGACTTTGGTAACGACATTGAATTTGCTGCTATCGCTGCTGCTGGTGCCCAAGCAGCTGGTTTTGATCCTTCCGTCGTCATCAATGATCCATCTTACCACACTCGCACCTCACCTCCCGGGTCGGAGGATGAGGGCACCTTCTCCCCTCGGTCCAAGTGGGCTGTGCCCCCTCAACTAGACCAACCCCATGGATTCGTCGAAGGCGAGATTGACAGCTACGCGCCGAGCAAGTCTCGGGACATTGAGCCATCTGTCGAACATGTCATCGAAGAGAAGCCCTTCTACGCGGAACCGGATACGTTCACTAAAGATAAGGATGATTCATCCTTCCAGCGGCGGGACCGCGGCTCAATCGCTCAAGAAGTCATTGAGCAGCTGAACGGAAGGAGCCCGCGATCTACCTCTCCTGACAATGATGTCTTCTCCATGCCTGGCGGCTTCGAGAGCGTTGATGTCCCTCGTGATGATGTCCGCTCCGTCTTCTCTGCTCCACCTGAGCGCGAGTCTGAGAAGAGCAAGTCCAAGAAGTCTCGTCGCAGTGGTGATGATTTCGTGTTCCCCCGTGAAGTTTCCTCGCGTGAGCGTGATGCTGCGTCGCTCCCCGAGGAAGTTGAGGAGAATGCTGAAGAAAAGTCGACACACCGCAAGCACCGGTCCAAGCACGGTGAAAATGATTCCTTCTCGGTGGACGATGATGCTAGATCTGCAATCACCTCTGTCGAGGATGTGGAGAAGTCGGAGCGACGCAAACATCGTCATCGCTCGTCGCGTGACAAGGACTTTGATGATGCTGCCTCCATTGCATCCTCACCTGCTGCTGCTTCTTATGAGGATGGTGACAAGTCTGAGCGACGCAAGCATCGCCATCGCTCGTCTCGTGACAGGGAATTTGATGACACGGCCTCCATTGCATCCTCACCTGCCGCTGCTCAGTATGACGATGAAGAGAGGTCTGAGCGACGCAGGCGCCGTTCTAAGCGTGATAGTGATACTTTCTCCGTGGATGATGACGCTCGATCTGCTATCACGTCTATTGATGATGCTGACAAGTCTGAACGACGCAAGCATCGCCACCGTTCCTCGCGTGATAGAGACTTTGAGGACAATGTCTCCGTCACCTCTTCTCCGGCCCGAATTGATGAAACCCGCGAGAAGCGACGGAGCAAGGACGGCAAGGATGAGAAGGAGAAAGACAAGAGTGGGAGCATCTTGCGCAGCATCTTTGGCTCGCGCGTGTCTGCTCCCGAGGGTCGTACCCGTTCCAATCAATCTTCACGATCTTCCTCTCTAGAGAAGCGTCCTTCTCGTGATGCTGTGTCCGAAGCTGGTGTCGATGACGAGAGCCGCCGCCGCAAGAAGCGTTCTTCGAGACATCGCAGCTCCAGTGGAGGTGATAAGCTGGATGATGCTTCGGACAAGGAGGGTAGTGTTCGGGATGACGCGAATCTGGAGGAATACAGGTCACAAAGGCAGCAGAAGGAGGAGCGTCGTCGACACAGATACGAGGAAATTGTTGAATCGGGCAAACGTCGGGAATCTGAGAAGGTATAGCATCTGAATTTTCCTTTCTTATTATCCATGTTGTGATCTGCTTCCCTGTCTGTATACACCGTTATGTGCCATATAGTTGTCTTTTTTTGCACCTTCTTGTGGATTGGATGACAGTCTCGTCTCGGTTATTGCACCGTGCCTTGTCCCTGTTCCATGCCTAAGAAACCATCATACCCCCTTTTGAACATTTTGCACCAAACACAAAACAAGAAAATCAAAGCTAAGCAATTTTTTCTGGTATTACTCCATGTGCAGGACGAAAAACATTCGGATTATAAGGACGACGGCGACGAATACTCTTTTTTAGCAGAACGCCCCGAAATGCCGCCCGCGGCTGAACGCGATGAACGTGGTGCTTCGGGGCTTGAATCTACAGTCGAGGGTGCGCTAGCTACTGCCGCAGGTATAGGTATGGCTGAGGAAATCCTGCATCAACGTCCAAGGAGTCGTTCCACGTCTCCCCCCAGTGCAGAACGTGCCCTCGATCTGGCCCCCAAGTCCCAGAGTAGACCCTCATCGCCGGAGATGACCCGCGATCTCGATCAATCTCCTCATCGTCGTCGCCCGTCTACGGCCCGCTCGACAACTGAGTCGCCCACCGCTGTGCCATTGCATTTCCGTCGACCACCTACGTCGCCGGGTTTGTCTCGCGCTGTGCCTGTTGCACCGTCTCCTCCGGCTGGCGGCGACTCCCCAACTTCCCCTAGCCAGACCCGTCATCGCCGTCCGAATTCGCTCGAGTTTAGGAATTCTCGCGAGATTCGACCGCTCTGGCTCGTTGAGCGCCATGGTGCCTCGAAGGGTGATCTGATTGAACCCGACGAAGTCTTGCCCTCGCTTCCATCTAGCAAGACTTCCTCCCGCGCGCCCTCGGTCGAGGACCTGCGTGCCCTCAACGATGAAGATGCCGTGCGTAGCTGGGAGCCATTTGAGCTTAGTCCGTCTCTGATGGATCGTCGCAGACCAACGGGTCTGACTATTTCAACTGACCATGCTGATGACCATGGAGACGGGGATCTGCTTGATTCCCAGCAGGCTACGCCGACTGCGGAGGACTTTGGTGCGTCTATGGGTTCGAGGAAACATAAGCCTACGTATGAGTTCCATTCTCCGTCGGAGCTTTTGCAGGATCCCGCTATGTATCCCGAAATTCCTGGTTCGCCGACTATGGAGGCACTTCCTTCTGCGGAAGGCTCCGTTGTTGCTGTGAAGGATGTCGATGTTGACACTGATGTCTTTGAGACACCGACTCAGGAGAAGGATGAACTTCTTGAGAGTTCCGAAGCTGCTAGGGGTGTCGGATTTGCGGGTGTTGTTGATGCTGCTGTCATTGCTGCTGTCAAGGAGCACGACAAGCCCGTCGCATCCGAGATTGGCGAGTCCACCCCTGATCCTGTTGATAGAGAGGTGCCCGTCGAGGCTAGTCTCGAGGAAGCTGCTGCGCCAGCCCCGAAGATTGGTGGTTTCGCTGATATCGTCAACGCCGCTGTTATCGCCGAGGTTGCTCAAGACAATACCCCCGCTGAAGAGGACATTGGTGAGCCTGGTACTGCTATCGAAGAGTATGCTCCCAAGGACCTTGGCGTTGAGCACCCGGTTGAGCCCGAAGCAGTCAAGGAGGTGGATTCTGAGTCTGTTGAGACTCCCGCTCAGCCTGTTGAGCCTCCACAGGTGGAGGAGCCTGTTGCTGAGGAGGTTGTCGCTACGTCTTCTTCGAAGAAGAAAAAGAAGAAGAAGGGGAAGAAGGGTCAGGCTAGTGTTGATTCGTCTTCTGATCCTGTGGTTGCCCCTGAGGAACAGACTCCTGCTGAGGTTGCCACTGAGGAGCAGCCCGCTGCTGAAGTTCCCGAGACCGAGTCTCGCTCTATTGAGACTGAAGCTGTCACTCCTTCTGCAGAGCAGGATGTTGATGCTGAGCCCCAACCTGAAGTTGAAGCTGAGCCCCAACCTGAAGTTGAAGCTGTTGAGGCATCTCGAGAACTCGAGCCTGAGCCTCTCCCCGCTGCCGTCACTGAAGCTGTGGAAGTCGAGAAAGATCTCCAAGTTGAGCCAGAGCCCAAGCCTGCCACTGAGCCTGAAGTATCTGTTCCTGTCGAGTCGGATACTGCCGTTGCTCCTGAGTCCCAGCCCGAGCCCACGCCCGAGACCCCCGGCGATGCGACTGAGTCTGAAGCCGCCATGACGCCCGCTCAGAAGCGCAAGGCCAAGAAGGCTGCCAAGAAGAAGGCAAAGAATCTCTCTGTCTCAGAGTCTGTGGAGGCCGCAACTGAGGAAGCGGCAACTGCCCAACCCTCCGAGGAAACTCCAGCTCCACAGGAAGACAAGGCCCCTGAAGCCGAGGCTGCCGAGGTGACTGTTTCAGCTCAACCTGAAGAGCAGGATGTTTTCCATGATGCCAATGCTCCAGATATCTCTGTTCCTGCCGAGCAGACAGCCACTGATATCCAAGAATCCCGTGATATCGTGGAGTCTGTCGAGCCAACCCAAGATGTTCTCCAGCCTGCTGAAGACGTGACAAAGCCAATCGATCAATCCCCGTCTGACGCAGTCCAGGAATCAGAGGCCCGCGAAATCCAAACCTCAGAACTCGTCCAGCCGGAGAGCATGACAGAGCCTGAGCAAGTTGGGGAAACTGCCCAGCCAGAAGAGGTTGTCGAGCTTGCAGCTGCCACTGAAGATGCTGCCGTGGTGGAGAAGCCCGCTGAGAGCGACGATGATCTTTTCCACGAGGCTGTCGCCGAGCAGACTGATGTCTCTGAGCAAGTCAAGGAGATTGAACCAGAAACCTCCACTGAGCCCTCCACTGAGCCCTCCACTGAGCCTGTCGCTGAGCCCGCCGTCGAGACTACAGCAGTTGAACCTGAACCCGAGCCGGAGGTCCCTCTGACCGCGGCGCAGAAAAAGAAGGCTAAGAAGGACAAGAAGAAGCGCAAGTCCGTTGCATTCGAGGATACGACTACTCCTTCCGAGCCTGCCGTCGATGCTCAACCTGAAGATGTTGCCAAGGAAGTGGAACCTGAACAGCCGGCTCCTGTTGAAGCTGTCGATGTCCAAGAGACAGTCACGAGCGGTGAACAGTCTTCTGAGGTTGATACTGCTACTGCAGAACAGCTCGAGCCTTCAATTGAAGAGACCAAAGCCTTGTCTGAACCTGCTGTCGAAGCTACCAAGGATTTGACTGAACCCTCTACCGAAGAGGCTGTTTCTGCTCCTCAACCTGAATCCACTCCATCTGGCGATGTGGAGTCAACGCCTGCTGTCGAAACTGCTGAGGCTGCCGAGGTCACTCCTGATCAACCAGAGCAGCCTGCTTCACAGCCTGAAGCCGAACCCGAGGCCGAGCCTGAGGTTCCCATGACTGCGGCGCAGAAGAAGAAGGCTAAGAAAGACAAGAAAAAGAAGGCTAAGCAGCAGAGTGTGTCTTCTATTCCCGAGGAGGAGAAGCCTGTTGAGCCTGAGGCTGCTGAGTCTCAGCCCGCTGAACTCGCCGAACCCATTGAACCTACCGAACCCGCTCCTGAAGTTTCCGAAAATGTCGAACCTGTTGCTGAGGCTCCTGCTTCAGTCGAGACTTCTGAGCTTGTTGCAGCTACTGAGTCCATTGAAACCTCTGAACCCACTGCTGATGCTCCAGCGGAGGTTATCGATGCTGTTCAAGAGGCTCCTTCTGCTCCTGAAGATCCATCGGTGGAGATCTCTGCTCCAGAGGAACAGCGGGATGAGCCAATCGAGATTGATCAGCCCAAGGAAGATGTGCCTGCTTCTGCTCCAGAAATGGAGGTCGTTCCTGAGACCCCCATTGAGACCCCTGTTGTTGCCAAGCCTGAAGAAGAGCCTGCGGTCGCTGAAGATAAGCCAGAGCCAGAAGTCACTCCTGCTGAGCCCGAAGTACCTATGACACCAGCTGAGAAGAGAAAGGCTAAGAAGGCAAAGAAGAAGAAGCAGCAGCAGGAAAGCATCAGCTCTGTTTCTGAAGAGACACCCGTCACTGACACTGTGTCGCCGCCTGAGGCCGAGGCTACTGAGTCCAGCAAGGAAGTTCAAGACGTTCCAGAAGCGGAGGTCAACCCCGTGGATGATGTACCTGCCCCGGCTGCTGAAGAGACTATCGAGGCTAGCAAGGAGGTTGATGCTACCGAGCTTCCTGCCGTGGAGTCTGAGCCAATTACCCAGGTGGAGACTTCAGCTGAAGGCGATTTTGTCGAGCCTACCAGCGAGGAGGTCCCTGTCGAGACCGCCCCTGTCGAAGCAGAGGTGATCGCCCCGGTCGATGCTCCTCAGGAAGAGGTACCTCTTGAGCCCGAGCAGCCCAAGGAAGAGGAATCAGCCCAGCCTCCCGTCGCTGAAACCCTTCCCACCACCGAAACCGCAGAGACTCAACCTATCGAGCCGGAAACACCCACAGCTGAAGCCGAAGCCCCGATGACTGCTGCGCAGAAGAAGAAGGCCAAGAAGGAGAAGAAGAAACAACAGAAGAGGCAGTCTGCGCTGTTGGATGAACAGGAAACCACCGAGGCAGAGGCTGCTCCCACTGAACAAAAGGAGGTTGAGCCCGCTGCTGATGTGGCTCCGGAGGTCTCTGCCCCCGAGGAGACCAAGACCCTCGATGAAGCTGTGCCGGCGGAAGCAGGCAAGGAAATCCAAGCTGAGGCTACGCCAGTTGTCGAGGATAGCCTAGCTCCTGCTGATGTCGAGCAAGAAGTTCCCGTGGACACACCTGTCAACGATTCTACTGCTACAGAAGCTGTCGTCGAGCCCTCTACCGATGCTCCGACTGTGCCTGATGTGAGTTTTTCGGAGTCTACATTCCCATATACTACAAGTGTTGAACCCGCTGACCAGAACCAGGAGCCCAAGGATGTTGTTGCTACTTTGGAGGAGCCTACCACAGAAACGCCTTTGGATGATCAAGCTACTCCTGATCAGCCTATCGAAGAGCCAACCACCTCGGTTCAACCTACGGCGGAAGAGTCTACTGCAACCCCCGAGACTGTACCGGCAGAGCAGACCGAAGAGGCTGAGCCGACTACTCCATTGTCAAAGAAGGACAAGAAGAAGAAAAAGAAGAAGAACAAGTCCCTTGCCCTTGAGGAGGAGTCGCAGCCTGAGCCAGTTCAGGAAGAATTGAATCAGCCCACCGAGCCTGTCGAACCCGCTCAGTCTGTTGAGGTCACCGAGCCCGTCGAGCCCGTCGAGCCAGCTCCTGTTGAAAATGTCGATTCTCCTAAGTCAGTTGAGGAGCCCGAGGTTTCTGCTGTGACCGAAGAGCCTCAGAGCATCGAACAGCCATCTGCTGAAGAGACTGTTAAAGATGAGGCCGTTCCCGAACAGCCCAGCACAGAAGTCGTCGAAGAACCTTCCCAGCCATCTGAGCCCGAGGTCCCAATGACCCCTGCGCAGAAGCGAAAGGCCAAAAAAGATAAGAAGAAGCGCAAGTCTGTCGCCTTTGAGGACGAGGCATCTGCTACTCCGACGGAGACTGAGCCTGAGCGAGAACAGGCCCCAGTCGAGTCCACTGAGCCCAAGGATATTCCTTCCGAGGAAGCTGCTCCCAGTCAAGAATTGAGCGAGCCTTCCAAGGACGCCCAGGAAGTCGCTCTTGAGACTGTCGAGAATCTTGTCTCCGAACCTGAGACTACTGCAATGGATCAGGTTGAAGCACCCACTACAGAGGGTGAGAAGGCAGATGTGACCGAGACTGCACAGGAAGTTGTTTCATTGAACGAACCATCAGGTCCCGAATCCAAGGCGCCGGAGGTCGAGACTTCAACTCCTGCTCAAGCTGAAGAGCAACCCGTGGTCACTATCGAGTCTGAGACCCCTTCCGAGGAGAAGATCGACACTGTCGAGGAGTCTTCAGCCCCAAGCGCCGAGGTGACGGAGGCAGCAGCCGAGGCAGGCCTTTCAGCCAAGGAGCGTCGCAAGCTCAAGAAAAAGGAGAAGAAGAAGTCCAAGTCTGTGGACTTGACTGAGGAAACCCCTTCTCCTGTAGAGGTGCCCCAAGACGTTGAAGCTCCGGCTGAGTCTCAGCCTGAAGCCCCTCAAGAAGCTGAGCCCGAGGTGCCTCAGGTTGAACAGCCCGACGAGTCAACACCATCTGATGTCGTTCCCCCCAACGCTGAGGAGCTCAAGGTTACTGAAGCACCCGCCGACAGCGAGAAGAACGACACTCTGGAGACCGAACAATCTACTGAACCCGAGACGATCGCCAACCCTGAGCAGGTCACCGAGCAGGAGACCGCCGAGCCCAAAGATATGGACGACAAATTGCCTTTGGTCGAAGCCGCCGTTGAGACAGAGTCTCCCCAACAAGAGTCTGAAGAAAAGCCCGAGCAGCCTACGGAACCAGAAGCCGAAGCCTCCCTATCCGCCAAGGAGCGACGCAAGCTCAAGAAGAAGGAGAAAAAACGCCAGTCCAAGATCCTCGATGTCGATGAAAATGCAACCACCGATACACCCACCGAATCTGAGACACGGGAACTCTCTGTACCCGTAACGGCAAGCTCGCCTGCGGAGAATGACGGTAAAGAACTTCAGTCCCACGACACAGAAACGCCCGCCACGCCGGAAAAAGATTTAGCTTCGACTGATGAGTTCTTGTCTTCGCAGGTAGAGCAGCCACAGATAGAGAGTCGTTCTTCAGATTATCCTCCCCCACCCGTGCTTGAGCGTGATTTTGATTCTGGCGAAGCGAAGGAGGATGTGCCGAAGGAGGAGGATGTTATTCCAGTTTTGGGACAGCAGGAGGTGCCTAGTATGGAAGGAGAAAAGAGTCTTGATGTTGTTGAGGAAGTTGCAGAGCAGAAGGATGAGTCTGCTATTGATGTTGAGCCTGTGCAGGAAGAAGGCAAACCCATTGAAGCTGATGTGCCTGTAGTCTTGGAGGAGACGTCAGAATCCAAGGACGAGGATTTGGCCGAGAAGGAGCCAATCATGGAGGCTGCTGCAGAGGAGGTTGAGCAGCCGGCCTTGTCCAAGAAGCAGAAGAAGAAGGACAAAAAGAAGAAGCAAAAGCAGGACGAGAATATCGAGGAGGAGATTGTCGCCCCTGCACCCGAGGCATTGGCTGTAGAACAGAAAGACCAGGAAACCGTCATCGGCCCTAGCGAAGAGACCCAAGAGCAGCAGATCCTTGAACCTGAACTGGCTACTGAGCAGCAGTCAGCTCCCAATGCCGAAGAGGCGTCAAGCGAACAAGCCCGCGATCTCGATACAGAGATTCCTGTGGCACAGCCCTCGGCAGCTGTGGAACCTGCTCAAGACACCGAGCCTACCGAGTCTACCGAGGCAGAGACTGTTGCCCCCGAGCCTGAGCAGTTGGAGGAATCACCGCTATCGAGAAAGCTGAGCAAGAAAGAAAAGAAAAAGCAGCGCCAAGCTCTGCTCGCACAAAAAGCTGAAGCTGAAGCTGCATCTGAGCCAAAAGAGGAAGCAGCTCTGGAGACAGTTGAGCCTGAGACCCCTGCTCCTGTCTCTGACGCTCTGGATGCCTCCGCATCTACTGAGCAACAAGAAGATATTCAGCCCGTCGACACCAGCGATGCTGTTGTCCAGCCTCCCGAGACCCTCCAGGATGGCCCAAAGGAAATTGAACAGGCGGTTGTTGAAGCTGATCAACCTATCACAACAGAAAATGAACGGCCAGAGCCCGTGGATCAGCCAGTATCTGAGGAGTCCAGGCTAGAAGAGGACCTTGCCTCAACTCCTGCAGATACCTCAGCTATTGTTCCTCCGCCTTCAGAGAACGACCCGGAAGCAGAAGCCGAGCTACCCACAGTCTCGAGAAAGATGAGCAAGAAAGAGAAGAAGAAGGCTGCTGCTGCTGCTGCTGCCGCCGCCGCCGCTCTTGCAGCAGAGGAAGACAAGCCTGCCGAGCCAGAACCTGTGCCACGGGAAGCCTCACCTGCTCCGGAAGAAACCATCGAGCTTATAAAAGAGCAACCTTCCCTCGAGAATAACCAGCAGACTCCCGAACTCGAGCCTTCTTTGCAGCAAGAGGTCGTTGAACAAGACCAGGACAAGGCCGACCCAGTGACCTTTGAATCTCTCACCGATATCGTGGAGAAGCCCACTGCAGAGACAGAACAGCAGATTGAGCCTTCCACGGAAGAGCCCAAGCCTGATGAGGCGGCAGAGGAGCCTGTTGTCGATGAGCCCATCACTCGCAAGATGTCTAAGAAGGAGAAGCGCAAGGCCAAGAAACAAGCCGAGCAGGAGGCTTTAGATGCTCCTTCAATGCAGGCGGACACTCCAGCAGAGACTGCCACTGAAGTTGAGCCCGAGGTCCCGGTTGTCGAGGAGCTAATTACTTCCGAGGAGTCTAAGGAGATTGCCCCTGAGGGTGAGCCTGTCGCTCAAGAAGAGACGACAGTCGAGGATATTTCGCAACCTGAGAACCTCCCTATAGCAGTTGACGAGACTCCGGAAGACGAGAAGAGGGAGATTGAGCATAGTGAGTCCTCCGTTCCCTCGGATGGACTCGATGCTCCATCCTTTTCCATCGAGCGCAAGACAGATACTGAACCTGAAGTTGCTGTTGAATCTCTTGGTAAGCAATTCTTTTTCAATAGATCACAACGAAATGAAAAGAGATTAATACTAACCTCCGCGATGCAGATCTCGAGAAAGCAGCTGATATCGGGACACCTGATGATGTTCTCACGAGCCCACCAGAAGAGCCCGAGGTGGTTGCACTGCTGTCCAAGAAGTTGTCCAAGAAGGAAAAGCGAAAGGCCAAGAAGAAGGGCGCTGTGGAAGAAGAGCCCTCTAACTTGGAGATCGACGATGTTCCTACTCCCGAGGCTCCAGTTGAGCTTCAAGAAGCTACTCCCTCTGCACCTGTGCAGACGGAAACAGAGCTCCTGGCAGAGCCCCCAGTCGAGCCAGAGTCAACAAGAGAGCTGGAGCTCGAGGGCGAAACAGCGAAGGAGATCGAGCCTGCTATCGAAGCTCAGCATACTTTTGAGCCAGAAGCTGTAACGGAATCGACTCCAATCATTCCAACTTCTACTACCGAAGAGCCTGAGCCCGAGCCGGAGACTGCGCTCTCGCGAAAGGCTTCCAAGAAGAAGGCCAAGAAAGCGAAGAAAGCCAGTCAAGCTTTGGAGCTACAGTCACCCGTCGAAAATCCGACCGAAAACCAAGAATCTGCCTTGGCTTCTGAGGCAGAAGCATTGGCCAAGGATCTTGCTGGTCCGACTACGCTGGAGAAAAAGCATGACGACGAGGACTGGCCTGCAATTGAATGGGAGGATGGTCATGCCCACAAACATGAGCCATCTCAAGACAAAATCCCCGAGCCAGAGTCAGTGACGCCTGTTCCGGAATCCGAAGCCATTGGGGAATATGACGAGTCTGCCATTCCCTCTGCCTTGCAAGAGGCCAAAAAGGATCTGGAGCAGCCCGTTGAGGAAGAGGAGGAAACTTGGTCTGCGCCGCTCAGCAAGAAAGATAAGAAAAAGGCCAAGAAGAACAAGCGCAAGTCAGAGCAAGCAGCCCTGGCTGCTGGCGAGCCCGACGAGGAGCCGTCTTACAAGAAGGTTGAGCTGGTTCATGAATCCATGCCTGAACCGCCCATGGAAGGCCTAGTCCAAGCTCCCAAAGAGATCGAGACCGAGCCACCCGCTCGCACTACGACTCCCGGTGGCTCCAAGATTGCAAGCCTGTTCCCTGGCTTGGAACGTGGAGGATTTCGACGATCGGCGATTGACAAGAAGTCAACACCGTCGCTAAAAGATAGTGCTGAGGAAGAGACCGCAGCGGACCTGGCAAATCGCGATATCGCGATCCCCGTCTCGGAAGCACCCCTAGCGACCACTGAAATCCATGACAACCCCCCATTCAGCTTCGAGACATCTACGGAGAGCAAGCGAGAAGCGATAGACACTATGACCATCCCCCAACACGATGCTCCAGAGCCGATTACCCCCTCACAGCAAGAGTCGCCCATTGATCCTGATCTCCCCATCAATCGTGAGCGCTCTATTGCAGAGCAATTCCCCTCCCCAGATCATGCTGCCTCTAAGGAGCGATCCTCCATGCTGTTCGGCTCGTCCCCATCTACTCGCACCGAAGAAGCAACTTCGCCCCGTCGCTTGTTGCCCTCCCAGATGGATGCTCCCAAGGATTCCTCATGTGGATTGCGCCGAACCCCATCCGTGATCCACGGGAGACATCAGAATACTCCACGAACGTGGAACCTGGAGGAAGCCTCTATTCCAGCCCCATCTTCCTCTCCACCTCGGTCTATCTTTGGACCTTATGATGAGCCCCATTCTCGGCCCCGGACTCCGCTAGACCCCATTGCGGAGCAGGAGCCAGGGGACGGGGACTATACATCCACGGCTCGCGACGGGACTCCCCGTTTGGAGATCAAGCCAGAGCATGTCTTGCCCCGGCCTCATACTCCCGTGCGAAAATTTACAGACAATGCCATGGCCCGAGAGACCTGGCCGACTCCGGAAAATGACAAATTGGACAAACGGAGGAGCCACGATGACCTCTCCAAAGCCAGCAAATTCAGCGGCGACTCGGGCTCGCCCATGACGCAGACGCCCGAACATGGGATGCCTGTATTGAAGCCCAGCGCCAGCAAGGGTAAGCTGCGTCGCACGAATCGCAGTACGAGCAGCGATCTGCGGGGCGCTAGTAAAGCGCTAGACTCCTCCCTGCCTCCCCCAAATCTCGATCTCGATCAGCTTCCCTCTTCTTCCTCCTACGACCCCGTCACCGACAAGGGCAAGCGTCCCCTGCGAAACATGTCGGATGTCTATGTAAGTTGATATTGATTTTTTTTATCGTGCTATTCTTCTTTTCCGTGTTTTCCGACCGGTGGCTTTGTTTGTTTACTAACGTTGCCTAGGAGGGATGGGGTGAGACGCCGAGCTCCCCACGGTCGCCCAGCCGACCGCCAAGTGTTCGTCGCCGTCGCAGCATGCAACACCTTCAAGACATGGAAGCTCGCCTCGATCAACTCATCTCCGAAAACCGTCTACTGATTGCCGCTCGCGATGAGGCCGAAGACAAAATGCGCAATGCCAGCGTCGCTCGCCGGAAGAGCGACCGGGCCCTCAACTCCAGCGGCGCCGACTTGCGAGACAAGGAAGCCGAAGTGGAACAATTGAAGAACTCTGTGGAGTGGCTGCAGCGAGAGATGAGTCGTCTGACCCAGGAGAATGAGGGTTTGACGGCGTCAAATGCTGCTCTCGCTGCCGCGCACGCCGAGGAGGTCAACACTGTGCGCGAGTCCTCCACACGAGAGCTGGATGATTTGCGGTCGCAACACACCGCACTGTCCACTCAGATGGATACTCGTGTGCGACAAGAAATTGAATCGGCTCTTGCTCAGAAAGACGCCGAGTTGCGACGCCTCCGTGAAGAGCTGGAGGAGGCCCGTGACAAGGTGAAGGAGCTGCAACAACAGATCGCATCGTCGCTTCAAGACAACACTCTCGTCTTCCGGGATGAGGATTACTTCGATGCTGCCTGCCAAAAGCTCTGCGGTCATGTCCAACAATGGGTGCTGCGCTTCTCAAAGCATTCTGATCACCGTCGCTGCCGCACTCTCAGCGAGCTGCACGACGAGAAGATCGCCGATCGCTTCGACAATGCCCTCCTCGATGGCTCCGATGCCGATTCCTACCTCTCTGACCGTGTTCGCCGACGTGACGTGTTCATGTCGGTGGTCATGACCATGGTGTGGGAGTACATCTTCACCCGCTACCTCTTCGGCATGGACCGTGAGCAACGCCAGAAGCTCAAGTCTCTTGAGAAGCAACTGGGCGAGGTCGGCTCTCGTCGCGCCGTTCACCGCTGGCGTGCAACTACCTTGACCCTGTTGTCGAAGCGCCCGGCGTTCGCCTCCCAGCGCCAAAGCGACACTGAAGCTGTCGCCCTTGAGATCTTCGGTACTCTGTCCCGAGTCCTTCCACCCCCGTCACAGGTGGAAGCTCAGCTCCTCGAGTCTTTGCGCAAGGTCCTGCGTGTCGCTGTTAATCTCTCTCTGGAGATGCGCACTCAGCTGGCCGAATTCATCATGCTGCCCCCTCTGCAGCCAGAATACGATACCAACGGCGACCTGGCTCGCCAGGTGTACTTTAACGCCTCGTTGATGAACGAGCGAAGCGGCGAAACCACTTCCAACGACGAGCTCGAATCCCAACAAGCTGTCGTCCGCATTGTGCTCTTCCCTCTTGTCGTCAAGAAGGGCAACGACGTCGGTGAAGGCGATGACGAAGTCGTCGTCTGCCCCGCTCAAGTCCTCGTTGCCCGACCAGGCAAAGACAAGCGTGTCTCCAAGATGGTGAGCGGTGACCGTATGTCCGTGGATGCCCGCTCGGTCTATAGTGCTGCACCGAGCATGGCACCTCCCTCAGTGATGGACATGAGCAATGTGATTTGAGGCGTCACACTCTAATCCAGATTGCCCCGTCACTTTTAATTTTGATATTTACTGGTCACTGCCCGTCTTTGCAATATTCCCCCTTCTGCTTCTTCGATTCCCATTTGGATGGGTGAAAATGGCTTCTTTCTAATCTGGCGTCTTCCTTGAAAACTCGGGTTCCTCTTTCTAGTGAGGACGTTGATGATTTGGAGTTGATTGTTTATTTGTTTTTTGTGTTTATTTTCCTTTCTTGTTTCTTATTTTTGTGTTTCTCAAGAAGATACGGCCGCTGCATGTGTATTTACTATCTTTATGTCTGATGAGTGACGACTTGTACTTCTGGCACGGCAATGTAATAGATCTATTCTACACATTTCAACTCTATACTCTTACTAGTAGCTATGAATGATCCGTGTAGTATGTAAAAAAGATGTTTCAAAAGGGCGAGACTGCTGCCCTGCGTGCCTTACTTACACCACGTCGCTATCTCAGCGGCAATGTCAGTGCTGACTTGGAACCAGATTGCATAGATCGGGATTGACATTACTTTTCGTGATTATAGGGTAAAGTCATTCTTGAAATCGGCTTGACTCATGCACACTTGATAACTAGCTAATTAATAGTTCTCTGGGCTCGCCGCTAAGGCCTTCGTGCGGGGAGAGTTATTCGGCGGGCCGCGCTGAACTGAGGATGCAAGCAGTCGGTCTAGTCGTATATATTAACAATGCAAGGGAACACGTCCATGTAGAGTACGTCTTTCTACTCCGCCAAACAGCAGTCTACCACGTATTACCGCAACTAACTATAGTTAGCGGGTGATATGACTACTAGGAGCCAGATACGCGCCGGAGATGGTTCCTGGTTGAGGCTGAAACTCCTGATTTAAATGGCTGCATCCCATTATTTCCCCTGCTCTCTAGTACAACATTTATTCATGTAGATTGCGTTACGCGACCCAAAACTAAAACAAGTCAATTATGTCGCCTTCGATCGGATCGGGCCAGCATGGTTCGATCGCCCCTCAACGGAGCACAACCGTAGAGTATATGGGCCCTTCCTTGCGGGAAAAGTGGATAACTAAACCGTCGACAGTATCGTCGCGATCCCACCCATAGGCGCACACCATCTCAAGACATGGACATCACCAGGATCAAGCTCGCCTTGGCTTCGGACCGAGCTGGTCGCGCGTATACCGAAAGCCCGGGTCCTGTTGTACAACCACGGACAACTGCAGGAGAATACCACAATTCTTCCACTAGGTCAGCGCCTACTCAACGCCCTTCTCGACGAGCGGAAACATGAACGTAGCCGGCGGCCTCTCTTCTTCATATGCCATAGTACAGGCGGCCTCGTTGCAAAAGTCTGTTTAGCTCTCGCTTCGCGGGCCGAGCCGACACAGGCTATCCTGACCAGTTACTATGGCATCGCTTTTTTCGCAACGCCCCATCAGGGGTCGAGTTATTTATCAGCTGATGAGTATGCATCAAGCATCTATCATTTACTTCATCTTGAACAGGATATTCCCGTTTCTCTGAGGGAGCAGTTCCGCCCTCGACAGGAGCGACTATGGCATCTCTCTAATCAACTCAAGGCGTTGTCGGCAGACTTGAAGGTCTGGTCTTTCCTGGAGACGGTTGACTCGACTATGACTGCGGTAGACCCAGATACTGGAAGACTTATAGAGATCCTTGCGCCTATCAGTTCCATCCGTTCCGGGATACTAGGAGGAATGGGAAATGAGAATCAAATCGCGATGGCCACAGACCATGTCGGGACCGCAAGCTTTCATGGCCAAGAGTTGGCCCTGGATAGTTTTCTGACCGAACTAGCAGACGCTGCGAGGGAGGCTGTTGAACTCTCCAGTCTCTCAGACACGCCGTTGGATTTGGAACGGAAAGTTATGGTGCAAGTTCACGGGTTCTTTGAAGATCCTGCCTTCGGCATTAGCGACGATACACCACTAAAGTTATGGACGGCCAGTGTCTCTTTAGAAGAGTATCTCAATCGTGGCCCAGCGGCGTGTCTTCGAGATCAGTTAAACCGTGACCAACCTACTGGACCGGATGATTCCTCCATGAGCCGCGTCAGCAACCCCCAGCATCAATTGTCGCATATCATTCCTGGGCCAAAAGAACACGGGGATGACTATCATGAGTCTCAGCGTAAAAACGAGTCTGGACCTTAAAAAGATGACAGCCAGCCAGCGCGACCAGCGAGATTATAAGTCAGCAAAATGGACCAGTGACGACCTGTCTCACTTGTTTGAACTGCGTGATCTCGAAGACGAACTTTTGACCATCATGAAGCTTCTTGATCAGCAAGAGACTTTCATCAAAAGTATGATAAAGTACTGGGATCGGGGGGATTACTATGGCAAGGTATTCCTTGATATAGCACAGTCGAGAATTGATGATTATCGGGCCCAACTTGGCAAGATGAAGGAGAACTGTCGCCTATCCTTAAAATCAGTATGCATCCCTTCGTCCCGTGCTTCAATTGATGAGACCCATCTGACTTACTCGCCCCAGGCGGAAACTATACTCGATTTGAAGCAGAGACAAGCAAATCTCGATGAAGCCCGAATGGCGAGGTGGCAGGCTGAAGAAAGTCAGAATCAGTCGCGATCTGTGACGGTCTTCACCATTTTCACCGTGATGTGAGAGGATGATTCCCTCCTTTTTTCTTTCATCAAGCCAGAGTATATAGAGTCCACAGCTGACCACTCCAGATTTCTGCCTTTATCCTTTTTTACCTCTCTGTTCGGCATCAACGCGAGAGAATGGAGCGGCGAATCAGAAAATCTGTCCCTGAGCGTGATGCTTGAGATTGCTGGTAAAAACACGCATCGCATGAAAGGGCCTGAAACTTTCTAATATGTCATACGTAGCACCTGCATCCTTCGCAATCATTACTGTGGCTCTTTTGATGGCCTTCAACGAAAAACTGCGCGTGACAGTCACGCAATTCTTCACGCCTGGAATGCATAATTATTTTGTTGCCAATCCGCGGATACAGAGTGATGAAATCGCCGTGCCAAATGTGAGGGGGAAATAGCCTGGGAGAGCGAAGTTTGTTAGTGGTGAGTTACTGTTGGAGAAGTTAGAGGTTTACTCTCTCCGAGTCCTTTCGGATTAGTTACATTTTTGACACCATTGATCTGTATCGGCATGCTTAGATGGATGAGATTCGATTTTCATAATGATAGTTGTGATTTATTACAAGAAATGCTCCACGTACACCCCCCAATATCTACTTACCCTCTAGGAACGTGGGTGTGGGTAGAAATGCAGATATGGATGTGTAAGGTAACGTGTAGATAGCCGTATATGATGGCAAGGGCAACGGTGTTGAAGCTTGTCGAAATATGTGGGAATACGTAGTATAGAGGCCAATCACGGGCTAAATCAACTCCGTATTGCTATGGTTAAAGGGACCAAATTAATACAAAGCAGTCGAGTATGAAGACTACTAGATAGATGTATTAAGGGGGTGGCAGCAGCCTTACTGCATGACCTAGGGCCGTGTACTATGCAAGTCAATGACTAGCGGCATCGCGTCAGCTACTTAGAGCCTCCTAGGACTTATATCAGTCTGTTGGAGATAGTACTCGCCCTAAATGTCTATGAAATACTGAATTCGGCAATGACGATCTCCTCCGCAGGCCAGACTTTTCCCCCCGTGACCTCATCGCTCCGCTTTGGGAAATTGACTTGCGCCCCTCAGCATCATGGGAACCTCGGGCCAACTCTTCAACACCTCTTATCTCTCTCGGTCTATACACCATTTACTGAGCTGCAAGCTATTGCTCTTATCTGTATTTATTGTGTCCGCCCTCCTTGGGTCTTGCCTGTCGTCTTTGCCTGATGTTCCACATTGTTTCGCCACACGCGTCATCCGCAGTGACCCTGTTCCAGCTCCAGCTCCAGCTCCAGCCCCAACCTGAGTTCGAGCTTGATTTGTTCCAGACCCTTGTCCTGCAGCGCTAATTTGCTCTCAAACATGTTCTGCACAGTCTCGCCTTGATCGACAGGGCTCATTGCGACCGCAGAAAAGGGCTGGACTGCTCTTCTTTCTACTGCATCCGAGATTTAGAGCTGTGGCTCATTTGATTGAATGAGCATCGTCATTAGCGCAATCGCTGGCAGAGGACGAGCTCTACTCCGGTCGGAAGACCTTTAAACGCATCACGGTAATACGTCACGAGTATAATTATCCATTCCTACAGTCTCGTCGAAGCCATCTATGGACCCCCCTCTTACGCCGACACCCAATCTCGTCGCCGCAGCTCCTCGATCGCAACGCTTTTCCTCCTCCTCACCGTCTAGCCCGAGCAAAGGACCCCAGCGCAGTGAATACCCACTTTCCACTGCAAACAAAGCCGGGAACGGTCCAATGGGCGGGCACGAACAAGATCACGGTCCGGCGACGCCCTCAGGGACCCGCTTGAAGACCCCCGCGCCCGATAATGGCTCTGCTGGCAAACCCTCCAAGTCCTCCAAGCGAAGGAAAAACCGCAATCGCAAGCGTCGCAACCGACAGGAGTCGTTTCTTACACCTGGCCCGGAAGAAGCCCATGACAGATCTGGAACTGTTTCGGGGACTGGTGGTGCTGGAGAGTCGATGGAGGACGATCAGCCAACGTCCAAGGATAAACAGTCGTACTTTATGCTGCGCCGGAAGCTGAGCAATACTAGCATTGAGAGCGATGCACTGCTGGATCATCGGTAGGTCCTGGGATACTGGCACAGCTTTGGGAGTCGTCAAAGCAGAGGTTCATGTCGAGTCTAATCTTTTGGCGCACATTTTCAGGGACCAACCCATGATGCGTCCTCGACGGGACAGTCGAGCTGCAACATCGTTCCGCCCTAGCTCCCTTCTCTCCGGAGCCTTTCGGTCCCACGACAGTCAATCGCGCAACACCCCGAGGACGGGCCGGGCCCAGCAATACCAAGAGGGAGACAGCGACGACGCAGATGCTACCGACCGCACACCGCTGATCCGTGGAGCCTCGGGCCACGCATCTGGCCTGTCGCGGTACGGGACAGACTCACGGCCTAGCCCGTTCACACGCCAACGCCGGGCATCCGTCCAGTCCACATCATCGCGATGCTCACCGCGAGGTCACTACAGCCCGCCATACACTCCGGATGTAGAGCGTGATTACGATGTCAACAACCCGCCGTCGATCCCCGGAACGCCCAAATTGGGCCCTGACATGAACTATGACGATGCGGTGGTGACGGGAGCCGAGTTTGACTTTGCATTGGGGCGATCGATTGACACACGCAGGGAGTCGGTGCATCGACCGAACGATGCATTGATCGACATTGATGGTGGTGGCCGCCAATACTCTGAACCCTCTTCACTCCACTCACATCAATTTTCCCCACAAGAGCTGCGACGACGCCGTACAGTTGCGTTGCCGGTGGAAGAAGACGTTTGTTTCCCTACGGAGGATGTCTCTGAGATAGGCGATGAAGAACGGAGGGCGCCGAGAGATGAACAGGGGGAACGCCGTCGACGCAAACGTCGACAGTGGCCAGATCTCTCTGTTCTGGAAGAATGGAGTCGCGAAGAAAAGGAAGATCGCAGTGGGGACTTGCGTGTGAAGAAGATCAGCGAACCGATGTTTGTCGAAGGCCGATTGCGACCTCAGTATAAACTGTGGCGACGCGAGGAAGACGATGCGCCTTATCGGTTTACCTATTTCAACGAGGAGTTTCAGAGTACTATCCACGCCCAGACAATCTCCGAGTTGGTGCAACCCGGTGGTAGTTTCCGTGAACTTTTCATCCCCGATCCGCCCGAGTTGGAGGATTCGGATTCTGATGAGGAGCCAGAAGTCGATCCTTCTGTGAACGGGAATTCTGCTTCTGGCGTTGGTGGTGGAAACCGAGGATCAGGATCTCATTTTGAAAGCCATTATACCAACACGCACAATGGGAATAACTATAATGGCACGGCGCCTGCCAATCTGGAATCACGGAATGGTCACGATTACGCCTCTGGTACACTCAACAACCACCGGGGCATTCCGAATCCGCGTTTGTCTGTTATCAGCGAGGCGCGCCCAGGATCAACCAGGGAGGCATCACCCTCGCATTCAAATATCCCTGAGAAGCCCAAGCGGTATGGTCCACGGCCAACCTTTTGGCTGGATGTGCTGTCTCCAACAGATGCGGAGATGCGCGTTATTGCCAAAGGTTTTGGCATTCACGCCCTGACCGCGGAGGATATCATGATGCAAGAGGCTCGCGAGAAAGTAGAGCTTTTCCGCAGCTACTACTTTGTCAATTATCGTACTTTCGAACAGGACCGCAACAGCGAAGACTACCTTGAGCCTGTGAACATGTATGTAGTAGTCTTCAGGGAGGGTGTACTGTCCTTCCATTTCTCGCAGACACCCCATCCTGCCAACGTGCGTCGACGAATCCGCCAGCTTATGGACTACCTAATCCTCAGCTCGGACTGGATTTCCTACGCGCTGATCGATGACATCACTGATGTCTTCGGTCCTTTGATTCAAGCGATCGAAGATGAGGTCGACGAGATTGATGAGAAGATTATGCAGATGCACTCTTCCAACAAGGAAGATTCTTCTGATAACGTACCCCCCACTTTTGCCCCGGGTGAGATGCTACGGCGCACTGGTGAATGTCGCAAGAAGGTCATGGGCTTGTACAGGCTACTCAGTAACAAGGCGGATGTTGTCAAGGGCTTTGCTAAGCGATGCAATGAACAGTGGGAGGTGGCGCCCAAGTCGGAGATTGGATTGTACTTGGGCGATATTCAGGATCATATTATGACTATGACTGGAAACTTGACGCACTATGAGACGTAAGTTTTCATCTCATTGCCGTTATAGGATGTAATGTTCCCCCCAAGACTGACAAATTGTTCGTACAGGATTCTGTCTCGTGCGCATTCCAACTACCTGGCGCAAATCAACATTCTGATGAACGAGCGCCAGGAGCAGACTGCTGATGTTCTCGGTAAATTGACGGTTCTTGGTACCATCGTCCTGCCGATGAACATTATCTGCGGCATGTGGGGTATGAACGTGAAGGTGCCTGGGCAGGATATCGATAACTTGTATTGGTTCTGGTCGAGTACGTGTTTTCCATGCTTCACCTAAACTGGGGGTTCATATGATTCTAACGTATCGCAGTTACTACCGGCTTACTCTTCTTTGGTCTTGCCTCGTTCTTGATTGCCAAACGGGTGTACAAGATTGTATAAACGGGCATTAGCTCGTGTCTGTTTGTGTGAGGAACTTGCCTTTTCTCGGCTGGCTGTCTACTTTCCCTCCCTTTGACTGATACCCCTGGTTCTGTCCCCCTCGATGTTTGTTTTTCTTTGTAAATGATGATTACCGGTTGACACGTTGGGCCTAGATGAGCGTGCGAAGGCGTCTGTGATTGTATACGGGTCATTCATGCTTTCCTTTTGTGATTCCTGTTTTGGGTTCTGATAGTGGTCACATTGTACATACAATTAATGCTAGAATTGTACACATTGTATACTACACTTCTCTTTCTATCTAGATGAGGTGAATTATTACTGTATCCATGCTATAACAGATCACATAGATCAAGGATAGGCGATGGTAGAGAGACCTGAGCTAGTAGTACTGCCACCAATAGCCAGGGGGTCAGAATTAGTTTAGAGACTCGGCAAATAGCCGGCAAATACTCTAGTCGAATGCTTTTTTTTAATACCGACGCCCTGTAGCGTGGCTTATGTGTAAGATTGAGTTCGCGCCCACGCGCTAGTGAACTGGCGTCGCCCAGTGTCTAGTATCTTGAATGATAACCCGGCAAACTCCGGCGTTTCCCCTCACCATCACCGGAGGCTAATAAATGGCGGGTTGTCTTGCTCAGGAGAACACGAGGACCACCTTCAAGTCTAAAAGGCTAATCAGCTAGCCTTCGGCTATCACTTCCCCGACAAGGTGGATCTGCAGTGGTCTTGTCTCCCACCTATCGTGGGGAAGCCGTACTGAGTCAGACCAGCGTCCGCCTCTTGTTCAAAATGATCTAAGGAACTAGTCTGCCCACGATAGCGCAGGTCTGGAGCTAAGTAGAAATTGGAATCGACTACCTAATCGTGTGATCCCTGTTTCAGGCGCAAGGACCTGCAGAGTAGTCCTTCAAATAGTATATATGCTATCAAGCCCTCTCCTACTCGCTATCTCTAACCTTTCACCTAACTTCCTTCCCTATCTGTTTGCCATCATTCTATACAATGGGCGGCCCCGCACTAAATCCAGAAGCGCCGCTGACGGTCGGTGCTATGGGAAGTAGAGGCACTGGCTTAGCCTGGCTGTCTAATTCCGGTATTGTCAAGCTGAACTTGATGCTGGTCTTGTTCCAGGTCTCGAGTTATGCGACGGGTTATGATGGGTCTATGATGAATGGACTGCAGTCCCTTACTACATGGAAAAATTCTTTTAATAATCCTGGAGCTTCAGAGCTTGGTCTGTGAGTTATACCTGGCGAGAGTTTCGTATCTCCTACAGAAAATTCTCGAGGGGAAATATTCGAATGAAAATACTGACAATCATGCACTCAGTCTCAATGCGATACAAAATGTCGGACAGCTTATCACAATGCCCGTTTGCGCCATTAGTTGCGACAAGTTTGGTCGTCGCCCGGTACTTTTCGTCGGTGCTTTTATTCTCCTCATTGGCGTTGCTCTCCAAGCTGCAGCGCAGAATGTCGGCATGTTCATCGCTGCCCGAGGAATCATCGGCATGGGGCTCGTCCTCAATATCACGGCCGCGCCTTTACTTCTGCTAGAGCTGGCTTTCCCCGGACAGCAAGGTCCACAGGTAGCCATTTACAACAGTCTGTGGAATCTGGGTGCCTTGGTCGCCGCCTGGATCACATATGGCACGTTTCGAATTGAGAATACTTGGGCATGGCGTATCCCCTCGCTGCTTCAAGGTCTTTCTAGCGTGATCCAACTGGGTCTCTGCTTTTTGATTGAGGAGTCCCCACGATGGCTACTTAGTCAAGAGCGAGACGAGGAAGCAAGAAAACTGATTTGCAAGTATCATGCCAATGGCGATGATTCTGACCCGTTGGTTACCATGGAGATGGAAGAGATTCGCACTGCGCTCCAGCTTGAAATGGAAGCGAGGCGAAACACCTCTTACCTTACCTTCTTTGAGAATAAGGGCAATCTCAGACGGTTTTTCATCATCATTTCGGTTGGATTCTTCTCACAATGGAGTGGGAATGGTTTGATATCTTATTATTTGACGTTGATTCTTGACTCTATCGGCTATACGGCGGAGAGCACGCAGACTCTGATTAATGCTCTACTTACTCTGTGGGGTATGATCTGGAGTCTTCTCTTTGCTTTTGTTATGAATCACTTTGGGCGACGCACGCTCTTTCTCATTTCAACTGCTGGTTGTCTGGTCGTTTACGTCGTTTGGACAGCCCTCGAGGCCACCTACGAGATGAGAACAGCCCTGGATGGAACAGGAGGTGACGGCTATGCAAAGGGAGTATTGGCTATGATATTCCTTTACAGCTTCTTCTTCTCCATCGGCTGGACCCCTCTTCAGGTGACATATTGCATCGAGATCTTGCCATTCGATCTTCGAGCCCGTGGTCTGGTACTTTACAACCTCTGCGTGGCAATTGCCGGTATCTTCAACCAATATGTCAACCCAATCGGTGTCACCAACAGCAAGTGGAAATACTACATCACTTATGACGTCTGGCTGGCAGTTGAGCTTGTGGTGGTTTACTTCCTCTTTGTGGAAACTGGCAATCTCAGTCTTGAAGAGACTGCCGTTATCCTGGACGGCGAAGACTATGAGAACAGGCTCATTGGCACCACTGCATCTATGGCCGAGAAAAAGCTGGGTGCCGAAGGAAATCCCAGTGTCACGGTTGAGACTAAGGAAACTTCGCAAAAGTAGAACGTATTCAAAGTGGATATTCAGCCCGCGATGGGAAATTGCGATACCGGAATGGCACGATGTATCTAGCTAGCGTCTTCGGCGTACGAGAGAATTGAGAAATGCGTTTATTCCCCATATCTCCAGAATTAGTATTTACAACGGACGACTGCCGCCCCCATCTAATGTCTCAAGTGCGGGGAAGTGGACACCCGATACACCGCAGTGGATAAATAAGGCTGTGTTATTGATGGAAAAAGTACAGATAGCTAGGATCCCCGGGTTGACCGGTCATTCCCGGCCTTTTAGCCGATATTTTGCCGATGAAGGATCTCTAGTAGATATGGGAAAAGTAGTGGTGCGGAGTTACATGTATGATGTATACCCCCACATAGTCTGGGGTATTCTTCTTAAATTCAATTCCGCGAGACGAGAAGTTGGAAGCGTTCGAGCATCATCTCACATAGCTTTCAGATGAGATTAAACGATATTACCCGCTGCGCAGTTGCCAGCGGCCTTCTGGCATCCTGCGTATCGGCTGCTCAAATCACCAAGAGCTTGTCCGAAAGTAAGAGACCAACTGTTCATTGTGCTGGATAGTTCGTGTTAATTGAAATCCGGATAGATGCGCAAAGCCTTTTTGACTGGTCGATGCGTGTGAATGACCTACGCTGGGATGATTCGTATAACTATGTTTGGTATGCCGACAATGGAGCTTGGTCAACTCGCTTCACGGCGTGGTATGTTGCGGGTCTGCTGTTCCGCAACAAGGGGCAAGATGTGTCCAACGCGAAGGCTGCTATTGAGAACATGTCAGTTGCTTAGACATCCGAAACACCATTGATATCGAGTGATAGACCCATGGCTGATTCTTAATTTTCTACAGATTGACTTGCCAAATGACCGACAGCTACGAGTCTGCCTGGTATGGCACGTTCAAGCGTTCCCCTGATGAGCCGTACCCGACTCCAGACTCAGAACTGTACCCACCAGAGATCTACGTGCGTTCTCCACTGATTAGTGCCAAGGGAGGCCAGTATTCGCAGCCCTTAACTAATTTGAATTTGCTATAGGACACGTATGATCCTAACTGGAGAGAGTTCATTGGAACGCAGCTGGTACAGATCGTGGAAGAATTCTCCGATCTACTTGGAGACAGCCTTGTAGCACGCATCGAGGATAGCCTGGAAATCGCGGCTGTGGGCTCTATGCGACGCAATGGCTCATACCCCGAGGGCGATAATCTGACACCAGCATACTCTAACCCAGCCCTCATGCGTTCTTGGTACGTTTCCTGGATTGGTGAGCGTCGCAACAACGAGGTATGTGTTTACTGCCACTCAAAGGCAGATCCCGACTGGAATGCCAGACATAGATTGATACTAACATAACACATTTCAGACCTTTATAAAGTACGCCAACGACCAGGCTGACACTATCTTGGAGCTCTTCCAATCCACTGGCTCGAATGTGCTTTCTGAATACAATGCACCAACGTACTATGGAATGGATACTTGGGCGCTGGCTGGTGCAATCAAATACGCTCCCAAAACTGCTACGATTGTCAAAAACTCTAAGGTTATGTTGACTGATATGTGGGCAGACATTGCTGCTCACTATAACCCTTATCTTTCTGTGATGTCCGGACCGGTATGATACTCTGACCTGCCACCAAGACAGTAATAGATTCCTAACAGAGTCATGTTTAACAGTACGATCGCGCTTACACACGCGACATGGTCACAAACTCCGCGGTCGTCGACTACTTCTGGTGGGGTCTGTTCGGATACGGTGGCCCACAGCCAAACAAACTCGAGGCAGACCTGCTATACGATGTCACGCAAGGCGCAGCTTTGGCTCTCGTTGTAGACGTGGTTGCAGCGCACATTTCCAAGAATGACTCTGCCTGGCTTCAGTCTCAAGGAGACTGGAGCGGAGAGCGCCTGATCACCAAGAAGGTTCCTGATGCCCTCGGTCCTGACGCCGAGGTTCGAGTCGTAACCTCGTGGATCAGCTCAACACTCATGATTGGCGCCGAGCAGGTCAATGAGACCGTCAATCGGGGCCAGCAATACGTTCCGGCGATTGTTCAGTGGGCTGGTGATAGGAACCACAAGCCGCACCCGTATATGACGTTCTTCAGTTTGTATCCCACTGCATCGACTATTGATGCTGTTGCAGGACCTAACAGCCTGGAGATCTCGTATCCCAATACCACGCAGGACGGTACAAATATCTTCACTTTTGCGTTAGCACAGGTGCCACCGAGTTGGACCTTGATCAAGAAGAAGGTTGTGAGCGGTCTTGAAGATCTGCCTTGTCTCGATGTCACGCTTAGCGCTGAGGGCTTGGTGAAGCAGCCAGTCACTTATGGTTCTACACTTGAGGATAATCTGTTCTACAATATCTCCTATGTTGTACCTTCTGACTTTGAGGGAACACCAAAGGTCTCGTTCAAGTTCAAGTATACTTGTTAAGGGAGGATGCATGTGAACGGGCGTCGAGGGAGAGATTTCATGTTGCTACATACAATCAATGGTTGAGACTTGATGAGGTCACTTCTCAGTTCTGTGGACCCGAGAAAAGCTACTTTCTAGTCAATGAATAAGATGCGATAGTTATGCAAGAGGCGAATACTTCATTGATTATCTGTCGCCGTTGACCGACCCGGAACCCGGTCATTAATTCGAAACCTTGATCATTATGCTTTAGCCCTATTCCCACGGGCAAAGGGTAGAATCTTCATATAAAAGAAATTTACACCAGAATTTTGGCGCAGAACCCCTGAAATTATTCAAACTGAAATTGTTGGCATGTGGTAACCCTGCTCTGCCATTATGAGTAGGCTTGACGATTATCCCCTCTAAGAATGGGGCTGCTGTCTATGATAGTCTATGGAGGGTTACCCGCTAGTTCTACCCAGCCAGTACTGTAGAAATAATCGCCTATGAGAATGTGGAAATCCTCTATCATCGGTATAGTATTCAACATAGCTGGAGTACATCTTAGCGAGGCTTGGTCCTTGATGCTCGCCTTGTTTTTTAAAGCTATTCCCATCGTATAGAAGTCTAAGAAAGGAAAGCATTCAATTTCAACATCCGCTTTGTCTCGATTGGGCAAGTGAAATCCTTGAAGATACCAGAGCAAAGCAGCCTGGGGAAAGTTACCCGGAGATGTTTGCCGAGGTTCTGCGGGCGCTTGTCTTGATCTGGCACTACCGACGAAAGTGTACATCAGAAATTGGTGGATCGGTGGTGGCACGTGGCGCCATAAGGTCAATTACAGCCAAGTAATCGTTCTTTGATGTCACCGAGAATTTGGCGAGATTGCCCCTTTCGAGAGATATTGCCGTGGAGTACTGTACTACTGTACTATGGTAGACGTGACTGATAGACATTCCACATTTCCCCCGCACTGCCGTGCTCAAAATGGTTATTACTTAGAAGGCCTTCTCCAAGACTAGACAATCTAGTATTTCGTCATGGCTTGGAGGTTTAAAATATAGAAAAGCACCCGGCAAGGCTATCGGCCGATGATTATACCGAGTTTTCCGACCTTTTTCACCTTTAACCGATAGGAACACGCAGAGCACTTACTAGATTCGTTTCTCTGGGCGCTTCTCCACTACTACTCTCCCCGTAACTAACTCGGCAACTTGTGGAACATTATTGGACCCGCACCGAATCTCCATTGGTGGGGGTTGAGTTCAATTGAGGCGGGGGTAGCTGTGTCAATTGGGTATTTGTAGCAGGTCAAGTCCTATTTCTACTAACACTGGCTCACCTGCACTTTGACAATTCTCTCGCCCCTCTTTGCAACTCTTTCGTATTTATAGGGCATCGAATATCCCACGATTATTTGCATGTGGTGAAGTTCACACTCTTTAACTCCCATCCTTTTAGTCCCTTTCGATCATGTCGTTTCCCAAGGCTCGACCGGACTGGAACAATCTCAAAGTCCTTCACAAAAATACACTCCCACCACGGGCGCATTTCTACCCCTACGCTTCCGAGGAAAAGGCCCTCGCATTTGACCGCGAGAAGAGTGAATATATCTCCCTCAATGGCACCTGGAAGTTTCGCCATGACGCTTCACCCTACGAGGCACCAGAATGGTCATCAGTCAACCCTTTGACGTGGGACGACGTTAAAGTTCCTGGAATGTGGCAGCTACAAGGATATTCGCACCCGACGTACACAAATGTCAACTACCCATTCCATGTTAATCCGCCCGAGGTGCCGATTCTTAATGAGACTGGGTCTTACTGGAGGCAGTTCGTGACACCGGCTTCCTGGGATGGACAGCAGATTCGCATCCGATTCGAAGGTGTCGATAGTGCATTCCATCTTTGGGTCAATGGGACTGAGGTTGGATACTCTCAGGGAGCGCGAAACCCCAGTGAATTTGATATCACCGCCTTGCTTCAATCTGCTGGCTCAGTAAACACTCTTGCAGTGCGCGTGTACGAGTTTTGTGATGGTTCGTATATCGAGCGACAAGATCAGTGGCTTCTGAGTGGTATCTTCCGAGACGTCGGCCTCTTGGCTTTCTCGAAAGACTCAATCGTGGATTTCGATGCTGTTGCAACCCTCAGCGAGGACCTCTCGATCGGTGAGCTCCTCACCAGTGTCAAGACACAGGGTGAAAGTGGCACTGTCGAGGTCAAACTCTATCGTCCTGACGGCAGTCTCCTTGAAGAGTCCAGCTTCCCGTCGACGGAGTCAAAGGTCCTCCAAGTGTCCGGTGATGACTTGAAGCTGTGGTCGGCTGAAGATCCCGTCCTTTACACTTTACTCGTCTCATTTAACGGCCGAACTATTCCACAGCGCATTGGTTTCAGACGCATTGAGCGAAAAGGCGGCAATTTCCTGGTGAACGGAAGACCGATCATATTGTACGGCATGAACCGACATGAGCACCATCATCTGTACGGGCGCGCCGTGCCGTATGAGAGCATGCGTGCAGACCTCGTTCTGATGAAAAATCATAACATCAACGCTCTCCGATGCAGTCATCAACCTAACGATCCCAGGCTCTACGAAGTTTGTGATGAGCTGGGCCTCTATGTCATCGCCGAAGCTGATCTGGAGACGCACGGCTTTGACCCTGTTGAACGGTCGAACATTCCGAACCAGAATCTCATGAGCGAGCATGAGATCCAGGAGACATCGTACAAGATGGCAACTAAATGGACCTCTGACAACCTTGAGTGGAAGGACGCTTATCTTGATCGGGCTGTTCAGCTTGTCCAGCGATTCAAGAACTATTCTTGCATCATTTTCTGGTCACTTGGTAACGAGGCGTTCTATGGTCAAAACCATGCGAGTATGTACAAGTGGATCAAGGAGGCTGATCCGACCCGTCTCGTTCACTATGAGGGTGACAGAGATGCTATCACTGCTGATATGTATTCCACAATGTACTGGAGTGTGGATGCCCTCAAGCAGCATGTTATTGACAAGCCTGACAAGCCCATGATTCAGTGCGAGTATGCTCATGCTAGTAAGTCTAAGCTTTGAATGTCGCATCATTTGTTCACGCCAACTAACTCTTTTTTTCAGTGGGTAATGGTCCGGGTGGGTTGAAAGAATACATCGAAGCCTATCGCACCGAGCCGCTTCTGCAAGGTGGTTTCATCTGGGAGTGGTGTAACCATGGCCTTCTCAAGAGAGAGGGTGACTTGTCATACTATGCGTATGGTGGTGACTTTGGAGATCAGCCGAACGACGCAGACTTTATCCTTGATGGAATGGTCTTTTCCGACCACACCCCTACCCCTGGACTGATCGAGTACAAGAAGGCAATTGAGCCGGTCACAATCTCCTTCAAAGACGGCCAGCTGGAAGTGGTGAATCACTACGGTTTTAGCACTCTTGACCATCTTTCAGTTTCGTGGCACATCGTCAAGGAGTCAGGGAACACAGAGCCCGTGCCATGGCAGCTACCCGAGATCAAGCCTGGCGAGTCAAAGCTAGTTAGCCTCCCAGAGGGTGTTAGTCTCGGATCTGAGCCTCATTGGTTCGCTGCCAACTTCTCCTTGAAGAACGCCACGGCGTGGGCACCGCAGGGACATGAGATTGCATGGGCTCAGGTCCCATTGTTCGAAGAGCAGAAGCTTACACTTTCACTCTCTCCAACTTCATCGCCTCTTCCACTTACTGTCAGCGAAGGACTAGGCAAGCTCTACATCAACTCGGACAACTTCGCGTCTCACTTTACCTACGATCTGGTCCGAGGTAATCTGTCTTGGTCCACCGAGTCCGGCAAGGTATTCAACAGCGGACCTCAGCTAGGAATCTACCGTGCCTTGACTCAGAACGACATCGGCGGTGGCGGTCCCTGCGCCGAATGGAAGCGATTCCGCGTTGAAAGCTGTCGCATGCTCGTCCACTCCTCAAGCTGGAACGTCAACGATGACGGAAGCATCTCAATCACAACCAAAGTCCGAGTCGCACCCACCGTCCTAGAATGGGCCATGGTAGCCGATCTCAGTTACACAATCACCGAGTCTTCCGTCCATCTCCACGTCAAGGGTGATTTCACTGGCACTTACCCGAAAGAAATCCCCAGAATTGGTCTCACCATTCGCCTGCCCCGTCGCTACGAAGCTGCAACCTGGTTCGGCCGAGGTCCCGGCGAGTCGTACCGCGACAAGAAGGCAGCCGCTCGCTTTGGAACGTACACATCCACCCTTGACACCGGTCTTGAGACACCGTACGAGTGGCCGCAGGAGAACGGTAATCGCACCGACACACGGTGGGTTCGTGTCCACGCGTCGGCCGCCGAGAACGCTTATGCTGCCTCTGCGGGTGCAGATTCACCTTTGCCAGCAATCGAGGCCAGAATGGACACTCCTTTCAATTTCTCGCTTAGCAGGTATGCGATCGAGGAGTTGGATCGTGCGAAGCACCCGCATGAGCTTTCGGAGTTGGATGGGGAGACGGAGTTTAATGTTGATTTTGCGCATCATGGGATTGGGACTGGTAGTTGTGGACCCGGTCCGTTTGAAGGGAATAGATTGGAGGCTGGGCCGTTTGAGTTTAGTACTGTGTTCCGGTTGATTGATGGGAAGGGTGAGTGAGGGATTAGATATGGGTTGTGTTATTTTGGGATGCTCGGGATATATAGAATGACAGCCTCGAAATAGAGGATACGAAATTGCGCACGTTACGGTAGGCTGAATGAATAATGTTTGATCGTTTACCCATGATTTATTTCTTCGTCTGAACCATTATGGATGTTACGTTATCCCTGTTTGGATTCTGGTATTCTCCTGGGCAGGGGATATACTCTGTTGATCAGGGGTGCATCACCACCTAGGGGTCGACATTGTTACGATTCGTAGATGCGGAAAGTCTTGCGAACGAACTGGCGAGAAGTGTTTGCATGGGAGTTGCCGAAAAGGGAGGGCCCTATAAAGGCAATCCCTTTGGGTGGATTAGAATCTTCCTTCTCTTCTTCTTTCTCTAGATTTAGTTGCCTCGTTTAAACAGTACCGAATTGATTCATAATCTTTTCGCTTGACCGTAACATACAACTAAATCTCACCCTTTATCTTTCCTTCTAGTCACTGGCTGAGCGAAGAGACGCGTACATACGTGCTCTCTAGCTACCTAGTGACTACACCACTCAACCGAACGAACCTACGAAGAACCGTTGCACCAAGATGGCTAGCAACGTGACCGAACGCCCCCGCCGTGGTGGCAGAAGATCCCTGACCCTCGATGAGCAGCCCGACGCTGAGAAGATCGAGGTGACCGATACCGACGAGCTGATCCGTTGGATCCAGAAAGACCCCGAGACCGCATGGAAGGTCTTGTGCAACCGCATGAAGGATATCGAAGACCTGAAAGGCCAGATTGCTGCCCTGACCGCCGACCACCAAGAAGAGATCGTCGACCTCCGTGAGCAGATTGTCTCAATGACCGAACGAGAGGATTCCGTTGCCCGTGACCAGCAGGTGGAGGAGGAGTACGCCCGAATGCGAACTGAAACTGAAACCCTCCGGAAGGAGCGTGATAGCCTGTTGACCGTGATGAATATGATGCGAACCGACGATAACCGTGTGTTGCGAGAAGCCTCGGTGACCCCTTCTACTGCTGGTAACAGGAAGTCGACCAAGATGCCTGATCCTCCCATGTTCAACGACGGAAAGGATGTGAAGTTCAAGGATTGGAAGACCGAGATGAAGCGTAAGCTTCTATTGAACGAGGACCACTATCCAACTTCTGCCCACCAGCTCGCGTACGTGAGTAGTCGCTGCGAAGGAAAGGCACTCCGACACATCAACCCCCGAATGCAAGAAGACGCTACCGCCGCGTACCGAACTGCGCAGGACGTTTTCGACCACCTACAGAGTGTCTTCCACGACCCGAACCATCAGCAAGTTGCCCGTGACGATTACCTCGCCCTAAAGATGGAGCCTAAGCAGGATTTCGGTGATTTCCTGGCCGAATTTACCTACCTTGCGGAGGAGGCCGAACAGCCTGTGGATCTTCGAAAGCGTGATCTGTACCGGAAGCTTCCTGCCCTCCTCCAGAACCAGGTGATGATTGATGCAGGTCAAGGCTCTGTTACCCTTGAAGAGTTCGTGCAGAAGTGTCAGATTGCTGCCCGTTTAATTTCGCAGCAGATCGCCAATCGTGCAAGTAACCGTAACCCGAACCGTACGAACCCTTCGAATCGTACTTCAAGCGACCCACAGAACTCGAAACCCTCAAACCGCCCTGATGACAAGGAGAAGGCTACCCTCCTAAAGGAAGGACGTTGCTTTGTGTGCCGCGAACAGGGCCATATCTCTCGAAACTGCCCCACCAAGAAGTCCACCCCCACAATTGCTGCCGCCGCCGCCGAACCGAAGCGAAAGGATTCGAATTTGAAGAAGACGGACGACCTGAAAGCCGCGGAAGAGAACGATAGCGATTCGGGAAAAGAGTAAACCTGGGGCAAGTCTCCATCCCAGGTTCGATGGTGTCAAAGGTGGATTTACGGAAACTGTTGTCCTCTGCAGAAGATAGTTTAACCTTTCAAGCTAGAGTAGCTATCAATGGACGAACAGTGAGCGTTTCTTGCCTTGCAGATACCGGAGCAGATGGGTATATCTTTATCGACTACGACCTTGTGAAAACAATGATTAATGGCCTAGGCCTACGGACCAGAAGACTCCCCCGAGAGTGTCCGATCACTGGGTTTGACGGATCCTTACGAGAACCGATTACCCACGCAGTGAAACTCTCGTTGATGATTGATGAGCGCGTACAACAACGTCAGACCATGTTGGTGACGGATCTTGGAAACCATGACCTGATTCTCGGAAGGATATGGTTCGAAACCTATGGGATACTTCCTGATTGCAAGAACCGAAGGCTTTTGTGGCCAGACCAGCCCTCGCTACAAGACCAGGTAAAAACTGGCATGGTGAAACCTATCCCGAGACAGATCCTGAAGCGACCACTAGTCAACGATCTCCACCAGAAGGACGCAGACCGGAGAGACCAGTTAATAGAAGCCCAGATCGTGAAGGAATCCCGAAGAACGATTCGAACAACCTATGGAGCCTCCCACCAAGAAGACTCAGTGGGCAAGATGAACCGATCTCTCCGAGACGAGTTAGTTATTTCCCAGAAGAAGAGACTTGAGGTCGACGATCTTCCCCGGAAAGGTATCGAGATTGCAGCGATCGGAGGAGTCGGCTTCCACCGTCATATGCAACGTGAAGGAACAGAGACGTTCGTAACCTCGATAGCCCAGATTGATCGAATTCTCGAAGAGAAGCAGAGCCCAGAACATGCACTAGAAGCTGAGGAGATTCGTGCGCGTGTCCCAACTGCCTATCATCAGTTTATCGATGTCTTTTCTAAGATCGATTCAAATACTTTGCCACCACTGAGAGGTAGTCCCGATCACAGGATTGAACTCGACGGATCTGTCTACTTGAATTACTGTCCCTTGTACAAAATGAGTGAAGAAGAACTACGCTTTGCTAAGGATTACATCACGCAAAACCTCGCGAAAGGGTTTATAGTACCCTCCACAGCACCGTACGCCTCACCAATCCTAATGGCCATGAAACCAGGTGGAGGCCTCCGATTCTGCGTGGACTACCGGAAGTTAAACGAACTGACTAGGAAAGACCGTTACCCTATCCCTTTGATTGACGAACTACTACAAAGAGTAGGGAGGGCAAAGCGGTTTACCAAGTTGGATATCCAGCAGGGTTTCCACAGAATTCGGATGCACCCGGAATCCGAAGATTTGACGACCTTCCGCACTCGATATGGTTCGTATAAATACAAAGTGATGCCTTTCGGATTGACGAATGGACCCGCGACCTTCCAACGATACATAAACCATGCCCTCGGAGATTATCTGGACGACTTCTGCACCGCGTTTATCGATGATATCTTGATCTACACAGAGGGTGACGAGCAGCAGCACGTTGAGCACGTTAGAAAGGTCCTAACCAGATTGCGAGCTGCAGGCCTACAGGTAGCTATCCAGAAGTGTGAGTTCCACACTATGGAGACGAAGTTCTTAGGCTTTATTATCGGAACGAGCGGCATTCGCGTGGACCCTGCCAAGATTGAAGTGATCGACGCATGGCAGTCGCCGAGTACAGTCAGAGGCGTGCAATCGTTCTTAGGAATGTGCAACTTCTACCGTCGATTCATCAAGGACTACAGTAAGATTTCCAGGCCTTTACACCGATTAACCAGGAAGGAAGTGCAGTTTAAATGGGACGACGCGTGCCAAGCAGCCTTTCAGAAGCTAAAGCACATGCTGACGACCACGCCCGTACTGGCACACTATGACCCTTACGCACTCACGCAGATCGAAACCGACGCCTCGGATGGTTGTTTAGGCGCTGTTCTTTCGCAGAAGGGAGCGAACGACGGTTGGCATCCAGTGGCGTATTTCTCAAAAACCATGAATCCTACGGAGCAGAGCTACTACACCCACGATAAGGAGATGCTGGCGATTATCCGCGCACTGGAAGAGTGGCGAGCCGAACTGGAGGGCTTACAACGTACAGATCGATTTAATATCTGGACTGATCACCAATCCCTCCAGTATTTTATGACTACTCGAATGCTGAACGCAAGACAAGTACGCTGGGGAGAGTCCCTCTCACGGTTTCACTTCCAAATCCGCTACCGCCCAGGGAAGGGCAATGTGGTGGCCGACGCACTGTCTCGAAAGGACCGACCGACCGGCCAGCGAGCCGAACAGATCCTGTTACCCCGAGAAGTACTAGAGCAGGGTACCCATCCAGATGATCCACTGCCCGTGGAGCTCACCCCCGTCTCCTGCGGACTTACGGGATCATTTGCTCCTAACGGAGCTAGTCCAGCGACTCCGAGACACACCGAGATTTTGAAAAGAACGGTGTTATCCCCGGTGGTCGAAAGGGTGATATCAGCGAACCGCACAAGCGAGAGTCTTCTCGAATATCGTGACTTAGTGCATTCTGATCAGAAATGGACGATAGAAGAAGGACTACTGCTGTATGAAGGGAAGCTTGTAGTTCCCGACGAAGGCGACCTACGCGCACGATTACTAGATGAAATCCACCGACAACCGTCAATCGCTCATCCCGGAATCGAAAAGACGAAGCGTATGCTTACAGCCAGATACCACTGGCCAGAGATGATTAACGACGTGAAACGATATGTGGATAACTGCCAAATCTGTAAGCGGACGAAGGCATGGAGAGACCGAACCCCAGGATTACTACAACCCCTACCGATCCCTGGAAGACCGTGGCAACATCTCACGATGGATTTCCGCTCGTTCCCGAAAGACCGCAGAGGATATGATACCGTCTGCGTTTTTGTGGACAGACTGAGCAAACGGCCAATTTCGATACCTTGTCACGAAGATGTTGATGCAAAGGAAACAGCCCGGTTATTCGTGGACCATGTCTATCGATGGGTAGGATTGCCAGAGTCGATTGTTTCCGACCGAGGGCCTCAGTTTGTATCAGGATTCTGGAAGGAGTTCTGTCGAATCCTCGGAATTGAAAGAAAACTATCAACTTCTCATCACCCCCAGACGGACGGTCAAAGCGAGATTGTGAATCAG